AACTTTCACTGTATACACAGATAGTTTTGCTTGAAATCTCATATTTTCAGTTCATAACCAGATGTTGTTTACAGAAAAACATTAGTAATATCTGGGGCACATAAACTGTTGTATTGAGGCTTCTAAACAAAATATTCACAATACAATGGAAAAAGGGTTAGCCAAGTCCCTGTCTCAATCATACATTTGTTTTCACCCCCTCTCTACCTCTATTCGATTCTCTTTTACCATCTCTTGCACATTTTTCATGCACCTGAAAGTTCCAAATATTTATCTACTCATAAATGTGGTTTCTGACTGCTTTCATTTAATCAAATTGAATTTTGTAGGCTTATGGAATAATAAGCATAGCCAAAATGTCTGAATTAAATACACACATTTATAAATAAATATAGAGCAGGTCTCCACCCCTACTTTATTTTATTTACCCCAAGTATTTGTTTTTCAGCTATTTATAATTTTTTTATCCAGAACTGTACAACATTGCCATCCACATGATTCAGCTCTCTACTCCAATCATATTTTCTTATTGTACCAAATCTGTAGTGTGGATTTAACACTTTCAAAAATGAGGTTCTCTCCTCTATTAAAAAAAGTGTTGCATTTTAAACCACAATTTACAGTTTTAAAACAACAACTCATTCTAGCTAAAAGCTGTGTTTTGTGCATATTTGTGGGGTGCAATAATATAAATACTGTGTCGTCATATTTGTTATATATACAAAAGTTTGGACACACCTATTCATTCAAGGGTTTTTCTTTATTTTTACTATTTTTTACATTGTAGAATGACATTGAAGACATTACAACTATGAAATAACACATATGGAATCATGTAGTAACCAAAAAAGTGTTAAACAAATCAGAATATATTTTATATTTAAGATTCTTCAAATAGCCACCCTTTGCCTTGATGACAGCTTTGCACACTCTTGGCATTCTCTCAACCAGCTTCACCTTGAATGCTTTTCCAACAGTCTTGAAGGAGTTCCCACATATGGGAACTCCTTCAAGTAGTCCCCTGTAGCTCAGTTGGTAGAGCATGGCGCTTGCAACGCCAGGGTTGTGGGTTCGTTTCCCACGGGGGGCCAGTATGAAAATGTATGCACTCACTAACTGTAAGTCGCTCTGGATAAGAGCATCTGCTAAATGACTAAAATGTAAATGAAATATGTTGAGCACTTGTTGGCTGATTTTCCTTCACTATGCCGTCCGACTCAAACCAAACCATCACAATTGAGTTGAGGTCGGGGGAAGGCCAGGTCATCTGATGCAGCACTCCATCCCTCTCCTTCTTGCAACTCTGCCTATGTCAGCATCCCGGAGTCGCCTCTTCACTGTTGAAGTTGAGACTGGTGTTTTGCGGGTACTATTTAATGAAGCTGCCAGTTGAGGACCTGTGAGGTGTCTGTTTCTCAAACTAGACACTCTAATGTATTTGTCCTCTTGCTCAGTTGTGCACCGGGGCCTCCCACTCCTCTTTCTATTCTGGTTAGAGCCAGTTTGCGCTGTTCTGTGAAGGGAGTAGTACATAGCATTGTACGAGATCTTCAGTTTTTTGGCAATTTCTCACATGGAATAGCCTTCATTTCTCAGAACAAGAATAGACTGACGAGTTTTAGAAGAAAGTTATTTGTTTCTGGCCATTTTGATCCTGTAATCGAACACACAATTGTTGATGCTCCAGATACTCAACTAGTCTCAAGAAAGCCATTTTTATTGCTTATTTAATCAGCACAACAGTTTTCAGCTGTGCTAACATAATTGCAAAAGGGTTTTCTAATGATTTTAAAATTATAAACTTGGATTAGCAAACACAACGTGCCATTTGAACACAGGACTGATGGTTGCTGATAATGGGCCTCTGTACGCCTATGTAGATATTCCATTAAAATCAGCCGTTTCCAGCTACAATAGCCATTTACAACATTAACAATGTCTACACTGTATATCTTATCAATTTGATGCTATTTTTTGTATATTGTACATAGTATATTTTGTGCATGCATGCATAGGTTGATGTGCTCTATAGAACTGATGCTTATAGCATGTGTCTCTGCATGTGTAACTCTGCTCTATCAGACATGTAAGATCTTCAGGTGCATTTGGCTTCTTTCACACATGAAGGGACCACAACTTAAGTGCAGAAGTGCGCTTTGAAATAGTGAGCAAGCTTGCTATGTAGTGTACCCCAAGAAAACATTACTATACAATGAATTGTATGTCTAGAATAAGTAATGAGAAGAATCGCCTGAATACTATGTTCCCAGTAACATGTATGCAGTGTTGAGATTTTGGAATATATTACTTTAAGTAACTAAATTAACACGTTACTTTACACTTTGTGTGGAAAGTAACGCGTTATATTACTTTGTGTTAGTTTCATGAAACAAATCTCAAAATCGAACCGTTTGTTTGTCTGTCGGTGGGAGCACGCGCTCTACCAAAGACAGACTATTTACTAACTCAGGTTTGATTACTAGTTTCTCCTTTAATCTGTGGCGCTGCTTTCCTGTGCTAGTCTACAAGTGCTGTGCTGTTGTAATGATGTCATGTCATAGTAGTGTGAGGACAGAGGAAGAGTTAAGAGATGAGTGGTTTGGGGCCATGAAGTCTACATTCCATTATGTCAAGGTAGATTAGTGATGTTTAGGATAGCATGAGTGATGTTTAGGAAAGTGACTTGGGGTAAAAAGTGATGAACATCAAAGACAGGGAGTGCCCATGGAGACTTGCCAGATGTATGCCAGGAAGATGGTAATAAAGGCTATATAAGATAGAGTGTCTTCTTTGTTCAAGTTAGTTCAACTGATGAAGGGCAAAGCCATGTCCGTTTGTTAGATGAACCCACGAGCTCGTGATTCAATAAATACTTGGTATGAAATCTCCACAGAATGTCTAAGTAAATTCTTGCATCGTGAACTTCTCAATACCAGAAACTCATCATAACAGCTGTATATGGGCTGCTTAATTAGCCATATATACTGTAAGCCAAACATCTGTACAGATTTCCTTCATTCAAAATCTCTCTCGAGCCGCCAGTTCTGGTTATAGACCGCACATAGGCTACATGGACCCATAGAGATGTATAGAGGGCACACTTGTCACTAGACGGAAGCGATCAATGGCAAAGATCAGAGGTGCGCCCTCTATACATTTCTATGGACAGCAACTGTCATGATTTCTCCAAACAGACTTTCTCCGCTCGCTAGAGAACTAAATTAGGAAATAAATTGAGATCGGATCATGGAAACACGCGCCCAGTAAAGATATAATTCTGAAAGTAAACGCACAAGTTGTTTGACAAAGTAACTGTCATATTATTACCAAATTTGAAAAAGTAACATGTTATTTAACTCTATTACTCATAAAGGTAATCTGATTACTTTACACGTTACTTTTGTAACACATTACCCCCAACACAGCATGTATGAGCATAAAACAAGTGTTAGAACACAAAGTCTGTTTTGTGTGTGCATCACTCACTTAGAAACCTAAATGGAATGGACAGAAACAACAAACACTACATCTGAGGTGCAATGGCAATGCAAGACTGTCATATCAGAAATAATGATATATGGTGGTAGATGATTTACCAAGAATTACAAGTTACTAAGGACTATAGGTTGGCAATGTTTTGGAGGCTTTACAGTCCTCTTAAATCTACTATTTTGCATGCATTTAATCCAAACATAATCTCTCTCATTACTATGTCCAAGTCCCACCATTGGTCCTTAATCCACAGTGGGGTTAAAAAGACAGTCCCAGTAGCAATCTCCCATTTTTGTCAGGTGAGGCATGTCAATATCCCTTGCTGAAAAGCAGAAACTAAAACACTCTTGCCCCACCTTAAAAATATCTCAGAGTGCTTTACATTTTGATGAAACAATTTTAAATCTTGTGTTTAGATTTTTAAAAGAAAAAAAAAAAAGGGAGAATTTGAGTTCCTCTGAGTTAAACAAAGTTATCCCTCAAATCCAAATCTGAAATAAATAGTTGCTCTCCTGCTCCAAAATCCCCAGAGGATGGCAAGTATTTGTCTCTTGTTATGTCCAGCATGGGCTGTATGTTCCTGGCATCATTATTATTACAGTCATGATGTCACACTGAGGGGATCTCCTCACGGTCAGGTTCCAGAGAGATGTTCTGGAGAGTTCCGTGTTTCTGACTGGTCAGTTTCCCTCTCTTCTCTCCATGCATTAAAACAGTAGAGAGATCACAGTATTCCAAGTGTGCTGAGGTTCTGTAAATCCTGGTCTGTGGAGAATATGACATCAAATATGACATGGAACTCTCACACCAAATGGGCCTCCCTTGGTCTAGTAATAAAGATACCCTCTCAGTCTTATAAGGACGTTATTAGCCAGGGTGTCTGATGCCAAACTTGGTTGTAGTCCATAGGAGTCCCAGCAGGCTTTAGGGTTGAATGGACAGATGAGGAGAGAAGGCAGCCCATCGTGAAAATCCCTGGCATTCCAAGCAGGGTTTTTTCTCTCAAACCACTGAGGGGAAATGATAAGATAAAAAAGGTTTCAGAAAATAAGGAAATTAATATCAACCCATTTTGTAAAAACTTCCATGAGGACAATGTGGTATGGAAGTCAAGTTCAAAGTCACTCTACGTTCTACTCTATGCACATAAGGTTTGGGGTTGATTCCATGACAGTTGTCTGATCACTCTTTTAAATGAGAGATCAGTTTAAAACAATTGTGTGTATAACCTCAGATCTGGACTATAATAAAACAGACTATCCCACCAAACAGAGCTAGAGTCTATAGTCTAGACCATCTAAAACAGGACCGACACAACAAAACACAACCCCATTGGTACCTTGTGAATAAGGGATGTGATCTGACAGAGGACAAAGTAGAAACAGAAAATGTCATTAAATTACATCAGAAAAGTACCTAATATTTTAAAATTGTGTTTCAGAAGAAGTCTAATTTCTACATGATATATGAAACTTACACGAGGGGGCAGAAGTTAAGGAAATATTGGTCCTGGGTTTGCATAAGCATCGGATAGACCCATAGCATGCCACTGCTGGTTAAGAGAGAACACTGTATTTACTGAGTCTTTCAAGCATCTAACTACAGTATCTCTCGAGGAAAGTCATTTATCATTTGATTGACATTGCAGTCTGGGTGTGATAATGTTATTAGTGTGTACTTCACAAAAAACACGAGTCAAGAACATTCAAAGTTCATATAGGGTGAGGTCGAGTACAGTAGTCAGCATATCTTTGAAAAGATTCACTGTAACTAATAGATCTATAGAGAATCCTGTTCTGATATGGTCAAGACTGTATTTAGCTGTCTTTATGATCTCAGTGTAGTGTTCTCATAACCCTGTGTAAGTGAGATCTGCGTGTCAATGGATGTTAAGGACACGAAACATCAATTAGCTACAAGTGTCAGCAACACCTCAATGGTTCCCATACATTAGGTCTGACAGCATGAGCCTCTAATAACCAGATGGGTCCTATATGCACAGCGAAAAGCTTCAGGAGGCTTCAGCAGATAGGACACAGTAGGCCATTAAACCTCCCTTTAGGGCTCATAGCTACCCTCTCCAGTCGATTACAAAAATACCCCTTACCGATTATCATAATTAGAACCCCTGGGGTGTATTCTTTATAACGTTTCTGTTGCAAAATGTTTTACAACAGTAAAACAGTTATCTCCAAACAGAAAATATTTTGCAATGAAAACCAGAGTTTCTATTGGATAAATTCAAGTAGGTCCCTCCCATTTCATTCCGCTTGCTTCCGTTTGGTTTCCGTTGCAAGATGTAATGAATACACCCCTGTAGTTTCCAATTTTCAAACTTGATGATAGTTGGAAATGTGAAACATAGACAAAAGGCAAACTAGGCAAAAGTTAAAAGAAAGTCTGTACCACTTTCAGAGTGACAGCAGGAACCTCGGCCCTTCAGCATACTGCCTTGTTTCTCTGGGGCACAGTGGAGTCCGTGCCTCCGCCCAAAACCGTCCCGCCTCCACCAGCAACTGGGAGAGAGGACATTTTTCAATTACAGATGATTTCAGGTCAACACATTCATTAACCTTATAAAGACTATCAGTAGAAGTGTAGGGTTTAATCTTACTTTATGAACAAACTCATGGTAGCATGTGCAGTAGGATTGGTTAATCAACTATGTGATGACGCAGATGTCTACACAATCAAGTATGTAGGTTCATTGAATGGGCAGTGTCATGGTGACATTTCTGTTCACTTGTGTTCTTCCAATTGACCAAAATCACGATATAACATTATGTACTTACTGTAAAAGTGTACAGAGCAGCATCGTCAAGACACAGCCAATCACACACAGCACTAGCGCTGTGGCAACTGTCTGTTGTCTGTGATTGGTGGCCACCACGGCTAGAAGGTCGGCATGCTCACATCGCATCCCTACGAAGCCTTGGTGACACCTGTCCACCATGGAGAGGAGAAAGGGCATCAGACTTGGTAGTAGTGAAGTTCTCAGTCTGCAAAACTATTCTGCATCAGTTAAATACCCACACAATACCCTTCGTTTTATGAACATGCCAAAAAAGGGTCTAAAGGATTCGCTACTAAAGAGCTCTTTAGTAAAGGGTTTAGGTCAAAGACCCTAATCCTGGAGGGAGTTCTCTACTCTGCTTAGTCAGAGAGAAGTGAACTGCCGCTCTCTAATTCCATAAGCCAATGTAATTTGCATTATGCTTAGACCAGCTCTACGAACTGCAGCGAATCAGTGTACAAACAGAGCACTGGCAGAACAGATCCTAAACACATATTACATTTACATTTACATTTTAGTCATTTAGCAGACGCTCTTATCCAGAGCGACTTACAGTTAGTGAATACATTTTTTTTTTTTTTATATACTGGCCCCCCGTGGGAATCGAACCCACAACCCACAACCCTGACCCATGCTCTATCAACTGAGCTACATCCCTGCCGGCCATTCCCTCCCCTACCCTGGACGACGCTGGGCCAATTGTGCGCCGCCCCATGGGTCTCCCGGTCACGGCCAGCTGCGACAGAGCATGAAAAAGCTGTTCAACCGTCAGTCACAGACACTAAAACTGGTTGGGTTACCCAACAAACTCTCGATAACTCCTAATAACTGGTGATGGACCACTCAAAATAAAATAATTAGGACATATGCTATTTTGTGACTGTTCGAACAACAATTTCCCATACAGACAGAGTGACAATGATTCACCTGATATTGAAATAATGACAACTGTGGGATGAGAGAGAGAGAGAGAGAGAGAGAGAGAGAGAGAGAGAGAGAGAGAGAGATCCTTGCATTTTTTGAACCACAGGACAGGAAGTTCAACTTACACACATGCAGGCGTCTCCTCCAGAATCAGGAAACGACAGGTGCCATGGAAACAGAAGTGGCTATGCGAGTCAGGACAGTCATCGAAGTGTGATCGAACAGCTGCTGCCACAAACTCTGAGTCAGAGATAGGAGATACATAAGGACATTTTTGAAGGCCCTGGTTGAAAGTCCAAAACATTCTCTCCTTGTAGGAATATACAGTAAGGGAGCTCATAACCTGGCCTACAGTTTACCGAAACTCCATAGGTCAGTGTCATAGGTCAGTGTCGTCATAGGTCAGGGTCGTCATAGGTCAGTGTCATAGATATAAAATAGCCTCTGAGGCAGTGGAGACTTACAGTGCCTTCAGAAAGTATTCACACCCTTGACTTTTTCCATATTTTGTTGTGTTACAGCCTGAATTTAAAATGGTTTCAATTGAGATGTTTTGTCACTGGCCTACACACAATAACCCATACTGTCAAAATTGAATTATGTTTTAGACATTTTTATAATTTAAAATGAAAAGCTTGAGTCAGTAAGTATTCAACCCCTTTGTTATGGCAAGCCTAAATAGGTTCAGGAGTAAAAATGTGCTTACCAAGTCACATAAGTTGCATGGACTCACTGTGTGTGCAATAATAGTGTTTAACATGATTTTTGAATGACTACCTCATCCCTGTACCCCACGCATACATCACCTATTGGTAGATAGGTTAAAATTTAAAATTAAAAGCAGACATTGAATATCCCTTTGAGCATAGTGAAGTTGTTAATTACACTTTGGATGGTGTATCAATACACTCAGTTACTACAAAGATACAGGTGTCCTTCCTAGCTCAAGTTGCCGGAGAGGAAGGAAACCGCTCAGGGATTTCACCATGAGGCCAATGGTGACTTTAAAACAGTTACAGAGTTTAACGGCTGTGATAGGAGAAAACTGAGGATGGATCAACAACATTGTAGTTACTCCACAATACTAACCTCAATGACGGAGTGAAAAGAAGGAAGTACAGAATACAAATATTCCAAAACACACATCTTGTTTGCAACAAGGCACTAAAGTTATTTTTTTAAATTTGGTAAAGCAATTAACAATTTGTATTCAGGACAAAAATGTATGTTTGGGGCAAATCCAATACAACACATTACTGAGTACCATTCTCCATATTTTCAAGCATTGTGGTGGCTGCATCATGTTGTGGGTATACTTGTAATCGTTAAGGACTGGGGAGTTTGTCAGGATAAAAAAGAAACGGAATAGAGCTAAGCACAGGCAAAATCCTAGAGGAAAACCTGGTTCAGTCTGCTTTCCACCAGAGACAGAGATTAATTTACCTTTCAGCAGGACAATACCCTAAAACAAGGCCAAATCTACACTGGAGTTGATTACCAAGAAGACACTGAAGGTTCATGAGTGGCCGAGTTACAGTTTTGACTTAAATCTGCTTGAAAATCTATGGCAACACTTGAAAATGGTAGTCTAGAATTGATCAACCAATTTGACAGAGCTTGAAGAATTTTGAAAATAAGATTGGGCAAATGTTGCACAATCCAGGTGTGGATAGCTCATAGGCACCGATTGCGACCCGAGTTAGGTGTGCGTAATGCTGCGTTTAGATGGTACGAGGTAGACGGCATTGTTTTCAATGAGAGCAAGATGGTAAATGTTGGTAATTATCGTTGAGGTTGGTGGTGAATGCAGTCAGCCACCACGGTAGATGGGACTTGGCGCCAGAGTTAAAATATTTCCACTTGTTCTATCTGCCATAGAGTTGTTTTCTACTGGATGTTGATTTGCACTATTTGTTTACTGAAATCACCATAGCAACACATACTGTGTGGCGCTGTCTTGCTTTTGCTGTCACCATCTTTCTTGCTTTCTTGTCCCGCTATGCCGACTGGTATCAAGTTTTTTGCTTCCCTCATGCAGCATAAATGGAACAATTCCCTTTTATGCACTTTTCTCTCTATGCGTATTCTGACCTTGAACTTAAGCATGAGAATTGTATGCTATTCACCTGCTATTCATTTTGGGTGGAGATCAAATAAATGAAGGTGTGGCTGAGGTGTGTCTACAGATATGCCGTATTCTGACCTTGACTTAATTCCCGAATAATTCTATCACCTTTACGCGCGAGGAAACCATGAATAAGGTCTAGCGAACCTACCGGTTCCAAGTGGGAAAATAACATCTACTTAATTTTTTCCGATAGAAATAACACCATTCTCCATGCACTGTAATTTACAAAATAATAAGAGCTAGATAAATTAATAATCCATTTGGATAAGGGAATTGTAAATATAAATGACACTTGTTTTAGTTATATTTTACCTTATAATCGCTGGAGACAAATGTGAAACCAGTCACTTGGCAGCAAACTGAAGCATATCAACATGCCAACTTTGCCACAGTAAAGTTTATGAAATGCTGTGCCGTTATGCAGAATTTAAATTGTACGGCCTTTTAACTTGCAGGGATCAGCACTCTCGAATGTCTTAATTATAGGCTACACCAACTTTTTATGTTTCCTATTTCTATTATGTTAAATATTAGCAACTATCAGTATCGACTGTCAGTAGGCCTAATAACAACACATATTCAACTGCCAATTTACTGTTAGTTCCCTTCAGTTGGTATAGCCTACATTACCATTCCATTTAATTACATTGTTTTGTTTACCTTCATATTCGGTACTGTCTAGTGATGGGGAAAAAATCGATACAGATACATATCACAATATTATTTTGGATTATATTATATTGATACTTTGACTCCAAGTATTGATTTGTAAAAAATAAAAATAACTCTGCCAAAGGTGATTGTAATAAGTATTGACTCAGGGGTGTGAATGCTTATGTAGAGATATTGGTATTTCATTTTCAATAAATTAGCAACATTTTCTAAAGACATGTTTTCACTTTGTCATTATGGGGTAATGTGTGTAGATGGATGAGAAAAACATTTATTTAATCCATTTTGAATTCAGGCTGTAACACAACGAAATGTGGAATAAGTCAAGTGGTATGAATACTTTCTGAAGGCACTGTACATCTTTTGTTACCTCTGAGTGACTGGGGTTTTGTCATGGCTTATGTCAGGGACAAGACCCTCCGAGGGACAGCCATGCATTAAGATGTGTCGCATGCATAGGGACAAGTTAAACCCCAATCAAATCCCCAGTGCCTTGACACAGCAAACAACAAGTCTGTCCATCATCAAACCCATTAGAGGTCCAGAGAAAAGCACATCCCTGAAGCCAGGGAGTAAAATCCTCACCCTTTCATTCCATGGCTTTGTCTGAAAGGATAGCCGTCAAATCCTTGCTTCCTCCATGATTTCTGAATTACTCTCAAAGTGCATTTGAGGAGAAGATCAAAAGGTCCCTTCTTCAGACCTCTCCTCCATTGAGCTTTGAGAGGAATTCAGGAAATAAGGATGAAGGAGGCCAGGATTTGACGGCTAGTAACCTTTTCAGACACAGCCCCTATCCCTCTCCTCTCTGTCTCTTTCCTTTACATCCAATCAAACGTGATTTATTATGGAACGAACTATGCTAGATTAACAAAATGAATCTCCTCAAATAAATTAACATTGGGTCGAGCTGAAGGGGTCAAGACTCAGGAAGAACACGGTAACCAAATTACAGAGTCTGGACGAGTTTCTTACTCATCAACTATACAATCAGAGTTCCAAATTCCAACTGGACTGGCCCAAACAAAAGTTTGAGTATCTTTACTCGGGCAGCCAAAACAGATGCCACAATGTGGCATTCAGAGAAAGAGGGAGTGAGAAAGGGAGAGAGAGGGAGGATGAACAGACAGATAGACGGCTGCATTACAGCCGACCGTCACACACACCATTCTATTGGTAATGGCCGGTTGGATTCCAGCCTACATGCATTGTCCCTTCTCCTCTCTCTCTTTCAGAGCCTGTATAAAGCTCTCTGTTCTCGCTGAGGTATCTGCACCAGCTACCCCTCAGCCCCTCTGGCAGCGTCCCAAATTGCACCCTATGGTCAAATGCCATTAGGGCATTTCTGGATTTTATGGTGATTCACAGATAATGACTGAAATGTAATAGTTGGTATCCTGGGAATTAAGCTACAGGATTTTTCTTTTATCGTTGTTTGACGTCTGCTACACTGGCTACTTTCTATCCAAACTGAGAGGACTAGATTTATGAAAAAATTAAACCAATTCATTCATGTGCAGCACAGTGTCTGTATGTGTCCACTTTTGTAAGGCATTTTCAGTTGCCATCTGACTTCACTAGAGAACCCGTGAATTAACATTGGCACCAGTCAATGAGTCTGAAGAGGTGAAAGATTCTCTGGAGCACCCTGTAGAGGTTTTATAGAGGTATTCATATTTAGACTGTCAGTCACCTGAAGACAGACAGACACACACACACACACACACACACACACACACACACACAAACGCTTACTTTTAACTGGAAGGTTGGTCGTAGTAATGGTGCTGGTAGTGGTAGAAGAGGTCATAATGTTTACAGTGGTAGTAGTCACAGGAGGGGTGGGGGTCATAGTAGAATTAGTAGCAATAGTAGAATTATCCTGTCCAGTTCCATAGGTAAAGAGGGACCCTGTTGAAAGAAACAGATGAAATGTTTAAGTATACAAATCGGTACTGATTTCAATCATGATCAGATAAAGAAACTGTTGGGACATTGAAGAAGATTCCACTAGGCCTGGGGTTTTTCACTCAGGCCCCACTTCCAGTATTGTATTGGGGAACATCCATGTGTGTGATGCCATTCCATTTTCTCCTTTCCAGCCATTATTATGAGCTGTCCTCCCCTCATCAGCCTCCACTGGTCTAATGTATATTCATGTTATATTTGAGTAACTCAAACATAAAAAAATCTATGGGCAAAAAAACCTAGCTAAAAAAACTTTAGCTGACATAGGCTAAGTGATCTGGACATTTCTGATAAGTTATAAATAGCTCTATAAGGTATGCAATGACTAACATGACAAGAGGACAACTGATGATGCACTACCCAATTTCGAAATTGCACCTTGTGCATTCTACTATTACAACTTTCAAGAGTAAGTTGAAAGCCAGACTGAGTTCCTTACAAAAAATATACACTGAACAAAAATATAAAAACGCAACAATTTAGAGTTACAGTTGAAATCAGTCAATTTAAATAAATAAATTAGGCCCTAATCTATGGATTTCACATGACTGGGAATACAGATATGCATCTGTTGGTCACAGATACCTTTAAAAAAAGGTAGGGGTGTGGATCAGAAAACGAGTCAGTATCTGGTGTGACCACCATTTGCCTCACGACACATCTCCTTCACACAGAGTTGATCAGGCTGTTAATTGTGGCCTATGGAATGTTGTCCCACTCCTCTTCAATGGCTGTGCGAAGTTGCTAGATATTGGCGGGAACTGGAACACGCTGTCGTACACGTCGATCAGAGCATCCCCCCAAACATGCTCAATGGGTGACATGTCTGGTGAGTATGCAGGCCATGGAAGAATTGGGACATTTTCAGCTTCCAGTAATTGTGTACAGATCCTTGCAACATGGAGCCGTGCATTATGTTGAAACATGAGGTGATGGCAGCGGATGAATGGCACGACAATGGGCCTCAGGATCTCGTCACGGTATCTTTGTGCAATCAAATTGCCATCGATAAAATGCAATTGTGTTCATTGTCCGTAGCTTATGCATGCCCATACCATAACCCCACTCTGTTCACAACGTTGACATCAGCAAACCACTCGCTCACACGACGCCATACACGCTGTCTGCAATCTGCCCGATACAGTTGAAACTGAGATTTACCTGTGAAGAGCACACTTCTCCAGTGTGCCAGTGGCCATCGAAGGTGAGATTTGCCCACTGAAGTCGGTTACGACGCTGAACTGCAGTCAGGTCAAGGCCCTGGTGAGGACGACGAGCACGCATTTGAGCTTCCCTGAGACGGTTTCTGACAGTTTGTGCAGAAAGCCTTCAGTTGTGCAAACCCACAGTTTCATCAGCTGTCCGGGTGGTTGGTTTCAGACGATCGCGCAGGTGAAGGAGACAGATTTGGAGGTCCTGGGCTGGCATGGTTACACGTGGTTTGCGGTTGTGAGGCCGGTTGGACGTACTGCCAAATTCTTATGGTAGCGAAATGAACATTAAATTCTCTGGCAACAGTTCTGGTGGACATTCCTGCAGTCAGCATGCCAATTGCACACTCCCTCAAAACTTGATACATCTGTGGCATTGTGTTGTGTGACAAAACTGCACATTTTAGAGTGGCATTTTACAAGGTGCACCTGTATAATGTTCATGCTGTTTAATCAGCTTCTGGATATGCCACACCTGTTAGGTGGATGGATTATCTTGGCAAAGGAGAAATGCTCACTAACAGGGATGTAAACAAATGTGTGCCCAAAATCTGAGAGAAATAAGCTTTTTGTGCATATGGAAAATGTCTGGAATTTTTTATTTCAGCTCATGAAACATGGGACCAACACTTTACATGTTGCATTTCTATTTTTGTTGAGTATATTTATTTAATTTTGGGGGGTACCCCGCGCCGACCCCTGGGGGGGGAGCAACCCCACAGTTTGGAAACCACTGCACTAGGATTTATGAAGTCACTTATAATAGTTACATTTTTTGTCACTTAGCAACTCTCATCCAAAGTGACAGTTGAAACAGGCTGTCTCCAAATGACTTGTTGCTCTTAAAATAGAACTCATCTCCCAACTCATGGATCCCAGCAGAGCAAGGTGACATTAATTGTCCCCACTGATCAACCCATCCTATTCAGTAGAGAGAAGCTGACTGAAATGAAGGTACTACCTAAGAACACAGATTTGTGTTTTCCGTTGCCAAACCACTATATGTTAACAAATCAGACTTACTTGCGTTAAACCCTCTTGGCCCCCTCGGGAGCATAGGGTGTCCACCTGACTCTTCTGTGCGAGGGCTTTTTCCTCTTGCCAGGAGATCTTAACATAACATTGCACTTAAATTGTGTTATATTATCTTTATTTCTAGTTCTTGACCTTAATTAGCTACTTCCCCCTTTTCTGTTGCATTGGGCTCCTTGAGGGTTGAATCCTGAGGCGTGTGCTGCACTCATAAATCTCACACAACTTTCCCATTTGTCATTATGTTTGGATTTCCTCTTACCAGCTTGTGTTGCGTATTTCAAGAGTGACAATAGGATGAAAGGATGGACACACTACAATGGGTCTGTAATGGGACTAAGCTGGGATAGTCTTAATATAGACAGATCCCGGCGAGAGATCACACAATTAGAATTCTGCAAGGCACCCAATGAGAGACGAGGTTGTCATTTAGTGATGTGGAGATATCAGACAATGAAAGTGCTGAGTATCAAATTAGCACTTCATTCTCCGGCTCAATTCAAATGATGGTTGAAAACACACGGCTCATATAACACATAGGTTCATCAGTGTCAGTTGGTGATTATGGAGAAGAGAACCGTTGAGTATTTCATCAGTCAGTTAATGGGGGACATCACTGATGTTACTAAGGACACTGTCAGCATGACAAGGTACAAAGCCCAGAAAGAGAGACGGTGGATGAATGCTGTGTCAAGGCAATGTGCGTCCCCAATGGCACCCTATTCCCTACATAGTGCACTACTTTGACGGTAAATTAATTTGAATTTAGTCACTTTTTGACAGCACCCCTTTTGATTTAAACGAAACCTTCCATACATATCTGCACATTGTAGAAGTGCTCAGAAAGTGACTTTTCAGACTTGAATGCAAAAACATTCAAGAGATAAAGGTGCTCAAAGTTGACCCATTTTGCATACCCCACCATACCATGAGACATCCATGTCTTCATCACTGGAAAATATAAACGGTTGAGATTGATGTCATTTAAAAGCTTACAAACAGGGTTGTCAAACTATTTGATAATTTCAGGGTATTTATTTTTTTAACAACAGTTGAACTTTTTTTTACCTTCAAAAGTAAATGATCTAAAAACGCCTAAACTCAGATGTTTTTCATATTCGCATATGTTGTAGCTTAGACCCTATTTTACATAATCTAAGGTTTTTGTGTTGTGCCGGCTATCGGTTGAGACACAAAATACTATTGAATACAGGGTCAGTGTCATGTTTTGGCTGACAAATCTATTCAAATGGGAAAATAATTGAAATGTCAACTTTCAAATGGTACCACAAAGATGTTTGGAGGTCCACACATCAGAAAATGTTGACTTGAGTGGGAATATCTGTTGTTCTAAATTAAACTGTCAATCCTCCATAGAAAACGGGGGATTCCCACGGGGGGCCAGTATGAAAAATAATGTATGCACTCACTAACTGTAAGTCGCTCTGGATAAGAGCGTCTGCTAAATGACTAAAATGTAAATGTAAAACCTATTGAAACCATAGAAATATAGATAATAGAATAGACATGACGATTTAAGTTGACATTCGATGGTGGGTGAACCGGCGGTCATCTTTGTGGTAGTAATTAGAAGTTACAATTTCAATTCAATATAAATGTAAATGGTGTACCAGCTAAATTGCAGTGGTCTTAAGGGAAATCTATTTCTATGATTGAAATGACACCCACCCTGTATTCAAGAGCATGTTGTCTCTCAACCCATGGCGGGCACAACACAAAAACCTCAGATGTTGTGAAATAGGGTCTAAACTGCAACATATGAGAAACGTTTTTTTTCTTCATTAAATAATAAAATAGTTTGACAACACTGTTATTAGTAAGCTTTTAAATGTAAGCTTTTGTAAGCTATCAAACTCAATCGTTTATCTTTTCCAGTGATGAAGACATGTCTCATGGTATGGTGGGGCATGCACCTTTCTCTCTTGAATGTTTTGGCATTCAGGTCCAAAAAGTAACTTTCTGACGACTTCTTCCATGGGAAAACATGTATGTAAAGTTGTGTTTAGATCAAAGGGGATGCTGTCAAACAGCATTTTAATTCAAATGGATTTACCCAGAGCCCTATGAGCCCTTGTCAAAAGAAGTGCACTATGTAGGGCAGGGTTTCCCAAACTCAGTTTGGGAAACCCTGCAACATATGACCCTTATCTTTCAGCAGCGAGAAAGAATCCTTCAAATTAAAAATATACACTTACTGTAGCAGTTTTGCACATTTATACAGCTATGAGTGCCTCAATCCGACAAATTACACTTCCCAAGTGAGGCTTACACAGGTGTTTGGCGCATGTTAGATAGCACAGGTGGTTGCCGCTTGTCTTCCGTAAACAAGCGCTGTAACATGAAGACATGGCCGTGTGGGAACACTAAACCTAATCCAATCAAGGTGTGTATCAATTTAACCTTTAGTTTTTGGGAAATTATTTCTCACTGATATTAAAGAAAAAGGTCCTTATGCTTCCAAAACCTTACTGCAAGCAACGCGTCTTAATGTTTAGATTCAGCGTCGGGGCTCTTAACAAAACTCCCCTATACAGAAGACCAATGACTTATGCATAATGTAATGACCTGTGAGTCATGATCAAGGGTTAGCCAGAGTGACTGACCAGCCAATAACAGTAACAGGGTCAAGTATTCCCTGCTAAAAGGATGAGGCCATTAGAAACCTATGAATAGGTCTGCACTGCCAGCATACGCACGCTACATAAATCAATGGTGGCTCATTGGTAGGTCTACCATCTTTAGGTCTACCATCTTTGTTTCTCATAGAAAAGGTGAAATGTCACTGAGCCTGACAATGGTTATAATTCACAAATTGGAGTCATATACAACCAAAACTGGAAACCAGACTATCCGTGTAAATCTAGGCTAGGCTATCCTATAGGCCTGGGGTTCTCAACTTTCTCCTTTCTGATGCTCACTAAAACAACCTTCTTCCTTAAAATGTCATCAATTGGGGAAATGGAGGTTACTGATTATATTTTGTAAAGCAAATGTTAGTTTTTCCCTGCTTTTTCAGGGATCCCTTACACTCACTGAGGCCCCCAGGGGTCCCCTGGTTGAGACATAATTTGTAAGGAATTTTATTTGTAAGGGAAAAAGGTTCACAGAAGCAAAGCCTATTAGGACATAATTACATTTTCCCTTAAGGTATAGCACATTCAAATTCACTAAAATCCCCCCTTCATACAACATTTTACACTCATTCCCACTTTCTGCCGTTTCCCTTGTAGTCTTCCAAATATTTTACCAAATGTGTTGTTTGTTTTCATAGAACTCACCAGTAATGAGAAAGAACGCATCCCAGAATGACCGACTCATCATGATGAAGGTTGTATGTTTGTCAAGGTAATCCTCCGAAATGCTAGTGTTCTTTGCTCAAGTCTATAAACATTTGTATATGCTCGCATAGGTCAGTCAGGAGAGAGAAATGTGTTTGTATAAAATAAAGTAAATCCTTCTTCCATCACAAAACTCCTTCCGCCGTCTCTTAGGATATAGGCTACTGACGGTCTTCAGAAATTTCGCAAACAATGCAAGTGCGTCGCTATTCGGCAACTTGATTATTTTCCAGTACAATGTGCAAGCTGAGTTTTTTTTTTACTGATATATCATTCATTTAACGTGTAACAACTAACAAGTGTTCAAATACTTTGTTTCGATTAATTTATCTTACATTTAAACGGAGAAGTTTAGTCCAAGCGCTAAACAAATCGACTCTCCCCCACAGTCTAAATAAACGCTCTCACACGTAATCCTTTCGATGGTATCCCCTGAGGAGAGAGAGCGAGCGAGATAAATCAATATTGTTCTCTTTTTGCTCTCTCTGCCGGGCCCACTTCTAGTTGCCTAAAATAGCTTGTTTTTAGGGAATGTTTTAGTGTAAAATTACACTTATCACAAGAATCTCATTATGATAACTCAATCTTCAAATGACCAGTTTTCATATTTCAATTTGTGGTGGCTTTCATATGGGCAGCTACTGTATAGCCTAGGTCTAGTGCACCCATATGTGGGTGTACAGATGGACTATCCAGAATTCATGCATACTTCAAATTGCTCAATTTTGTAGGCCTGATTATGCCTGCCTAGGGCAATTACAGTTTCACAAATCAGCATAAAACATAAAAGGATGATGAGCACTCACTCCCTTTATGTTGATCCAACAACACCCATGGATCTTGAAACTCACAAAACTCCATGCGCTTAAAATAGAAACTCTGTTCTATTACATTTTCATATCAAATTAAAGTGATTTTGGTCTTGAAATGGTAAACATCCAAACACTTCATTCATATCCACTACATTATAATGGATAGCATTATGTGTTCAATTCATATAGCCTATTTGTCACTAAACAATGGTATTCCCCTGATACACTACATGTGTTTGACAAGAATTATCATCAGTCTTCACTGTGCTCAGTTGTAGAAAGTCCTGTAATTGCATTATAATGTGAACACATGTGGCCCCATGATACCATGTGTTTGACACTGTAACATCTAAATGTTTGCTCCACTATATTTATGCACACTTATCCACTAAATATATCCATTCCATACCTATTTCTTTCTGCATTTTTCTCAATTTGCAAGTTGTCTTAGAGCTTTGGATCTGCATGGGTATGTTGGTAATCATAAGGTGATAACAGTGACACATGGTATTTGTCAGAGGAAATTGTCTGTTTGGAGATGAGTTATGAGATACACTACATGACCAAAAGTATGTGGACACATCTCATTCCAAAATCATGGGGCATTAATATGGAGTTGGTCCCCCTTTTGCTGCTATAACAGCCTCCACTCTTCTGGGATGGCTTTCCACTAGATGTTGGAACATTGCTGCTTGTTTCCATTCAGCCATAAGAGCATTAGAGGTCGGCACTGATGTTGGGCGATTAGGCCTGGCTCGCAGTCGGCGTTCCAATTCACCCCGAAGGTGTTCGATGGGGTTGAGGTCAGGGCTCTGTGCAGGCCAGTCAAGTTCTTCCACACCGATCTCGACAAACCATTTCTGTATGGACCTCGCTTTGTGCACGGGGGCATTGTCATGCTGAAACAGGACAGGGCCTTCTCCAAATGTTTGCCACAAAGTTGGAAGCACAGAATCGTCTAGAATGTCATTGTATGCTCTAGCGTTAAGATTTCCCTTCACTGGAACTAAGGGGCCTAGCCCGAACCATGAAAAACAGCCCCAGACCATTATTCCTCCTCCACCAAACTTTACAGTTGGCATTATGCATTGGGGCAGGTAGCATTCTCCTGGCATCCGCCAAAACCCAGATTTGTCCATCGGACTGCCAGATGGTGAACCGTGATTCATCACTCCAGAGAACGCGTTTCCACTACTCCGGAGTCCAATAGCGGCGAGCTTTACACCACTCCAGCCGACGATTGGCATTGCGCATGGTGATTTTAGGTTTGTGTGCGGCTGCTCGGCCATGGAAACCCATTTCATGAAGCTCCCGACGAACAATTATTGTGCTGATGTTGCTTCCAGAGGCAGATTGGAACTTCGTAGTTAGTGTTGCAACCGAGGACAGCCGATCTTTGCGCGCTATGTGCTTCAGCACTCGGCGATCCCGTTCTGGAACCTTGTGTGGCCTACCACTTCACGGCTGAGCCGTTGTTTCTCCTAGACGTTTCCACTTCACAATAACAGCACTTATAGTTGACTGGGGCAGCTCTAGCAGGGCAGAAATTTGACAAACTGACTTGTTGGAAAGGTGGCATCTTATGACGGTGCCACGTTGAAAGTCACTGAGCTCTTCAGTAAGGCCATTTTACTGCCAATGTTTGTCTATGGAGATTGCATGGCTGTGTGTGTAGACTGAAGAAGGCTGTAAAGCCGAAACGTCTGTGTACACTATCCCTGATGCAGCTTTATGCTTACAGTGGGGGAAAAAAGTATTTAGTCAGCCACCAATTGTGCAAGTTCTCCCACTTAAAAAGATGAGAGAGGCCTGTAATTTTCATCATAGGTACACGTCAACTATGACAGACAAAATGAGAAAAAAAAATCCAGAAAATCACATTGTAGGATTTTTAATGAATTTATTTGCAAATTATGGTGGAAAATAAGTATTTGGTCAATAACAAAAGTTTCTCAATACTTTGTTATATACCCTTTGTTGGCAATGACACAGGTCAAACGTTTTCTGTAAGTCTTCACAAGGTTTTCACACACTGTTGCTGGTATTTTGGCCCATTCCTCCATGCAGATCTCCTCTAGAGCAGTGATGTTTTGGGGCTGTCGCTGGGCAACACAGACTTTCAACTCCCTCCAAAGATTTTCTATGGGGTTGAGATCTGGAGACTGGCTAGGCCACTCCAGGACCTTGAAATGCTTCTTACGAAGCCACTCCTTCGTTGCCCGGGCGGTGTGTTTGGGATCATTGTCATGCTGAAAGACCCAGCCACGTTTCATCTTCAATGCCCTTGCTGATGGAAGGAGGTTTTCACTCAAAATCTCACAATACATGGCCCCATTCATTCTTTCCTTTACACGGATCAGTCGTCCTGGTCCATTTGCAGAAAAACAGCCCCAAAGCATGATGATTCCACCCCCATGCTTCACAGTAGGTATGGTGTTCTTTGGATGCAACTCAGCATTCTTTGTCCTCCAAACACGACGAGTTGAGTTTTTACCAAAAAGTTCTATTTTGGTTTCATCTGACCATATGACATTCTCCCAATCCTCTTCTGGATCATCCAAATGCACTCTAGCAAACTTCAGACGGGCCTGGACATGTACTGGCTTAAGCAGGGGGACACGTCTTGCACTGCAGGATTTGAGTCCCTGGCGGCGTAGTGTGTTACTGATGGTAGGCTTTGTTACTTTGGTCCCAGCTCTCTGCAGGTCATTCACTAGGTCCCCCCGTGTGGTTCTGGGATTTTTGCTCACCGTTCTTGTGATCATTTTGACCCCACGGGGTGAGATCTTGCGTGGAGCCCCAGATCGAGGGAGATTATCAGTGGTCTTGTATGTCTTCCATTTCCTAATAATTGCTCCCACAGTTGATTTCTTCAAACCAAGCTGCTTACCTATTGCAGATTCAGTCTTCCCAGCCTGGTGCAGGTCTACAATTTTGTTTCTGGTGTCCTTTGACAGCTCTTTGGTCTTGGCCATAGTGGAGTTTGGAATGTGACTGTTTGAGGTTGTGGACAGGTGTCTTTTATACTGATAACAAGTTCAAACAGGTGCCATTAATACAGGTAACGAGTGGAGGACAGAGGAGCCTCTTAAAGAAGAAGTTACAGGTCTGTGAGAGCCAGAAATCTTGCTTGTTTGTAGGTGACCAAATACTTATTTTCCACCATAATTTGCAAATAAATTCATAAAAAATCCTACAATGTGATTTTCTGGAAATCTTTTTCTCAATTTGTCTGTCATAGTTGACGTGTACCTATGATGAAAATTACAGGCCTCTCTCATCTTTTTAAGTGGGAGAACTTGCACAATTGGTGGCTGACTAAATACTTTTTTTCCCCACTGTACCTTTTTGAGTGCGAACCCATTACACCTCTTTGTTTGTCTGAATTTGTGGGTTTTAAGCACCAGACAAACTTCTGGGAGAGCACCATGGTTCTCTTTTGCTCGATTTTATACACCTGTCAGCAACGGGTGTGGCTGAAATATCCGAATCCACTCATTTGAAGGGGTGTCCACATACTTTTGTATACAAAGTGTACATTAATTTACCGCCAGGAAGTTAATGAGAGAACAGTTAAAAACCCATTCCGTTCATGATGGGCTTATGAATTAAAAGTTGAATGGGTTCAAGGCAGGCAAGAATAAATAGTACACTATAGTGGCCAAGAGTGACAACAGTCATAGTGAAAATGTAACTTAAAATTAGATGAAGGGTAACTAGGACTAATTGAATACTTTAAAAAATAGTCTTGTGCAACATGATTAATAGATAAACCTTGATTTAACCCAGTTTAAGAGTTAATTCATGTTGGTGCAACCCACCCAGGTATTTTAGAACTGTGTTGTGCCTTGAAGTGTTGTATTGAAGACTCATCCTATGCAGTAATTTATAGGCTTACAATTCAGCACCATCTGCTGGCTGGGCAGCGACATTTGAAGAGGCTGTTCATAATTTAGTAGCCAGTGATGAATGATGATAGTATGTGCCTCAATTCCACTTGGTGACGTACAGGCTACACAAACATCAACATGTCATAAATTGATGTCAATTGGACATTTGCGCAAGAACTTGAGTTCCGCACGCGCGTTTGAAGTAAAGATGCAGTCTCATAATGAGAGTATAGGCTATAGGTCGGGTTTGAGCATGACTCCAGACATGGTCCAGCATTTGTAAATCGACAGTATGACGTTTTCAGACGGTGGCCACTGGACTAGAGCAAGCACGCTGCACGCACCTGTAATGTTTGTTGTCGCTACACCGCCTGGAAGTTGATTTCCAGAAAGACTGAGCAGGTGTTCTGCACAGACGTTGCATAGAATAATAAACTGCTATACAAACATTTGGTAGGCTTATCATAACTCAATGTTGTGAGACCGATATGAGACAAATTCCACAGTTTAGGTAAATGACTCGAGCGAGGTGACAGGTGAATAGCCTAATGCCATTACATATTTGATCTGAGACGACAGCCCACTGGGCATACACTGGTTGATTCAACGTTGTTTCCACGTCAGTTGAACCATAGACGTTGAATTGACGTCTCTGCCCAGTGGGAGGAGATATATATTCAATGTCTGATGTATTGTATAGAGAATAAAAACGTATAGTATGAGACCTACAGTAGGATAACACCCACATGAAGATCAACGTTAAACATAATCCTGACATTTCATATTGTGGTTAAACATTCCCTTAACATAACAGGAGTTGGGTGTCACACGAAATGTGACACACACACACACACACACACACACACACACACACACACACACACGTGCAGGGGGAGTGGATACTGTACTTATACAGTATTTCAGTTGGTTGGGGAGTTCGGTGATGTCCACGGTCCTGCGCTCTGCGTCCTGGCCAACCTGTATGATTCAAGGATTTTGCAACGGCTTTATGGATGACCGAATAGTTCCACTGTTATATTCTTACTTAAAAATATAATTTTCGATTCGATATGTCGCATGTTGGAGTGGATAAGAAGGTACAGTAATTTTGTTTTTATTTCGTAATAGGCTAGGTATTTTTTTATGGGCCGTGTCATGTAGTTTGCCCTCGCATACAACTTATTTTAGCAAAATGCATTTTTTTCCCATGTGAAAATAATGAGTCACCAAAATGCATTACAGAAATGTAATATAATTAATTTATCCTTGAATGTCTCAAGGCAAGTGCAAACAGTTTTTTGTTATTGACATTTATCCAGTTAGTCAGACTATTCTAACAATTGGCATGTTCTCCTTTTCGTGCACTGTTGTTCCCATTGCCTATCTTTAGAATAGTACCTGAAAACATAGGACTGGGGGCATAACACAGTGTTTCTCCTAATTTTCTTATGTAAATGAATACTCTGTGGCTAAGTACTGTGCACTATTGCACATCTCCAATATTTATGAAAGTAAACAACCTATCATTTGTGTTTCTTTTTTTATTAATACCTGTTTGTACTGACAGGGCAATGATCTAAACTTGATGTTAATGGTGACATCATGTGCCATTGGAGGCACTCTTCAGTATGGCTACAACCTTGCCATAATGAACGCACCCACCATAGTAAGGTTCTTTTGAAAGTAAACCGTGTGTGTGTGTGTGTCTGTGTGTGTATTTGTGGACCCCAGGAAGAGTAGCTGCTGCTTCTGCTAAAGCTAATGGGGATCCAAATAAACAAATACAATCTGTGTGTGTGTGCACATGCTCACATGACCATATTTGACCACACTTTACCTTTCCTCTCAGTTTATTCAGGACTTTGTTAACGAGACATTTCGGGAGCGCTGGGACGTTCAGCTGGAGGACTACCAGGTCACTCTGGTCTGGACTTGCATTGTGTCCATCTACTCCCTGGGGGGGCTGGCCGGAGCTCTTATAGCTGGACCCATGAGCATAACCTTTGGAAGGTAATCATGTATTATATCTGGACCCATGAGCATAACCTTTGGAAGGTAATCATGTATTATATCTGAACCCATGAGCATAACCTTTGGAAGGTATGATGTATTATATCTGGACCCATGAGGATAACCTTTGGAAAGTAATAATGTATTATATCTGGACCCATAAGCATAACCTTTGGAAGGTAATAATGTATTATATCTGGACCCGTAAGCATAACCTTTGGAAGGTAATGTCATCAATGTCAAGGCAATGTCAATGTCAGATATTGACACAAGGATGTGTGGTAACCTTGGAATGTGGCCCTCACTGAAAAGCTTACTATGTGCTTTACAAGTCAATATTATCAGGGCCATAACAGTGATATAACGTCTCAAAGAGAAATGTTTAGTGACTGATGAGCAAATTATCATCTGTTTATGAGTCAGATGTAAAAGGGGGTTGCATCAAAGAGAGCATAGACACAGTATCTCTGAAGACAGCAAGGCTACTTTATGCTTTCTCTTCACAGTGGAGTCAGTCAATCAACAATGTGGTGGTGTTTATGTTTCTCAAGGCTGAAAGAGCACACGGAACCTTGCAGGCTGGCACCAGGGCATATACAGTATAATATCTGGACAGAGAGTAGTATTTGCATAAACTTTAATTATAATATCATCTCTACAGTATAAGTTAATTGATACTCAAGATTTACTTGACTCTACTCGTCTCCACTCTATTCTACTCTACTCATCTCCACTCTACTCTACTCTACTCGTGTCCACTGTATTCTATTCTACTCTACTCATCTCCACTCTATTCTACTCTACTCGTCTCCACTCTATTCTACTCTACTCGTTTCCACTCTACTGTACTCTACTCTACTAAATTCTACTCTACTGTACACTCCACTACTCTACTAAATTCTACTCTACACTCCACTACTCTACTAAATGTTACTGTACTCTACTCGTCTCCACTCTATTCTATTCTACTCTACTTGTCTCCACTCTACTCTATTTTACTCGACTGTACTCTACACTACTCTACTAAATTTTACTCTACTGTACTCTACTCTACTAAATTCTACACTACTCTACTAAATTATATTCTACTCTACTCTTCTCATCTCCACTATATTCTATTCTATTCTACTCTACTAAGTTCTACTCTACACACCACTAGTCTACTAAATGTTACTGTACTCTACTCGTCTCCACTCTACTCATCTCCACTCTATTCTATTCTACTCTACTGTACTCTACTCTACTAAATTCTACTCTACACTACCCTACTAAATTCTACTCTGCTCTACTCGTCTCCACTCTATTATATTCTACTCTACTAAATTCTACTCTACTCTACACTACTCTACTATATTCTACTCTACTCTAACCCCCCTGTGTTGCTCCCACAGGAAGAAGACTATGCTGTTGAACAATATCTTCTTGATGCTGAGTTCACTCCTAGCGTTGACCAGCAGAGCTGCCAAGTCTTTTGAGATGATCATCATCTCAAGGGTCCTGGTTGGGATCAATGCTGGTGTGTACTATATATTCAACCAGAGGGTTCTCAAATGGGGGTTCTCATGTCATCAAACCATGCTCATTGTGCAACTGACTGCATTACTTGTACGTTGTGTATAGAGAAAGAATGTGTAATACTGGTTGTATGTTTGTTGCTGTCTTAGTTCTTTAAATGTCAATGACATGTAAAGTGTAGATATACAGTTACAGTATTATGTTTGATGTAAGAAAATGAAACCACAGACAGTAGAGAAATTATCCACTCCTTTCACAGGGATCAGTATGAATGTGCAACCCATGTATTTTGGTGAGAGTGCTCCCAAGCACCTGCGAGGGGCTGCTTCCCTGTCGTCAGCCATCTTCACAGCATTCGGAGTGGTGTTAGGACAGGTTGTGGGCCTCAGGTAGGCAACAGACAACACACCAACGAATCAAACAAAGACAAACATCCAAGCAGAGCATTCGGAGGCTACCAAATCAGTCTGCAATTTAGTGTTACTTAAACATAAATCTAGCACCTACAACGGATTGTGTGATTTGTTTGGGGAAATAATTGCGGTTGTAAATTTTGTTTAATTAAGTCAGTATTTCATTTGATGGTGGTCATGTGTTTCCAGGGAGATATTGGGCAGTGAACCCTGTTGGCAATACCTACTGGCCAGTAATGCCATTCCAGGCCTCATCCAGCTCCTCACTCTCCCCTGGTTCCCAGAAAGCCCTCGATACCTCCTCATAGACCGGGGGGACAAGGAGGCCTGTATCAATGGTAGGTAGGAGGAGAGCCAAATCATGGTCCTGTATCTGTGCCTGTGTTAGTGTGTGGCTATGTGCAGTACTTTCTTTTCAGAGCCACGTGGCTCTGTTCCTCTTGTATGTGAGTTAGAGAGAGGTATACAGTAAAAGGATGAGCAGGTTCTGTTGATGTTGTTCATTGTGCTGCCTCTGCGTCAGCAGGGATGGGCAGTCTTTAAATCTTATATATGCATTTGTGTACTTTGCCATCATTTGTAATTACGAAATCCATTTTGCAACATCCCTGTGTGTGTGTGTGTGTGTGTGTGTGTTAGCTCTGCGGCGTCTGCGTGGCTGTGAGGTCCAGCGATCAGAGTTGGATGAGATCCTCCAGGAGCAGGCTGAGGCTAAAGGCCTGAGGCCCAGCAGACCCTGGGAGCTGTTCGCTGACCGTAATGTCCGCTGGCAGGTGATCTCTATCATCACCCTCAGCAGCGCTATGCAACTCTGTGGCAACGACTCCGTGAGTTACTACAAAAACATTAGAACTCGGAACTTGGAAATAAGAACTTGGAACATCAAAAGTAGAATTTTTAATTACTTTATTTTTCAACAGGTAACTTAATTTGAATACATTAAGTAGGCCACCTGCGTCACATTAAAATCACAAATAATATCTCTGGTGAATGATGCTCCCTTTATTATTACTTTACCCGCTTTCTTACAAATTATGTAAGAAGCAGACTCCTGCCAGCAGACTTCTCTTGTAATTGTAAGCATGGTTTCTTCCCACAGTCATTGGGTTTCTCAGATGTTCAGTTTAGGTTTGAGTAAGCAGGGTTTTGGTTCTCTCTGGTCCTGGGGTTTCTGACTGAGAGCACTCTCTCTCTAGGATCAAAGTTACCTACCTCTAAAGAACACCATTGTTCTGACAGTAGAACATACCCAGCTCAGATTACATTTTGGCCACAGTGTTCCTGACCCCTCCTTCTCACAGCAGACTTGATCAGAAATGTGAGATCAGCTATCAATATTTCATACTGTGCATAGACGGGTTTACATTTCCTTGTTAAAAATGCATGCTTGTGATGATGACATGTGGTTGTACTTTACAGTTGTAATGCTGCGGGAGTTAGGGAGGAGTACATAACTTAAGGTTACTTTCGTAACGCCAGTTCTCTGATAATAGAGTGGGGTGTCTCACATTGGGATTTGCTGGATAAGCAGATCTCTACGGAAGGTCCAATCAGGTTGTGTGGCGAATGAGGAGAGAACCTACTCATTATAAGTCGCCACTGCCCCGCCTTCTGGTCATTCTAAAGCATGTCTCTCTTCCTTGCGCTCTTGCGAGCAGGGAAATGCGGTGAGACATCTCACTCTATTATCAGAGAACCGGGGTTACGAAAGTAACCTTAAGTTCTCTTTTAAATAATCGTTTGGTGTCTCACATTGGGATCTTGCCAACTCCCATAATGCAGACTTGCTCTCCTGAGCCAGGACAGTCCCAACAGTATCACCCCTCAGAGGCCCCGACACTGAGGATCGTATGCGCCAACGAAGGTGCAGTGACATCCAGCCGGTAAAACCTCATAAACGTATGAGGGGTGGCCCAACATGCCACATCACAAATATCTTGTACAGAGGTGCCCTTGAACAGTGCCCAAGAGGTAGCCATGCCTCTGGTGGAATGAGCCCTCAGGCCCTCAGGGAGCTGTAAACCCTTGCTATTATAAGCCAATATAATAGCCTCCACCATCCAATGGGATAGCCGTCAATGAGAGAGGGCCTAGCCGTGCAGGGAGGTGCCCATGAAACAAAGAGCTGGACGCTGTTTTGTAAGGCTCTCATCCTATCCAAGTAGATGGGAAAGGCACGTACTGGACACAAACAATGGAGACGCTCTTCCTCCATAGAGGTGAAGGGCGACGGGTGGAAAGCCAAAAGCTCTAAGATGAGGCAATTATAGGTATTGCTGACCTTAGGTACATAGATGGAGTTAGGCTACAAAGTAACCTTGGATTACCCTGGGGCAAACTGTAGGAACAAATGGTGGACTGAGAGTGCATGCCGCTGACTCGCTCGCTTTGCGTACGTAAGGGCAATAAGTAAATGTCACGATCGTTTACGGACGAGAAGGACCAAGGCGCAGCATGATATGCATTCATATTTATTTACGGCTAAACACACGACAAAACAACAAACGAAACGTGACGTCCAAGGTAGCATACAAACAACATACCTTACACGGAACAAGATCCCACAACCCACTAGTGCCAACAGGCTACCTAAGTATGTCCCCAATCAGAGACAACGAGCTACAGCTGCCTCTGATTGGGAACCACCCTGGCCAACATAGATCTAAACGATCTAGAAACTAAACATAGAAAACACAACATAGAAACTACACACCCTGGCTCAACATTTAAGAGTCCCCAGAGCCAGGGCGTGACAGTACCCCCCCCCCCCCCCCCCCCCCCCCCCCCAAAGGTGCGGACTCCGACCGCACAACCTAAACATAACAGGGTAGGGTGGGCGGATCCGGCTCCGGGCGTGACCACCACCTATTATCCGCCTCCCTGTTGCACCCCTGGTCTGGTCTGGAACCGCTGACTGGAGCTGGACCCGACGACGGTGGATCGAACTGCTCTGGCTCCGGAGTGGAGCCGCTGACCGGAGCTGGATCAGGCACCGGTGGAGCGGACTGCTCTGGCTCCGGAGTGGAGCCGCTGACCGGAGCTGGACTGGACCCCAGTGGAGCGGATTACTCTGGCTCCGGAGTGGAGCAGCTGACCGGTGCCGGACCAGGCACCGGTGGAACAGGCACGGGCCGTGCCGGACTGGACACATGCACCACTGGCTTGGTGCGGGGAGTAGGAACGGGCCGAACCTGGCTGATGACGCGCACCCCTGGCTTGGTGCGGGGAGCAGGAACGGGCCGGACTGGGCTGATGACGCGCACCACTGTCTTGGTGCGGGGAGCAGGAACGGGCCGTACCAGACTGGCGACGCGCACCACTGGCCTGGTGCGGGGAGCAGGAACAGGCCGGGCCGGGCTGGCGACGTGCACCACTGGCTTGGTGCGAGGGACAGGCACAGGTCGGACCGGGCTGGCGACACGCACCACTGGCTTGGTGCGAGGGGCAGGAACAGGCCGGGCCGGGCTGGCGACGCGCACCACTGACTTGGTGCAAGGGACAGGAACAGGTCGGACCGGGCTGGCGACGCGCACCACTGGCTTGGTGCGAGGGGCAGGAACAGGCCGGGTCGGGCTGGCGACGCGCACCACTGGCTTGGTGCGAGGGACAGGAACAGGCCGGACCGGGCTGGTGACGCGCACCACTGGCTTGATGCGAGGAGCAGGAACGGGCCGAACCGTACTGGGAACACACACCACTGGCCTAGTGCGGGAAGCAGGAACGGGCCGGACCGGACTGACGACACGCACCACTTGATTGGTGTGAGGAGCGGGACTGGGTTCCTTCATTAACCCCCGCTCCTTCTGCTGCCTAACCAGCTCCTCTCGCCGTACCTCTACACTTTCCTTCTGCTCCCTCTGAACCAATGACCCCCCTAATCTGGTGGCCTCCTCTGCTAAACAGCGGACCCGCTCTATCGCGGCCTCCTGCTGCCTCGTCGTCCACGGCGTGAGCCCCCCCCCCCTAAAATGTTTTGGGGATTGTCTCTTCCCCGTGATCATGGCCTCCATCCCTCTTGCCAGACTCTCGCTCATCTCCTCTCAAGTCCATCCTCTCTCCTCGTCACGCTGCTTGATCCAGGATTGGTGGGATCTTCTGTCACGATCGTTTACGGACGAGAAGGACCAAGGCACAGCGTGATATGCATTCATATTTATTTACGGCTAAACACACGACAAAACAACAAACGAAACGTGAAGTCCAAGGTAGCATACAAACAACATACCTTACACGGAACAAGATCCCACAACCCACTAGTGCCAACAGGCTACCTAAGTATGGTCCCCAATCAGAGACAACGAGCTACAGCTGCCTCTGATTGGGAACCACCCTGGCCAACATAGATCTAAACGATCTAGAAACTAAACATAGAAAACACAACATAGAAACGACACACCCTGGCTCAACATTTAAGAGTCCCCAGAGCCAGGGCCTGACAGTAAAGCGGTTTTGAAGTACAGATACTTCATCTCCACGCTTTCCAGCAGCTCCAACGGTTGCTGGGAAATAGCCTCAAGCACTATAGACAGATCCCAAGACGGGACTAAAGGCTTGAAAACTGGACATAAGCGACACGCCCCCTTCATAAAACATAACAGGGGATGTCTCCCTATTGTGTTGTTGTTGAATCCTATATGTCAGGCAGAGATGGCAGCTAGATAGACCTTAACCATGGAGAAAGCCTTTTCTCTGTCCAGAAAGTCCTGCAAAAAAAGCACAGGATCTCGGATACAGAGCATTGGTAAGGAATAATCTGGCATAGAGCGGCACCCTTGGTCAAGGGTGTGCCAGGGCGTCCACCCCTGGTGGTGCGTCTCCTGCCAGCGCAAAGAACAGAGGGCAGTGTGCATCTTTGTGCGATGTGAAGAGATCTACGGTGGCTCGACCGTATCTCTCCCAGATCTGGTTTACCAATGAGAGGAGGTGTGCGCTGCGCCACAGAATAATATTGAAAGCTAATCTGTGTAGATGCAGAGAGTGAGTGCCATACTGGCGTTTGATGTATGCTACCACAGTCGTATTGCCTGTCCTGACTAGGATGTGAAGGCAGAAAGTGTTTCAGAGATAGGAACACTGTCATCAGTTCGAGGTAGTTTATGTGTAGCGTGGCGGAGCTGTGGGGACCACAACCTGTTTACCACTCTTCCCTTGTGAACTGCGCCCCACCCTGTGAGTGATGCGTCTGTCGTCACCACCTTCCTCGCTGACACTATCCCGATGTGATGTGGCTGTCCAATAGTGTAGCCCGGAAAGAGAGAGAATCCAGTCCGACACCCAAATATTATATTATCTGTGTGGGCATTAAACAGCTCTTCTTCTGGTTGATCTTGAACCCCAACTCGGTGAGGTGGGTTACAAGGGAAGCTGTGTCTCGCACTGCTTGATCCTGTTCAGTGGAGCAAAGCAGGTAATTGTCTATAGAAACTGAGACTCTGAGTCCCATGCTTCTAAGGGGATCCGGACGCTTGCTGAACATCTGGGGAGCTAATGATAGCTCTGCTCTTGTGGCGAGTTGCCCATAAGTTAGATGGCTCTCGCTCACCAGTGGTGCCAGCGTAATGGGGAGTTGCCCTTTTATTGTATTTTTGACCTTGCCAAAATGCTTGGATACAGCAGAGACTTTTATTACAAAGGGCAGTGTTGAGACAATGGGTGGGGACAGTGCTTGGTGGTGACTGAAAATGTGTCTTCCTACCTCGGCTACTTGAAAAAGTGCAGAGGGGAGAGCTGTGGCACAGGGGGCACTTGGGGGTTGAGTGAACTCCCTCCGTCTTCCCTGTGAGCAGACGCATAGGAATGAGCTGCTGCACAGGGGATAGGGCTCTTGGAGCGCAGATGTGCCTTTCCCCCATTTTGTGGGGGGGGGGTGCGCTCAGCCCGAGAGGGGACAGGCCAGGACACAGTGTCAACTGTTGGCTGCCCCTCTCCACCGCTGAGGACAGAACCCTAGGTCGGTCGCCCCTTCTTCCCTCCAAGGGAATCAGCAGGGCGGGACTTCGTTGCAGCTGCAAGGCTGTGAGGAAGAGGAGCCTCGAGGAGGGGATGCTCTATACAGTCTCCGTTTGAGGCCGGTCCTCAGCAACTCTGTACAATGCACACAGGACTCAGGGTTAGTGAGCATGAATGTAGGTTTTACTGGACGAGAGGAGGAAGCTAGCAATTCTACCATCTGGGCAGGTTTGAAGAGCTAGTGGAAGTTAGCTGGCTTTTCAGTGAGCTAACCAAGTAGCTTAGCTTTGCAGCGTGAGCTCACCAAGTCCCAGTAGCTAGCCGTGTGACGCTAGCTACCACCTCACGCTTTGCAGCGTGAGCTCACCAAGTCCCAGTAGCTAGCCGTGTGACGCTAGCTACCACCTCACGCTGGCTTTTCAGTGAGCTAACGACAGACGTCGTGAGATTGGACCTTCCGTAGTGATCCGCTTATCCAGCGAATCCCAATGTGAGACACCAAATGATTATTTGAAAGAGAACGGGTTGTTTGTATTTCAGATAGGGTTTAATGAAGAGGTGTAGTCAGTCCAAGGCCATGCCAAGTTAATGGTGCTGCTGCAGTCTCTTAGTTGCCTTCATGCTACATCTCACAGTCCCTAACTGATGACTGTGTAATTACAGTACCTTCTTTCTTCAGGGGATTATTTAGACCAGGGGGCTGGCAGCTGGAAGCCTTAGGGAGAGAGCTGACTGGGTATTAGAGCAGTAATATGCTAAATTCTTTGTGCCTGAATCAGCTTATCATCAACACAATTTCAATTTGGTAATTTGATGTAATGATTTAAAATGGTCAGTCAGTCTGTCAGTACTCTGTAAGTACATGATAAGGACAGGACTCATTTTATGAAAAACTATAGAAAAAGTATAGTTTTATTCAAAAATCATCATAACTGAAACAGCAGCCACTGTACTCTGTCAGTACTCTTACTGTATGTACAGTGTATGTGACGTTCTCTTTCACTCCAACAGATCTACTTCTATGCATACTATGTGTTTAAAGAGTCCGGGATCTCTCCGGATATGATCCAGTATATCACCATATGCACTGGTACATGTGAATTCACAGCCTGTATAATATGTGTGAGTATTCCTGAGTAATAATACACATGGCTGTTATGTAACTATTGGTAACTAACTAACCACCCCAGAGGCAAGGAGGGATTGTTTAACCCGTCTCTCTCTCTCTCTCTCTCTCTCTCTCTCTCTCTCTCTCTCTCTCTCTCTCTCTCGTTAAATCTTTAATCCAGACCTTTGAAAAAGTTGCTCTGTAAGAAAAGTTCCATTTCAAAATGTTCCTGCATTCTGAGAGCTGTTAAAGCGCTTTTCTAGACATTCTGTTTGGATTAGAATGTTTTTTTAGAATGTATTTTCACACAAGGCTAGAAAATGCTCACCTCAGGGTAACCAGAGACGTGATAAAGTAGAAACACCTCTCTATGGCGTCTATGGCTAACCTCAGGGCTGAAAATGATATGATTTTAATATACATTGTAATATTTGCATCCTCCTCAGAACCTGCTGATTGAGCGACAGGGCAGGAAGATTCTTTTGATGGGAGGCTACATTTTCATGACAGGCTGGGCCATTGTCTTCACTATAGCGCTATGTTTTGAGGTATTAAATAATGTATGCACTCACTAACTGTAAGTCGCTCTGGATAAGAGCGTCTGCTAAATGACGTAAATGTAAATGTAAATGTTATATCTTCTTATGTCATCCTCGTCCCCTGTCAGTGTAAGAAAATAAAGGTGCGAGTGGAAGTCAAAAGGTGATCTGAAACTAGATGATGGTGATACGTGGCTGAAATGCCATGTCCTAGTCATGTCCCAGTCTCTAATTGCATTGGCTTTACTGACCTTTGGGACTGTATTACTTCTGAAGTGCCTACATACTCATCCTAATGGAAGGATAGCAGTCTGACTTGGTGCATCTGCATTGTGGTCATGCTTGGGTTGTTGTGTACCAGGCAGAAAAGTAAACACACCCCTTTGAACCCACTGTTGTTGATTCCTCTTCATGTTGTGACAACACATCACTCTATCCACTAGGAGTAGGTGCAGCGGGTGGTTGGATAGGTATAGTCAGGTACAGTTGTAGGATAACTCTTTTGTTGCTGAGAATTTTCCTGCACAGCAGAAAATTCAAACTTGTAGTCTATTCAAGGTTTAAAAAGGCTTTTAAAGTTTGTAATTTCTACTTTGAAATGTCAGACTTGATTTGCCTTAATGAAAGATTACAAAATTACAAAAAATGTCCATGAACTATAATCCACATCATAATTCACATTTCCTCTTATTTTCCTGCTGTAGCAAACTGGATCAATTAAGATCCTACATGTGTACAGCAACAGGACACTCTTAAAAAGGCCAGTCTCAATCAGTGGTATTATGTGGTGCTCATTTGAATCAACATCGATTTAGCTAAATGCTTTTTTGACCAGTGATTACCTCAGCCTTTGGTCTGCAAGAAAGTCAGATGTTTTACATTTGACTGATATTGATTCAGCAAGATAGTAATTTTCCTGACAACTCAGTTCTTTCTTTTTTATAAAAATGTTTAACTTGCTAAATCATCTATTTTTTACTTGATAACTAAGTTATTTGTTTTCCTGTAACAGCACAAGGTGGAGTGGATGCCCTACTTGAGTATGGCCTGTATCTTCACCTATATACTCAGCTTTGGCATGGGCCCAGGTGAGCCAGTCTCTTCATCTCAATAGCTTTAATATTAATATTTAGCATTAATATTATTAGACCAGTCAGTTAGAAATACTAGCTACTATTGAAGGGAATTACATTGCATTTAAGTATTTTATCCTACACAGTACAGAGTATCCAACAGAGTTGCAGTTTACAATTTGTTGATAGTTTGAGCATCTGTAGATCATCTATAGGGGACTATCCAAATAAAGTGTGACCTGGATTTCATTTCATTTCAACTATGGCTGTAAGGATGACAAACGTATTTTTCCTTGGGGATTAATAAAATACACTCAACTCATCTCATTATTGAATGCTCATGGGAAATGATCTACAGTAGGGTGACAGTATTGGTAAAGTCTTTGTGTATCTTTGCCTACAGCTGGAGTGACAGGGGTCCTCCCTACAGAGATCTTTAGCCAGACTGCCCGTCCAGCAGCCTACATGATAGCTGGCTCAATGATGTGGATCAACCTTTTCATTATGGGGATGATCTTTCCATTCCTGGTGGTGAGTGAAAAACACACACGCACAAACACACACACACACAGGGTCATTCCACAAAACGAGTGCCTTTCGCGTCACCTAGATATAAGTAGAAATTGTGCACAAGTACAGTGGGGAAACAAAGTATTTAGTCAGCCACCAATTGTGCAAGTTCTCCCACTTAAAAAGATGAGAGAGGCCTGTAATTTTCATCATAGGTACACGTCAACTATGACAGACAAATTGAGAATTTTTTTTCCAGAAAATCACATTGTAGGATTTTTTATGAATTTATTTGCAAATTATGTTGGAAAATAAGTATATGGTCACCTACAAACAAGCAAGATTTCTGGCTCTCACAGACCTGTAACTTCTTCTTTAAGAGGCTCCTCTGTCCTCCACTCGTTACCTGTATTAATGGCACCTGTTTGAACTTGTTATCAGTATAAAAGACACCTGTCCACAACCTCAAACAGTCACACTCCAAACTCCACTATGGCCAAGACCAAAGAGCTGTCAAAGGACACCCGAAACAAAATTGTAGACCTGCACCAGGCTGGGAAGACTGAATCTGCAATAGGTAAGCAGCTTGGTTTGAAGAAATCAACTGTGGGAGCAATTATTAGGAAATGGAAGACATACAAGACCACTGATAATCTCCCTCGATCTGGGGCTCCACGCAAGATCTCACCCCGTGGGGTCAAAATGATCACAAGAACGGTGAGCAAAAATCCCAGAACCACACGGGGGGACCTAGTGAATGACCTGCAGAGAGCTGGGACCAAAGTAACAAAGCCTACCATCAGTAACACACTACGCCGCCAGGGACTCAAATCCTGCAGTGCCAGACGTGTCCCCCTGCTTAAGCCAGTACATGTCCAGGCCCGTCTGAAGTTTGCTAGAGTGCATTTGGATGATCCAGAAGAGGATTGGGAGAATGTCATATGGTCAGATGAAACCAAAATAGAACTTTTTGGTAAAAACTCAACTCGTCGTGTTTGGAGGACAAAGAATGCTGAGTTGCATCCAAAGAACACCATACCTACTGTGAATCATGGGGGTGGAAACATCATGCTTTGGGGCTGTTTTTCTGCAAAGGGACCAGGACGACTGATCCGTGTAAAGGAAAGAATGAATGGGGCCATGTATCGTGAGATTTGAGTGAAAACCTCCTTCCATCAGCAAGGGCATTGAAGATGAAACGTGGCTGGGTCTTTCAGCATGACAATGATCCCAAACACACCGCCCGGGCAACGAAGGAGTGGCTTCGTAAGAAGCATTTCAAGGTCCTGGAGTGGCCTAGCCAGTCTCCAGATCTCAACCCCATAGAAAATCTTTGGATGGAGTTGAAAGTCCGTGTTGCCCAGCGACAACCCCAAAACATCACTGCTCTAGAGGAGATCTGCATGGAGGAATGGGCCAAAATACCAGCAACAGTGTGTGAAAACCTTGTGAAGACTTACAGAAAACGTTTGACCTGTGTCATTGCCAACAAAGGGTATATAACAAAGTATTGAGAAACTTTTGTTATTGACCAAATACTTATTTTCCACCATAATTTGCTAATAAATTCATAAAAAATCCTACAATGTGATTTTCTGGAAAAAAAATTCTCATTTTGTCTGTCATCATTGACGTGTACCTATGATGAAAATTACAGGCCTCTCTCATCTTTTTAAGTGGGAGAACTTGCACAATTGGTGGCTGACTAAATACTTTTTTTCCCCACTGTATTGCATTTTAAAAGCCTGTTATATAAAATGAAGTGCCGTTTCATATAGACCACATCTGATTTTGAATATGAGTAAAGACTTGCTAAAGTGCCAAAATTCAGAATTGACTTCTAGGAAGATTTTAACCCACTTAACCCCAATAGTTTTCATCATCTTTGTAAAGCCTGAGTTAATATTATTGCTTTGAGTCATTTCTGAAGATTATAATTTATTTAATGTAATTAATGATTCATTTTAAGGTCAACCCTGTTACGTGAACTGTACTCTCATTTTAATATGGTGAAACAATTCCATTTAATATTATTTTTTTTCAAAAGAAACATTGAACATCTAATAGTAAAATCACAGTGTAAAAGCAGGTGAGCTGGTTCTAGTCTTTTTGGCAATTATCTGGTGTTTTGTGGTGGAAAACTGACCGGATCGAGCATAACACGTCAACCTTGTTACCAACAGATACAATAGACAAGCTAGAAATGTTTAGAAAATAATAATTGGGGGAGGGTGAAGCTTGCATTCAATTGCCCCTCTCTGTTGCACACAACAAGCTTCCATTCCCCCTGTCACAAGGGGATTTATGTATGATTTAAGATGAAGTTGTTAACCCTGTTACTTTATTTGGCACTTAATAAGCACTTACCTTAGGCCTTTTTTTATTGAATCGCTTGAGATGGGAAAACATGTTTTTTATTAAGTTGAACGTGCTCTTTATGACAGAATGTTAAAATTAGGTGAAATAAAATGTTTTTTTTCATCATGTTACACTACTCAAAAGGCAACTAGTTGGTGGAACGACCCCCCCCCCCCCACCCCACAAACACACACACACTGACACCTTTGTATTGTTCTCTCTTCTCTCTCTCTCTCTCTCTCTCTCTCTCTCTCTCTATCTCTCTCTCTCTCTATCTCTCTCTCTCTCTCTCTCTCTCTCTCTCTCTCTCTCTCTCTCTCTCTCTGCAGAGTGAGCTGGGTGAGTTCTGCTTCGTCCCATTCGCTGCTGTCTGTTTCCTGTCCGCTCTGTATGTGGGCCTGGTTCTGCCTGAGACCAAAGGGAAGACCCTCTCAGCCATCGCCAGCGAGTTCCACAAGCTCAACTACAGGGGCCAGGACAAGCAGGGTCTACCTGCCCCTCAGGCCCAGTATCAGCTGGGAGAGGTCTGCCACTCCACTGCCCTGTAGGCCTACTGCTCTCCTACCTATGACCTACGACCTCTACCATTGACCACAGTACTATTTAAGGTTAATTCATTAACCTTAATTAACCAGGGGGTCCAATTGAGGTCAGAATACCTTTTTCCCACAGGTAACCTGATTTTCCATACTCTTGAGTTTGGAAAAAGCATACAAAGATGGTGTATTCACTTTCATTAAAATGAAAGTAAGTAAATCTTCGGCAATAAACTCTTGGAGAGAAGAATTGTTGTTTTGAGCACAGAGATCCCATTAAAGATATAATATGTTATTCTGTAGTATTGAGTGGCTTGAGTGAAAGCCTTATGTACAGAGGGGTGTTAAGGGATGGACTGTCTTTACTTTGAAAGTTGTTCATTTTAATAATGTGCTTTTGGCATCAAGTAGTGTGCACTTTTAGTCTACCAGTACAGAAGAAAATGCAATGTTGTGGGTCCCATATCTTGAAAGGGTGAATGTAATCCACATAAATCTTTAATGGTGAATTCCATATACACTGATCATTAAAGTTATGTTTTATTTTTGATGACCAATATTTTTTATTGTAACAAAGATTTCCCAAATCCCTGTGAGCCTTTTTATGCCATATCAATCAAATATTGCGTTGTGATGTAAAATGAAGAAAGTATATTCATATCAAATCAAGTCAAATGCACAGTTCAACTGCTGCTACATGTGTCATGGGGTTATCATAAAGATATGGTGGATGATATTGTAACAAGGTAAAACCAAAGATATCCAAACTACTGTATGTTGAGAGAGTATTATACTGTATTTGTAGATAATTTCATATCAAACTATATTATCAAATGATCAACTTGTTTTGAATAGTATGTCATATATTTCATTGTTTGGAATAGATTGTGATCATAAACAAATAAGACCATGTAATGTATCTGTGTGAAACGTGTGAAATACATTTGGGAAAATAAGTATAGAAGGACCAGTAAAGAACACTGAGTTAGATATCAACTAACTTATTACACAATTGAGACCCATGTCTGTTACTTCACAACACTAACAGGAAGTTGCATATCTTTATTTTGGCAGGAAAATGTACCATCCGTCAGGACAAGTACAGATAGTTCCTTAATCACAGATGCAATACCTACAAACAGCTCCCACCTTGGAACACCCTTCTACCTGGCCTCTCCCTCCTCTGTCACATCTCTGAGATCGTCCTCTCGCTCTCTCTCTATAGAGCGCAGAGGCGAGATAGATCTCTATACTCTCTCTCGTGCTCTCTCTCTCTCTCTCTCTCTCTGTCTCTCTCTCCTTTCCTCCTTCCCTCCAACCTCTTTCTCCCCTCTAACCTCCTCTCCACTATTAGGCTGAATGATCAACCAAGGTGGTGTAAATAGTAACTATGTCAGGGACAGGGGCGGGTTGGTCATGGGGATAAATGACCACCTGCTCTCCTGTTCCAGACAGCATCCAGGGAGCCTCAGACAGAGAGATGAGAGAAGCACTCAAAAACATGGTAGGAGCACAGAACATCACTCACAAACAAACTGTTCATGAGGCACTTGTGACAACTGCTGATGTTAAAAGCGCTTTATAAATACATTTGATTGAGTGATGAGGCACAAGTTGAAATTACAAATCCTTTTGTTATGTGGAAAGCCTTAGCCTATGTCAGTGTTACAAACAACGTAGGCCTATGCATCCAATTTGACTGTTGACAGTAATATCAAACTTGAATCATATCTGTGTAGACCCTAATGTTGCCCTTTGTTTCAACCAGTTATAAGGTACAGTTTGGAGTGAACAGGGATTGACATTAAGGTCTGAAAGGCACTTGTCCATCGGACAAGTCAGCACTATTTTGTTGGTCAGTTTTCGTCTCTTTCCCAAAAATGTGAAGATAGTTATTTACACACAAAATTGTCAGAACCTGTTGGTCACTTAATTAAAAAGCAGGGAGGAAGCAGAAACAAATCTGTTTTACTTGCCTGCAGTGCTACATCGAATGTGTAACATTTGCATGAGATGCTCCTAAGTTCTACATGTATTTTGAAGATGTCGAAAGGTTCTGCTCGCCCAGACCAAATGTTATGCTTCCAGTGTAGCAGACTTTTAAAGTTACTTTTATGCCGTCCAAAACAAGTGTATTGGTGTCAATTACAAGCTTTGTGGTCGCCTGTTATTCCACTACACATGAGTTGAAAACTTGTGCATTGTCACAGGAAAAGTTTGGCTCGTAAATCAGGCCATATTAACACTTGTTATTATAATTAACACTTCAAATGTCAAATGTAATTTTTACACATGATCTTCTCACATTCTCCAGTGAGCATTTACAGGTGAATAGATCGCCTGTCTTCTGTACATGAAAATAAATGTCCTTTCCTTTCCTAGCTCTCTTTCCTCCTTTCCTTTCCTCATTTTCTTTCCTAACTCCTTTTCTTATTTCCTTTCTTCTTATCCTTTCCTGAGCTTCCTTTCCCCCTTTACTAGCTCCCTTTTAGGGATGGGCAAGAGTAATCGAGTACTTGAGTACTCGAACGGATGTCAAAGCTCAATCTTTAACCTGATATCTTCTTTTTTTTTCAAATACTGTTAAACTATTTGGTGGAATGTGCTTTGTCGCTGCCGGAACAGGCAAGTGAAATTTTGTCTTGAAGACAACGTTAATTTGCTTTGACTCTAGGGTTCCATTTATACATGCACATTTGCGGACACAACAAAAAAGAAGCCAAGCATCACACCTTTCTTCTCCCGAAATTCCCTTTCCCCTCCATGTCTCATTCACTCAATTGCGTTCTGACTGCGCCCTCCACACACACATGCTGAGTGCGCACACAAGCTCCCGTTAGGCCTACATAAATGCCTATAAAAATGTGTCAAACTGATGGGATACACAAGCTACATTCCTTGCCAAATGACGACAGTGTTATCACAAATATAAAATTGACTAGTTGATTGAAGTAGGAAAATATGAGTTCCAACAACAAGCTGCAGTTTTGGAATAATTGCGTCCCGTCTATTTTCCGCATAAGCTCCTTTGCGAACTTCTAGTGCATTTTAGAGTGGGTTAGAATGGGTTAGCCACACTGAAAATATGCAAAAACATTAGCTTGATAAAGACAAAGAGTGTATTTTCATCAGAATCATTAAGCCTACTCACCAAACGATGCAGTGTTCAATGTGGAATTCAAATCTCATTTTATTGGTCGCATACACATATTTATTAGATATTATTGCGAGTGTAGCGAAGTGCTTGTGTTCCTAGCTCCAACAGTGCAGTAATATCTAACAATACCCAACAATACACATTAATCTAAAAGTAAAATAATGGAATTAAGAAATATATAAATATTAGGACGAGCAATGTCGGAGTCCTGAGTATAAATATATATATATATATATATATATATATATATATATATATATATATATATATATGGGATGGGATGGGATGTATATCTTAAGAATATGTAGGACAGAATAGTATATGTACAGCAATAGTTGAATAGGATGGACTTGACTATAATACAGTATATACATTAAAATGGGTAAAACCTTATGTAAACATGATTAAAGTGACCAGTGTTCCATTATTAAAGTGACCAGTGTTCCATGTCTGTGTACATAGGGCAGCAGCCACTAAGGCATAGGGTTACGTAACCAGGTGGTAGCCAGCTAGAACAGTGACTAAAGTTCAGGGCAGGGTACTGGGTGGAGGCTGGCTAGTGATGTCTATTTAACAGTCTGATGGCCTTGAGATACAAGCTGTTTTTCAGTCTCTCTCACATTATTAGCCCCAATTGTTCTTCCATTTAGAAAATTCCAAAAGCTGGCTAGTGATGTATATTTAACAGTCTGATGGCCTTGAGATACAAGCTGTTTTTCAGTCTCTCTCACATTATTAGCCCCAATTGTTCTTCCATTTAGAAAATTCCAAATAACAGGCAGAATAAACAAAATCGAACGTCTGTAAATCGAAAAGAAGAAAGATTTTGGTTTGTAACCCTGAACAAATTGTCTTTCAACTCACCAAATTGAGCCCCGTTTCAAATTATCACTCTTTCAGAAGAACTGTTCCAGGCACGAGATGTGCATCACTTCGCACTGGCAACTTTTTTCATTTGGAAAAATATTAGGTTCTATTTTATTCTGTTATATTTCATCATGTTTTTTTAAAACTAAAAATTAGGTGTGTCTTGACTGTGACAAGGGCTCGGGTAATATGAGTGTCTTGTCTTCTAAATTCACAAAGCAAGGCTATGCTATTGCACAGCCATAGGCTTCTACAAGCAAGTGCCACTGCTGAGGTTACTGCCTTTTTGAAGATTGTGTTCCATGATATAATATTGATATTACGGTTTCAATAAATTAATCTTAAATGGCACTTACTTTTTTATTGACTGAATATACTGTACACTACCAGTCAAAAGTTTGGACACACCTACTCATTCAAGGGTTTTTCTTTATTTTTTAAAAATTTTACATTATAGAATAATAGTGAAGACATCAAAACTATGAAATGACATATATGGAATCATGTAGTAACCAAAAAAGTGTTAAACAAATCAAAATATATTTTATATTTGAGATTCTTCAAAATAGCCACCCTTTGCCTTAATGACAGCTTTGCACACTCTTTCCTAGATCCCTTTCCTAGGAAGGAAAGAAAGAGAGCTAGGAAAGGACAGGAAACAGGGGAATATTTGTTTGAAAAGCTGTTTGACGTACAGAAGACAGGTGGTCTATTCACCTGTAAATGCACACGTGAAAAGATCACGTGTAAAAATGACATTTGACACTTGAAAAAAAGCAATTGAAAAATTATCATAACAACCATTAACATCACCTGTAAATGCACATTGGATATTCACAAGTAAAAATTATAGTGGACATTTGAAAAAAGCTAGTGAAAAATTATAATAACAAGCATTAATATGGCCTGATTTACAAGCCAGGCGTTTCCTGTGACACTACACACGTTTTCAACACATGTGTAGTGTAATACCAGGCGACCACACCGCTTCTAATTGATACCAATCTACCTGCTGATACCAATCCACCTGCTGATACCAATCCACCTGCTGATACCAATCCACCTGCTGATACCAATCCAATGTGTTTTCGGGGTGAGACGATTTCAACCTTTTGGTTTTCCATACCCAGTGTAGCCCCAATGTTAGGCTACTGGAATTCAGTTGTGAAAAAGCACCTGCCTAATTGGGAAACCACAGAACAGACTCATCTTGCCCGCCTGCCACAAATGCCATAAATTGTCCGTCATTCACTTAAACAATGGGGATTAACCAAAAATATAAATTTTAGGCCTACTGGAATTCTTTGCTGTTTTGTTGTTTTCAGTAAAAGAAAACTTCTCAGTTCACTTGCCCCAGGTAATATGGCAACCATTAAGGTCAATCCCTGGTGAAGACATGACTTTGTATTCTAGGTGCGGTACTGGAGGCTTTACCTGTTGACGTTGGTATTGGGAATTGGGGGATCATTTCAGTTGGGGATGCAAGTTTCCATCATGGCTTCTCCAGCTGAGGTAAGAAAGAATACTGATGGCCAGCTGTAAGCTCTGAAGTGTTCAATATTAGCTGTGAGTGGCTAAGGGATCAAAGTTAATATACCAAATGCATAATATGAGTACTAACATTTGAATCACATCTGGCCATACCATTGCCATCATGAGTAAGCATATTTTTATTTGAGCCAAATCTCAGTGTAGTAAACCAGTCTCTCTCCTCTCTGTGTGTCTGTAGCACATCCAGAGCTTTGTGAACCAGACCTGGCTGGGGAGGTATAAGGTTCCAGTAGACGATTCAACCAACATGCTCATCTGGTCTTTCATAGTGTCTGTGTTCAGCCTGGGAGGATGGGTCGGGGCTATACACAGCGGCAGCCTCCCTGTCACCCACGGCAGGTCAGACACTGTACACAATACACACACCAGTGTACCCCAGGAAGAGTAGCTAGCTGTTGTTTTTGTACCAGCTAATGAGGATACACACACACACATTACATACACTGTATAGAAGGTGTAATGAACTCCTGATGTCTCTTCTGTCTGGTTTTGCAGGAAGAAAGCCCTGCTGTTCAACAACATAGTGGCCCTTGTAGCCGCTGTGCTGATGGTCTTCAGTCCCATGGCCAAGTCCTTTGAGATGATCCTGCTGGGCAGATTTCTCTATGGATATAGTGCTGGTATGTATCTGTTTTGTCTCCTGTGTGTGTACTTTATTGTGAGAATGTTGGGGCAGCCTGTGGTACTAGTGTTTGTAACATCTCTTCTGCCCTTCTATCTGGCCTCTCTCTCTCTCTCTCTCTCTCTCTCTCTCTCTCTCTCTCTCTCTCTCTCTCTCTCTCTCTCTCTCTCTCTCTCTCTCTCACTCTCATTGTCTCTCTCATTGTCTCTCTCATTGTCTCTCTCTCTCTCGCTCTCTCTCTCTCTCTCTCTCTCTCTCTCTCTCTCTCTCTCTCTCTCTCTCTCTCTCTCACTCTCATTGTCTCTCTCACTCTCATTGTCTCTCTCGCTCTTTCTCTCTCTCAGGCCTGGGGTGGAACGTGCACCTGATGTACCTGGGCGAGAGTTCACCCAAGAAGCTGAGAGGATTCCTGACCATCACCATCACCATCTTCTGTAGCCTGGGGAAGGTCATGGGTCAGATTGTTGGAATCAAGTCAGTACCATCAATGTTATAGTTGACTGTCCTGAGTCTTCTCCACTTTAGATTGAATCTACTCTTATGTGTCCCTGTCTCTGGGCATTGGCATGTATTCATGGATGCCAGGGGAAGCCAGGCTTCCCCAAAAAATTAACCCCCCCCAAAAAAACAATAACATATACAATAATATATCGTTCCTCTCTCTGTGTTTCATAATTTTCCATCAATTCGCAAGAGGCTGAATGTATCTCACCGGAGAAAGCATTCAAGCGAGCGTAACAACGCCCCTCTGTCTCTGTATGTGTAGACCATCTATCTGATGCTGTCTGGTCAAAAAGATTATGATATTGTTACCGCCTGTAGCATTGAATGCAAGGGAAGCCAGCGAGCATTTGGCCTCCCTTGATTAAAGAAATTATACAATAATAGCCAATCAGCATTGAGCTAAACTGTGATTGGTCCTGGCGGACCAAAGAAAAGTGTGAAGGGAAGCTAGTTTGGATTTGGCTTTACACCAATCACATCACATCAAGTCAAACGTCATTGACAGAAAAATAAAACTTGAATTGTTGCATCTCGTTGTATTGTTGTCCTCCGGTGGCTAGCTAGCCAGCTAAGCGTTGCCCATGAACAGAAGTTAGGCTAGCGAGCAAGCATTTTAGCCAGGTAGCCTAGGACAACAAGAACTAAAAGAGTATACTGTATGACAGTTTCGTCAACATGAAAGAGAGGAGGATGGCATTGGCGTTTCTCTACAAGTAGGGTGAGTCAACATGTTTTTTCTACTTACGCACACACACACACACATACACACACACACATACACACACACACACACACACACACACACACACACACAGAAATCAGTACCATGGACTGATATGATATTTAGCTTACGTTGATTGGACTAAATTGTTTTTGGAATCTTTTAGTTGTCACTGTATTAGACTAAGCATAGGTGATTTGATGATGTTGAAATGTTGAAGTTGAAATGCAGCTCCTGTTTTCTTTGTGACTTGCAGTAACTCTCAGTGGTTCTAAATCAATAGTTGTTTAGTAGTCCGAAAATGTCAGAAACATTAACTTGCTTGACAATGCTGTAGGTCATGTAACTGTTTGTTACATGCAATATACTTTGTGGACATCACCGGACAGAGGTTGCTCTCCAGTTTTGTGATGAAACAAAGGTGTGGTTGAATTTATTCTGCCACTGTGTCTTCTTATTGTCTCGGCCTTAGGCCTATACTATATATCACAGTGGCAAGGCATATGAACTAACAGGCTATAGAGCAAACAACGCAATTATCACAACACATAGGTTGTAATATGGCTTTTTTTTCCTGGCTTGGCTTCCCCAGGGATTTTACCCACGCACCATTGCTGGTCCTGGCCGAACTGAAATACAAGATTCTGAAGAGCTCATCTGACTAATTACTCAAAATGTCATCATTTTGTAGCACGATGTGCAACTGACAAAGCTCTCAATGACAAATAATGTTTTGACAAAACAATTGTGTGAAACACTAAGAATATATTTCCAATTTAGTTGCAGAGCTTTGGTAAGCTTGAAAGTTCATGTATCAAAAGATGTAAGTACCGGAATCAAACTATGGGAGGAACACTCAGTATGTTGGAATGGGTCAAGTCTCCCACACACACACACACACACACACAAACACACACACTCTCTTTCACTCTCACTCTCTCTGTCTCACTCTGTCTCACTCTGTCTCTCTCGCTCTCTGTCTAACTGTCTCTCTCTCTCTCTCTGCAGGGAGCTGATGGGTACCGATGACATGTGGCCCTGGCTCATGGCCCTTAGTGGCCTCCCTGCCATCATCCAGTTTGTGACCTTGCTCTTCTTCCCTGAGGCTCCCCGCTACCTGTACATCGACAAGGGAGACACTGAGGGCTGCAAAAAAGGTATGCGCTCAGTCCAGGCAAGGTCTATAACATTACATTACAGTCAAACACATCACAGGGAGGGGGAGGGCTTGTCATGTTCTTGCTATATTTATCATTGAATTATTAGATTTGAGATAATCAAATGTTTTAGGGCAATCAGAGAAAGTACGTTTTCTATTGCTTTGATTGATCAACAAATTATGAATCTTCACGTGTGTGTGTGTGTGTGTGTGTGTGTGTGTGTGTGTGTGTGTGTGTGTGTGTGTGTGTGTGTGTGTGTGTGTAAAAGCCCTGCAGTGGCTGTGGCAGGAGGATGACCTGCAGATGGAGATGGATGAAATGGGGAAGGAGAGAGCGAGCATGCAGGGCCAGAAGGTTAAGACCATTTGGGACGTGCTGACTTCTCGCTGTGTCAGGTGGCAGCTGCTGGTTCTGGTCATCCCCTGTGCCGGCGTTCAGTTCTGTGGGTTTAACGCGGTGTGGCCAATACCCTTTTCAAACTATTGTGCAGACCCAAACCATTCTGTGCTGGCTCAGATATTTTCTTTTCACATTGTCCTCTCCAATACAGTTCCAGCAACTAGGTGGATGTGTAACCCGGCCAGCGCAGGACAATTCAGCTCGGCCCAATAGGGCAAAATATTGATCTACGTTCATGGCAATTCTAAATTTAATGTAAATGCATTGTAATTGACTGATAATGTCATTCTGTATTCTTAATCGAACTTAAGAACTGTTCCAATTTTCCAGCTGAGCCCCCCTCTTGCTCTATCTTTTCTTGTCATTCTCCTTTCATCTTATCTTCTCCACAATTACCCAAAATGTGTTCTATAGATTTATTTCTACGCTTTCGACATCTTCCGTGAAGCTGGAGTAGCAGAGGACAAGATGCATTACCTTTCCATTGGCATCGGAGCAACAGATCTCATCACCATAACTCTCTGTGTAAGTACCATAACATAGGTCATAGTAGAGAATAACATCACTGACTGTAACTGAGACGAGTCCTTGACTAAAAAACGCTTCAAATTGAGAATCTTGTTTGAACTTGCTTTTTAGTCCAGGTCTTGGCTTAATCTGTGTCCTGGAAAACGGACCTATTTGTATAATTACTTATTTTCCATTAACCCTTTCCCTTGACAAAGCCTTGTTGTCCCACAATCAGTCTGTGTTATGTCCATAGATATACTCACACATTTATATTGTTTTGTTTATGTAATTTATATTGTTTCGTTTCTATAATGTGTTTACAATACATTACTGGTTGTGTTGTGTCCCAGTCTCTGTTTATAGACCGTGTGGGCAGGAAGATACTGATGGGCTATGGCTACCTGTTGATGGGAGTCATCATGTCCATCCTGATTGTTATGCTGTCTATCAAGGTAAATAACATGTCAAACCCTCAGGGCTTTTCTGGGCTTTTCTTTCATATTATAATAATATATGCCACCTAGCTGACATTTACTCACCTAGCTTACACTCCAAAGCAACTTATACATATACATGATGTGATTCCTGCTTTGATGTTGCTGGTGCCATGCCATAGAAGAAAGGCCAAGCATGAGATCCAATGCAGTTCTTTGTCTCTCAACAGGACCTGTACTCATGGGTCCCGTATGTTAACATCGCCCTCATCTTCTCTGTCATCTGCGTTTATGGACTAGGACCTTGTGAGTTCTCAAAAAATGACAGTCCCCTCATGAGTCATATTTCACAAGTCTACAGCTGTGGTCTGAGTGGTTTGTGGTTGTGGCTAGCTAAGTGGGCTAACCCCAGACAGAGCTATTTGTCATGGTACTAAATTCTCTTCCTAGCTGGAATAGCCAGCACCCTCCCTGCAGATATCTTCCTGCAGGCCTGGAGACCGTCCGCTTATGTCATTAGCGGCTCCATCAACTGGTTCAGCCTGTTCTTGATTGGGATGTTCTTCCCCTTCATAGTGGTGAGATACTTACTGGTCTAAGTCTTCATACACACACTTGTTGATTGGCACATACCCTTTTTGCACAATGGAAACAAGCCGAGCCAAGTCTAACTGTACTGGGCTGGCCTGGTTACGCATCCATCGTAATTGCTCGGACCGTGCTGGAAAGGACAGTGTAAAAAGAAAATATTCAAATGAGCATAGTATAGTTCAGGTCACTCTCTATAGTGTGAATCAAGCATTAGAACTACTGGATATACTGTAGCAAGCAATACGCCTGCTTTTTACTGAAAATATAATAAATAAGATAAATGCTCATGAATTGTGGTAGATGGTTTCTGAAAGTCTTTATTTTTTCTGTGATATGCAGGCTAATAGGCTACATGTCCCTTGACAGATGGTCAGTGAGTTACTGTAGATCAGTGTTTTTTAATCCTGGTCCTGGGGACCCAAAGGGGTGCACATTTTTGGTTTTGCCCTAGCACCACACCCCTGATTCCACTTGTCAACTCATCATCAAACCTTTGATTAGTGGAATCAAGTGTGTTGTGCTAGGGCTCCTCAGCGGCTCCATCAAGAAACACTGCTGTAGATCTATGGATCTGTTTAACATTGGTATTTGTGTGCACCATGTAGGATGGACTGGGCCAGTTCTGCTTCCTGATCTTTGTAGCGTACTGCATCTTCAGCGCAGCGTTCATGCTCTACTTCATCCCAGAGACCAAAGGCAAGAGCATGTTGGAGATCATGGAGGACTTTAACAAACTCAACTACAAGAACAAGGGGACAGACACCGAAAAGGCTGACTTTGTTATGGCAACGAAATTTTAAAGAAATGTATTGTGGCTTGAGTGATATTGGTACACTCTTAGAAAAAAGGTTTCCAAAAGGGTTCTTCGGCTGTCCCCATAGGAGCACCCTTTTGGGTTCCATGTAGAACCCTCTGTGGAAAGGGTTCTACATGAAACCCAAAAAGGTTCTACCTGGAACCAGAAGGGTTCTACCTGGAACCAAAAAGGGTTCTTCAAAGGGTTCTCCTATGGGGACAGCCGAAGAACCCGTTTCTTGGGCTGAATATAATAATTATAATTCCCTTCTCCCGGCTGCGTGCTGAAGCACCTCTCACTCACGTGGCTCTCCGTTACGTGATCAGGTCTTTCTCACAGTGTACAAGTGAAGACAGACACATCGGGGACTCAACTGTGCGTGTCCTTATCCAATTCCGAGGCGCATATTGAAAATATTGGAAGAACTGTCCACATTTACTTTTCGTCAGCCAACAAGATGAGTAGGCCTAACGAACAGCAAAAGCACTAGCCTATGTCAATCTACTATCCCCCATAGTACAAAAGTTGACCTATTCTATTCTGTGCAAGAAAAATAAAAACATATTCCAAACCTAGTTTGGGACAGTTGTGGGATGCGATAGATCCCAAATTAATACAACCTGTTTTAAGCAATGAGCCTGACGCAACAGATTAACTGCTGCTACATGTATCATAGGGTTATCATTAAGATATGGTGTATGATATTGTAACAAGGTAAAACCAAAGATATCTAAAGCTACTGTATGTTGAGAGAATATTCTACTCTATTTATTGATAATTTCACAAAACTACACTGCTCAAAAAAATAAAGGGAACACTAAAATAACACATCCTAGATCTGAATGAATGAAATAATCTTATTAAATAATTTTTTCTTTACATAGTTGAATGTGCTGACAACAAAATCACACAACAATGATCAATGGAAATCAAATTTATCAACCCATGGAGGTCTGGATTTGGAGTCACCCTCAAAATTAAAGTGGAAAACCACACTACAGGCTGATCCAACTTTGATGTAATGTCCTTAAAACAAGTCAAAATGAGGCTCAGTAGTGTGTGTGGCCTCCACGTGCCTGTATGACCTCCCTACAATGCCTGGGCATGCTCCTGATGAGGTGGCAGATGGTCTCCTGAGGGATCTCCTCCCAGACCTGGACTAAAGCGTCCGCCAACTCCTGGACAGTCTGTGGTGCAACGTGGCGTTGGTGGATGGAGCGAGACATGATGTCCCAGATGTGCTCAATTGGATTCAGGTCTGGGGAACGGGCGGGCCAGTCCATAGCATCAATGCCTTCCTCTTGCAGGAACTGCTGACACACTCCAGCCACATGAGGTCTAGCATTGTCTTGCATTAGGAGGAACCCAGGGCCAACCGCACCAGCATATGGTCTCACAAGGGGTCTGAGGATCTCATCTCGGTACCTAATGGCAGTCAGGCTACCTCTGGCGAGCACATGGAGGGCTGTGCGGCCCCCCAAAGAAATGCCACCCCACACCATGACTGACCCACCGCCAAACCGGTCATGCTGGAGGATGTTGCAGGCAGCAGAACGTTCTCCACGGCGTCTCCAGACTCTGTCACGTCTGCCACGTGCTCAGTGTGAACCTGCTTTCATCTGTGAAGAGCACAGGGCGATCTTGCCAATCTTGGTGTTCTCTGGCAAATGCCAAACGTCCTGCACAGTGTTGGGCTGTAAGCACAACCCCCACCTGTGGACGTCGGGCCCTCATACCACCCTCATGGAGTCTGTTTCTGACCGTTTGAGCAGACACATGCACATTTGTGGCCTGCTGGAGATCATTTTGCAGGGCTCTGGCAGTGCTCCTCCTGCTCCTCCTTGCACAAAGGTGGAGGTAGCAGTCCTGCTGCTGGGTTGTTGCCCTCCTACGGCCTCCTCCACGTCTCCTGATGTACTGGCCTGTCTCCTGGTAGCGCCTCCATGCTCTGGACACTACGCTGACAGACACAGCAAACCTTCTTGCCACAGCTTTCATTGATGTGCCATCCTGGATGAGCTGCAATACCTGAGCCACTTGTGTGGGTTGTAGACTCCGTCTCATGCTACCACTAGAGTGAAAGCACCGGCAGCATTCAAAAGTGACCAAAACATCAGCCAGGAAGCATAGGAACTGAGAAGTGGTCTGTGGTCACCACCTGCAAAACCAGTCCTTTATTGGGGGTGTCTTGCTAATTGCCTATAATTTCCACCTGTTGTCTATTCCTTTGCACAACAGCATGTGAAATGTATTGTCAATCAGTGTTGCTTCCTAAGTGGACAGTTTGATTTCACAGAAGTGTGATTGACTTGGAGTTACATTGTGTTGTTTAAGTGTTCCCTTAATTTTTTTGAGCAGTGTATATTGGCAAATGATCCCACTGTCTATTGTTTTGAATGGTGTGTAATAATGAATTGTTTGGAACAGATTGTGATAATAAATGATGTGTTTGACTCATCGTCTTGTTGTTGTATTTGAATATCCTTCTGTTACATTGGAAAATAAATGATCTAAGTAATAAGTACAGGCTTTCAACTTTGGTCACATGTGGTCTATCATTCCATAGACATCCTTAATCAACACCTTTGTTACAGCAAGAACATGATGACCTAAGATTTGTCCAAATAAACAAGACCATGCAAGGCATCTGTCTATGTGAACCACATGAATAAATGTACTGTAGAACCACAAGGAGGACCAGCAGAGAACACTGAGTAAGATATCAACTAACTGATTACACAATATGATAAACATTGGACGTAAAGGGAGACCCGATGTCATTGCACATTCTTTATTATGGCAGGAAAGTTTACGTTCGGTATAGATCATTATTTTATCATCAATTAAATTGGCATCCCCACGGTTTTTCATACATAGTGCATTTATATACCAACCATTAGAAAAAGTATCTAATTTGGAGTATGCGGTTATCAAATACATACTACAATAATAACAAACATATTTCCAATATTCTTTGGTATCGAATTCACTAGACATAGTTATGAAAATCAAACTTCTAGATTTATCTGTCATATGCACATGACAATTCATGTTAATTAATGTTTTATCCTCAACTCGGTGTTAGTATATCAGGTCAGAAGTTCGGTCGAGAAATACAGTAATGCCTTTGTCTGTTTCTTTATTCTTTTTAGAGATCAATTCTCTTGTAATTCATTTGCCAATAACAATCACCAGTACAGTGATGCTCAGTAATCAACAGGGAAAAAACAAGGCAACTTAAAAACAAAAAAAGTCGGAAATTACTGTTTTCTTTATTCCTTACAATGTGCTCAATGTGAAACTGGGCACTGGGCAGCACCTGTACTGTCCAGCTTCCAGATTAATGTGTTCAGACAATGTCTCACTGAACAATGAGTAAGTTATTCCTGTTTTATCAAGACACCTCCTTAAACGTCTATCCCTTACAAAAAATTAACTCTAATGCCAAACCGGACAAAAGCAAACATGATGTACTTTAGTTTTGGCTGAAACGCTGGAGTCACAAGGCCAGGGCTCGATATCGTTGGGAAGGAACCTGGTGAGATCCAGTTTAGACCAGGAAGACGTTCATCCCACTGTGCATTGTCATATCATGTGAGCAGAAAGAAAGAAAACATGGTGGGGTTGAGGTTACAGGAATCTTGTTTGAGTATGTTTGCACTGTATACGATAGGCGATGCATATTATGTGTGATAATATTTGAAGTATACCATGTTGCTATCGCCATCATAACCAGGGTTGTGTACTAACCAGGGTTGATCAATCAACACAGCTTCATCCTGTTCCCTTCCTAAGAACTGGAAAGGGAAAGGGAAAGGGGGATACCTAGTCAGTTGTACTGGGATGACACACATGACAAATCAGCTGCTTACTCAGCTAAACCTATAGTTTAAGTGGAAATGAGTACACTCAAATCTAACTGTCTGTCTTTGCAGACAGAGATCTATGTATTTTTGCTAAATTAGAATAGTCTACATTCAGAGAATTTGCACAATTGATCATCCAACTTGAAATCATCCGATTTCTCTTAGATTTGTTACATCTGTCTATTGAAGTCTTTGCAGTACCAGACTGTTATGTTAAGGGAGGGTCAGACATTCAAATGACCTTTCCCTTCTTTACTGGCCACAATCTGCTTGCTGGCTGGATGTAGTAGGCCTATAATTTAACATTCAATTATCTGGCTACAGCTCTGGTGGACATTCCAGCAGTCAGCATGCCAATTGCATGCTCCCTCAAAACTTGAGACATCTGTGGCATTGTGTTGTGTGACAAAACTGCACATTTTAGAGTGGTCTTTTATTGTCCCCAGCACAAGGTGCACTTGTGTAATGATCATGCTGTTTAATCAGCTTCTTGATATGCCACACCTGTCAGGTGGCTGGATTATCTTGGCAAAGGATAAACGCTCACTAACAGGGATGTAAACAAAATAGTGCGCAAAATTTGTGAGAAATAAGCTTTTAGTGCATATGGAAAATGTTGGGATCTTTTATTTCAACTCATGAAACATGGGACCAACACTTCACATGTTGCGTTAATTTTTTTGTTCAGTATATACAGTATGACGGGGTGTCAAACTCATTCCACGGAGGGCCTGAGTGTACTCATTCAAGGGTTTTTCTTTAGTTTTACTGTTTCCTACATTGTAGAATAATAGTGAAAACATCAAAACAATGAAATAACACATATGGAATCATGTAGTAACCAAAAGAGTGTTAAACAAAGCAAAATATATTTTATATTTGAGATTCTTCAAATAGCCACCCTTTGCCTTGGTGACAGCATTGGAAACACTCTTGGCATTCTCTCAACCAGCTTCATGAGGTAGTCACCTGGAATGCATTTCGGCAGGTAGCTTAGTGGTTAAGAGCGTTGTGCCAGTAACCGAAAGGTCGCTTGTTCTAATCCCCAAGCCGACTAGGTGAAAAATCTGTCGATGTGCCCTTGAGCAAGGCACTTAACCCTAATTGCTCCTGTAAGTCGCTCTGGATAAGAGCGTCTGCTAAATTACTAAAATGTAAATTTCAATTAACAGGTGTGCCTTCTTAAAAGTTAATTTGTGGAATTTATTTCCTTCTTAATGCATTTGAGCCAATCAGTTGTGTTGTGACAAGGTAGGGGGGTATACAGAAGATAGCTCTATTTGGTAAAAGACCAAGTCCATTTATTGGCAAGAACAGCTCAAATAAGCAAAGAGAAACGACAGTCCATCATTACGTTAAGACATGAAGGTCAGTCAATATGGCAAATGTCAAGAACTTTGAAAGTTTCTTCAAGTGCAGTCGCAAAAACCATCAAGCGTTATGATGAAACTGGCTCTCATGAGGACCGCCACAGGAATGGAAGACCCAAAGTTACCTCTGCTGCAGAGGATAAGTTCATAAGAGTTACCAGCCTCAGAAATTGCAGCCCAAATAAATGCTTCACAGAGTTCAAGTAACAGACACATCTCAACATCAACTGTTCAGAGGAGACTGTGTGAATCAGGCCTTCATGGTCGAATTGCTGCAAAGAAACCACTACTAAAGGACACCAATAAGAAGAAGAGACTTGCTTGGGCCAAGAAACACGAGTAATGGACATTAGACCGGTGGAAATGTGTCCTTTGGTCTGGAGTCGAAATTTGAGATTTTTGGTTCCAACCACTGTCTTTTTGTGAGACGCGGTGTGGGTGAATGGATGATCTCCGCATGTGTAGTTCCCAATGTAAAGCATGGAGGATGAGGCGTTATGGTGTGGGGGTGCTTTGCTGGTGACACTGTCAGGGATTTATTTAGAATTCAAGGCACACTTAACCAGCATGGCCACCACAGCATTCTGCAGCAATTCGCCATCCCATCTGGTTTGGGCTTACTGGGACTATAATTTGTTTTTCAACAGGACAATGACCCAACACACCTCCAGTCTACTTATGGCCTCATGAAAAGCTTGAATCCAGTCATAGTGGCACGGCTAAAGTGAACCATGATGTGTCACGCTCAGAGTAAATCAAAGTCAACTCACCCTAAACTTTAGCACAATAATAAACACACCAAAGATAATAACACACTAAGGAACAGTTTCAGATACATCTTTATTGAATCCCCATCTCTGTATCAATTAGACAGAGATTGCAGACTCAAAAACAGTGTACAAAAACAGACATCTATAGAAAAGTATGCTTATATTGAAATATGTCCAAAGGTTTTATAACAAAACATGTAACTGAAAAAAAAAATTAAGTTCAACAATCTTGCAGAGTACAGAGATAAAATACCAAGGTAACATACATATACAAATGTACATCTTCTGCATGTGTTTATGCGTACAAAAGTGTCATTGCAAGTTAATCTGCGCATGATTGACCATTTCGAGAGAAAGGTCCTTTTTTATCTCACATTTCAAATCCACTGCTGTGCACAATCAGTATTGGGAAGGCACTTTGCAACAGACCAACAGAATAAGACAAGAAAACGGCACAGGTAAGTATCCAAGCAATCAATCAATAAAAACATCCTATAAATTGAAGTACCAAAACAGGTGAGATAAACCAAACAATACCACCAGATGATTTGATTAGCATGTATGGGCGATCCCAAGTGTTGCCACAACCACCAATTATATAAGAGCATATTTCTAAACAGCATCGTCGCTCACTTATCCAATAAATAACACAAAACAGGCCTTAATAAACGCTTTTTACTCCATTCGCTGTGTGAAAAGCATCACTATTCAGTGGGGACATAAAAAGAGCTTAATATGACCTAAACAGACTGATTGATCAAAGCCATAGGTCATATCACTAAACTGGTAGTGGGTACACTACCAGAGCCAGGTAACAGCACAGTGAACTAGACCTGGGTTCAAATAGTATTTCATTTAGGTTGCCTGGCACAATAGAAGAGTCCCAAAAGTGCAAACCCACCCATCAGTCACTCCAGTCAGACTCAAACAAATGCTTTTCGGGTACTTTTTGAACCCAGGTCTACAGTGAACAGCGAAACCTCTGTCACTATCCAGTGAACAAACTCTCGACCCATCCTCACCCCCAAAAACATTTATATCCAGAACAGTACACAGCAGATCATGGGCGTGCACTGTGAGGAAAACCTTTCAAATCAAACAACCACCACCAAAACCTACACGTCTCTTTCCATCATTGGCAAGGAAGGAAAAAAACATTTATATATACACACACACACACACACACACACACACACACACACACACACACACACACACACACACAGGATCCCCATTAATTGACAAACTATTAAAATCAATCATTAGGTTTTATCATATATATACGCATTTCATATATATATGAATATATGAATGTTATATACACTTGTTACAATCACAATATAACTATAAATAAAAGCAGGAATGTACTGAAAGTAACAGAGCAAAATTATCGGACAAACAATACAGACTAAAAGCCTTCTGGTTGATTACATTCGGAGGACAAAAGCACACATATCAGAGCACCAAACACACAGACACACAGATATTTCAGCATACATGCTCTTTTAGTCGCTCCCTAGTAGGCCTCCCGTATCTAGCATAAATTAAGAGTAAAATCAGCACAGCACATTGACATCTCAAACATCAATTTATTTTAAAAAAAAACTGTGCACAAAGCGGACAGGGCAATCAATAAGTTAATAAAATATATTCTACATTTCTCACGATTTCTAATAGTCAAACCTGAAATTGGTCCCTGTTGAATATCCAGAACTGATTTAACAAGTATGTGACTAACAAATACATCTCTTCTTAAAAATGCCATAATAAGAGAATAAAACATTCTCAAATGTAACAGCCATAGTGAGGCATACGGTTTTATTCTTGCCCTGCAGAAACTGGTAGAATTGACTGATTCTATTATTATATTCAGAGTTGGACTAGAGGTCCACCTGCAGCCTCTCCCCATCAGTAGCTCTGTCTGAAGTAAGGGGAAAGCTTGGGTTAGAAGGTGTCACTGCAGCTGTGAAAACCATGTAGATAATAACAAAGCATTTCAAAATGACCCAGTCAACGTACGTACTAACCCATAGATTACCAGTATGACTAGGACCTCAGGGTATTTTCTGCATAGAAAAGTCTTGGCCGGGCAGCATATGTCCAAACAGTGAAAACGTATGTGGAAAAGATAATGGACCTAGGCCTATATATTTTTCAATAAGATCCTCTTTGGATCTAAATCAAAACTAGACAGTCAGGGATAATCTAAAATGTAAAAAAAAAAAAAAAGAAATTGTCATGGCATGGGGCCCCCATTGATTTTGTTATAATGTTTGAGTCACTCAGATAGCATAAGAACATAGATAAGCCATGGTAAATTGTGTACAAATGCAGGAAATTAGCTTTAAAATATATATTTTTTCCCTCAGCACCATGACAAAATGTGTGGAATTGCAAGAAACTAGCTTTAAAAACTGTAAAATGTTATCTCCACCGCATGGTGAAACTGCAGGAAATTAGATTTTAAAACAGCAACATCTTCTCTCTGCGCCCAAGAGGGCCTCTAAAATGTTTGGTCGGCGACCGTGCCATTGGCCACGCCCACTGCCACACCCACCACCTAAGCCCTATTTTGATAGAGAAAAAATCCTGGACCAGACATGATAATAACAATAACAGCATTGACTAATATATGTTTCTTATATGTGCGTGTGTTTGGTAATGGATCATAAGGGGATGGTTATGTCATAAACAATACAAATACAATAAAAACAAAAATATGATTTACGGTAGACTTCAAAGATAGACAGCAGATTCAAAAAAATCGTGTACTTTTTTTTTTAAGCTTAATGTTAAAATGATTCATGTTTATGTACATTTGATATATTGCTCTGAAATGGTATAGATGAAAACATTTATATTGATAGTAATAGCAAGGTCCATGACACAGAAAGGTGACAGAATGTGATAAACAACAACAGTGAGAGATGATGCCATCAACATCAAAGCAGTCTAAAGACAGTCTACAGACAACGTAAGAGTAGTCATTCCCTTCCATCTGATAGGCTGACAGACCTAGGGGCAACGTTCCCCCACTTTCCTTCAGACCTACGGGTCACTTCCCCCCCAGCTCCATCCCACTATGTCCTGCTTCAGAGTCCACCAGCGACGAGGCAAAGGCTGACTGGACGATCTGGAAGCCAAACGACTCCAGTAGAGACATGTTCTGTTGAGGGGAGAAGGGCGAGCCCAGGGAAGGACCCAGCTCCCCCAGACCTGACCCCGACCCTGCACCCACCACCAGACTCTTCTGGACCCCATGATGATGCACTCTGTTGACGTGCTTGTTGAGGTAGGATTTGGTGCGGAAGGTCTGGTTGCACTCGCTGCAGGGGAACTTTTTCTCTGGCGAGTCCTGGCTGGTCTTGGCTTTAGCGCCACCTGGTGGCGACCCCTGCACGGCCCCAGTACCGGCAGAGGCTCCATTGCAGGCGAATGGCGTCAGAGACCCAAGGTCCTCCCCCTCGGACTTGTGCAGGGATTTCATCTCGTCGCCATTGGACAGCTCCCTGAACGACGGCTCGTCTCCCTCAGATTCTCCCTGATGGGGGCATTTCCCAGCATTCTCTTGCCCGTCTGAGGTAAAGACAAAGGGGGTTGGGGGAGGGGGAAGTTGGGAGGAAAGGGAGAGATGGTGGCGTGGGAGAGATGGTGGGGGTTGGGGAGAGGGGAAGGACACAGGGGAAGGATAAGGGGAGAGAAAAGAAAAACGGGAAAATTAGGCCATGCGCACACAACACAAAATCTGTCTATTTAGACCACCAGGCAGCACTGCTCTCCACCACCAACACCACCTGCAACACGAACAGGACAGTTTAATGCTATGTGTACTAACCATCTACTCCCCTGACAAAACAATTCATATAATATTGTTTTTAAGTAGAATTGTACTGCAATTCTTAGAAGATATGTTGGTAATTCATATGAAATCAAAGTTTATTGGTCGCCTACACAGATTTGTAGATTTTACATTTTACATTTAAATTTTAGTCATTTAGCAGACGCTCTTATCCAGAGCGACTTACAGGAGCAATTAGGGTTAAGTGCCTTGCTCAAGGGCACATCGACAGTTTTTTCACCTAGTCGGCTCGGGGATTAGAACCAGCGACCTTTCGGTTACTGGCACAATGCTCTTAACCACTAAGCTACCTGTTACCGCCGTTGCAGCAAAATGCTTGTGTTTCTAGCTCCAACAGTGCAGTAATACCTAGCAATAATAATAAAATAAATATACACATAATCCAGATAAATACAAAAAAACTAGTTATGTAGGATGAGCCATGACTAGAACACAGTAAAGACATATAAAGTGGATGAAACAGTATGTAAACATTATTTAAGTGACCAGTGTTCAATGACTATGTACAGTGGGGAGAACAAGTATTTGATACACAGCCGATTTTGCAGGTTTTCCTACTTACAAAGCATGTAGAGGTCTGTAATTTTTATCATAGGTACACTTCAACTGTGAGAGACGGAATCTAAAACAAAAATCCAGAAAATCACATTGTATGATTTTTAAGTAATTAATTTGCATTTTATTGCATGACATAATTATTTGATACATCAGAAAAGCAGAACTTAATATTTGGTACAGAAACCTTTGTTTGCAATTACAGAGATCATACGTTTCCTGTAGGTCTTGACCAGGTTTGCACACACTGCAGCAGGGATTTTGGCCCACTCCTCTATACAGACCTTCTCCAGATCCTTCAGGTTTCAGGGCTGTCGCTGGGCAATACAGACTATCAGCTCCCTCCAAAGATTTTCTATTGGGTTCAGGTCTGGAGACTGACTAGGCCACTCCAGGACCTTGAGATGCTTCTTACGGAGCCACTCCTGAGTTTCCCTGGCTGTGTGTTTCGGGTCGTTGTCATGCTGGAAGACCCAGCCACGACCCATCTTCAATGCTCTTACTGAGGGAAGGAGGTTGTTGGCCAAGATCTCGCGATACATGGCCCCATCCATCCTCCCCTCAATACGGTGCAGTCGTCCTGTCCCCTTTGCAGAAAAGCATCCCCAAAGAATGATGTTTCCACCTCCATGCTTCATGGTTGGGATGGTGTTCTTGGGGTTGTACTCATCCTTCTTCTTCCTTCAAACACGGCGAGTGGAGTTTAGACCAAAAAGCTCTATTTTTGTCTCATCAGACCACATGACCTTCTCCCATTCCTCCTCTGGATCATCCAGATGGTCATTGGCAAACTTCAGATGGGCCTGGACATGCGCAGGGGGACTTGCGTGCGCTGCAGGATTTTAATCCATGACGGTGTAGTGTGTTACTAATGGTTTTCTTTGAGACTGTGGTCCCAGCTCTCTTCAGGTCATTGACCAGGTCCTGCCATGTAGTTCTGGGCTGATCCCTCACCTTCCTCCTGATCATTGATGCCCCACGAGGTGAGATCTTGCATGGAGCCCCAGACCGAGGGTGATTGACCGTCATCTTGAACTTCTTCCATTTTCTAATAATTGCGCCAACAGTTGTTGCCTTCTCACCAAGCTGCTTGCCTATTGTCCTGTAGCCCATCCCAGCCTTGTGCAGGTCTACAGTTTTATCCCTGATGTCCTTACACAGCTCTCTGGTCTTGACCATTGTGGAGAGGTTGGAGTCTGTTTGATTGAGTGTTTGGACAGGTGTCTTTTATACAGGTAACAAGTTCAAACAGGTGCAGTTAATACAGGTAATGAGTGGAGAACAGGAGGGCTTCTTAAAGAAAAACTAACAGGTCTGTGAGAGCCGGAATTCTTACTGGTTGGTAGGTGATCAAATACTTATGTCATGCAATAAAATGCAAATTAATTACTTAAAAATCATACAATGTGATTTTCTGGATTTTTGTTTTAGATTCCGTCTCTCACAGTTGAAGTGTACCTATGATAAAAATTACAGACCTCTATATGCTTTGTAAGTAGGAAAACCTGCAAAATCGGCAGTGTATCAAATACTTGTTCTCCCCACTGTATATAGGGCAGCAGTCTCTAAGGTGCAGGGCTGAGTACCGGGTGGTAGCCGGCTAGAACAGTGACTAAGGCTCAGGGCAGGGTACTAGTGGCGACTGTTTAACAGTCTGATGGTCTGGAGAGTCTAAGAAGCGGTAGATCTGTTCTATGTGCGCTATTTCTATGCTTCCCGTTCTTAAGTTTCATTGTTGCGTCTTTTACTTTCAGTTTTGTACACCAGCTTCAAATGGCTGAAAATACATTATTTGTGGTTATTGAAAATATATGTGTCACAGTGGTTTAGATGGTACAATGATTCTCTACACTACGCAGAATTTTAGCAACCAGGAAATGGCGGAGTGATTTCTGCATATTGCAACTTTAACACGCTTAAAATACTTACATCGGCCACAGAGAACGAGAGCACACAGTTCTCGTGAGCATTGGGGGCCCGCGTCTCAATTTTGTTTTACTCGAAGCGGGTGAAGAAGGTCTTTAGTTCGTCACCAATAACAAGAGGAGACCTGCTTGGGCCAAGAAACACGAGCAACGGACAATAGTCTAGAGTACAAATTGGAGATTTTTGGTTCCAACCGCCATGTCTTTGTGAGACGCAGTGTGGGTGAACAGATGTGTAGTCTCCACATGTGTAGTTCCCACCGTAAAGCATGGAGGAGGAGGTGTTTGGTGTGGGGGTGCTTTGCTGGTGACACTGTCCGTGATTTATTTATAATTCAAGGCACACTTAACCAGCGTGGCTACCACAGCATTCTGCAGCGATACGCCATCCCAACTGGTTTGCGCTTAGTGGGACTATCATTTGTTTTCAACAGGACAATGACCCAACACACCTCCAGGCTGTGTAAGGGCTATTTTACCAATAAGGAGAGTGATGGAGTGCTGCATCAGATGACCTGGCCTCCACAATCCCCCAACCTCAACCCAATTGAGATGGTTTGGGATGAGTCGGACGGCAGAGTGAAGGAAAAGCAGCCAACAAGTGCTCAGCATATGTAGGAAAAGCATTCCAGGTGAAGCTGGTTGAGAGTTTGCCAAGAGTGTGCAAAGCTGTCATCAAGGCAAAGGGTGGCTATTTGAAGAATCTCAAATATAAAATATATTTTGATTTGTTTAACACATTTTTGGTTACTACAGTGCCTTGCAAAAGTATTCATCCCCCTTCGTGTTTTTCCTATTTTGTTGCATTACAACCTGTACACAAAATAGTCCAAATTGGTGAAGTGAAAAAAATAACTTATTTCAAGAAATTAAAAAATTAAAAATAACCAAAAAGTGGTGCGTGCATATGTATTCACCCCCTTTGCTATGAAGCCCCTAAATAAGATCTGGTGCAACCAATTTCCTTCAGAAGTCACATAATTAGTTAAATAAAGTCCACCTGTGTGCAATCTAAGTGTCAGATGATCTGTCACATGATCTCGGTATATATACACCTGTTCTGAAAGGCCCCAGAGTCTGCAACACCACTAAGCAAGGGGCACCACCAAGCAAGCGGCACCATGAAGACCAAGGATCTCTCCAAACAGGTCAGGGATAAAGTTGTGGAGAAGTACAGATCAGGGTTGGGTTATAAAAAAATAACAGAAACTTTGAACAGCTCACGGAGCACCATTAAATCCATTATTTAAAAAATTGAAAGAATATGGCACCACAACAAACCTGCCAAGAGAGGGCCGCCCACCAAAACTAACGGACCAGGCAAGGAGGGCATTAATCAGAGAGGCAACAAAGACACCAAAGATAACCCTGAAGGAGCTGCAAAGCACCACCGCGGAGATTGGAGTATCTGTCCATAGGACCACTTTAAGCCGTACACTCCATAGAGCTGGGCTTTACGGAAGCATGGCCAGAAAAAAGCAATTGCTTAAAGAATAAAATAAGCAAACACATTTGGTGTTCGCAAAAAGGCATGTGGGAGACTCCCCAAACATATGGAAGAAGGTACTCTGGTCAGATGAGACTCAAATTTAGCTTTTTGGCCATCAAGGAAAACGCTATGTCTGGCGCAAACCCAACACCTCTCATCACTACGAGAACACCATCCCAATGTTTTTTATTGGCAGGGACTGGGAAACTGGTCAGAATTGAAGGAATGATGGATGGCGCTAAATACAGGGAAATTCTTGAGGGAAACCGGTTTCAGTCTTCCAGAGATTTGAGACTGGGACGGAGGTTCACCTTCCAGCAGGACAATGACCCTAAGCATACTGCTAAAGCAACACTCAAGTGGTTTAAGGGGAAACATTTAAATGTCTTGGAATGGCCTAGTCAAAGCCCAGACCTCAATCCAATTGAGAATCTATGACTTAAAGATTGCTGTACACCAGCGGAACCCATCCAACTTGAAGGAGCTGGAGCAGTTTTGCCTTTAAGAATGGGCAAAAATCCCAGTGGCTAGATGTGCCAAGCTTAAAGAGACATACCACAAGAGACTTGCAGCTGTAATTGCTGCAATAGCTGGCTCTACAAAGTATTGACTTTGGGGGGGGGGGGGGGGGGGGGGGGGTGAATAGTTTTGCACGCTCAAGTTCAGTTTTTTTGTCTTATTTCTTGTTTGTTTCACAAAAAAAGTATTTTGCATCTTCAAAGTGGTAGGCATGTTGTGTAAATCAAATGATACAAACCCCCAAGAAATCCATTTTAATTCCAGGTTGTACGGCAACAAAATAGAAAAAATGCCAAGGGGGGGTGAATACTTTGGCAAACCACTGTACATGATTCCATATGTGTTATTTCATAGTTTTGATGTCTTCACTATTATTCTACAATTGAGACTCCACTTTGTCCCTGTACTGTAGTTTTGCCTCTGATTGCCTTACTGAGGTCGTAGCTGGTCTGTTTGTACACGTCTATGTTCCCAGACATCTTACCATGGTTAAATGTGGTGGTTTGGGCTTTCAGTTTTGCGTGAATGCTGCCATCTATCCACGGTTTTTGGTGTGGATAAGTTCTAAATCGTCACAGTGGGAAAAACATCCTCTATGCACTTCCTGATGAACCCAGTCACAGAGTCAGTGTATACGTCAATACTATTTTCAGAGGCGACCCAGAATATTTCCCAGTCAGCGTGATCAAAACAATCTTGAAGCATAGATTCCGATTGGTCAGACCAACGTTGAACAGTCCTTATCATGGGAGCTTCCTGTTTAAGTTTCTGCCTATAGGTTGGGAGGAGCAGAATGGAGGCGTGATCTGATTTGCCGAAGGGAGGGTGGGGAAGGGCCTTCTAGCCGTCCCGGAAGGAAGAGTAGCAATGATCCAGGGTCCGTGTTGCGTGTCTAGCACAGGAGATGTGTTGATAGAATTTCGGTAGCGTTTTCCCCAGATTTCCTTTATTTAAGTCCCCAGCTACAATAAATGCAGCCTTAGGATATGCGGTTTCCAGCTTGCACATAGTCCAGTGTAGTTCCTTGAGAGCCGTCGCGGTGTCGGCTTGGGGTGGAATATACACTTCAGTGACGATGACTGAAGAACATTTTCTTGAGAGGAAATGTGGTCACCATTTGATGGTGAAGTATTCCAGATCGGGAGAACAAAAGGACTTGAGTTCCTGTACGTCACCACATTCACACCATGAATTGTTAATCATGAAACAAACCCCTCCGCCTTTTCTTTTCCCGGAGAGTTCTTCCTTCCTGTCCGCGCGATGGACGGAGAACCCCGCTGGCTGAACGGACGGGAACAATATATTCGGAGAGAGACATTATTCCGTAAAACAGAGTATGTTACAGTCCCGGATGTCTCTCTGGAAGGAGATCTTCGCCCTGAGCTCGTCTACTTTATTGTCCAGGGACTGAACATTAGCGAATAATATACTTATAGGAACAGAGGGCACGTTTGTTCAGATTATGCGGTAAGCAGACATTCCGCAGCTTCATTCATTTACCCAATAGATAATATGCTTTTCATTGAGAGCAAAGTCTGTTTCTTCTTTGTGAGTTTCGGGCAAAAAACGCAATTCTACACAACAGCTTTTTGTGTTTATTGATAGCATGCCATGGCAGATTAGTTTAGCTCTGATTGAACACTGTACAATATCAGCCCAGAATATCTGACATGAAATAGGCCAGGTTTGGACAAATTTGATGTAGGTGGGGGCCCACAAAACATCTGAACTCATCATGAGGGGGCAGCAGTGGCTGCGTACCCACATCCATACCCACACATGCAGTCAGAGCCTTTTGGGGGCCCTAAGTGACATTTTGTTCCCTCCCCCCACCTTGCGAGCAAAACATTTTAGCAGCTCCCCCTCTTGACAGCGGAGAGAAACCAATTATATTTTAGAGTTTATTTTCTGCAATTCTACACATTTTGCCATGGGGCGTAGAGAAAATGCTTCAGTTTTGTAACACATTTCATGTAATTCTACTCATTTTGCCATGGGGCAGATAAATAAATGAGCAGTTTTACAGCGAATTTCCTGCAGTTCTACACATTTTGCCATAGGGTGGAGTTAAATGTTTGCATTTTTTAATGACATCTGACTGAGTGACTAACAAAATTAATGGGGCCTCCCCGGTCGGTAATTCGACCATGATTACTTCAAGTTTAGATCGCTGGCTAGACTAACTTACCAATCCAACAATTGCTGACATGGGTTAATTAAGTGACTGTCAGTGACTGACATAACAAGAGAAACTGCTATTCTACTATTTTAACTCTCAACAGTAAGTTGAGACCCCAAGTGAGTTCCTAAAAAAAAGGCCTACAAAAGGGGGGCCGCCAGTTGCCCATCCCTGAAATAGGCCATTGTATCGGCTGATACAGATGTCATGTTTTTATCACGATACCAAAACCACATCGGAACTACTCCTGCGACATCTCATGTCTCCACATCCGCAAACTTCTAGCGGCTTATTTCCAGGAAACCTTTTGCTCATGCATCCAGTCAATCAAATGTCCTTTACTCTTTATACACATGCACCCATAGAGGTTGGAATCTCCTCATCCAACCAACCCTTTACAGTGGAACCCTTGTTACCCGTCCAATCAGTGGGCCTAGTTAGCGCCCAGGCCCGGCCCAGACCCCACCCTCCGGCTAGCCCGTACTGACCTGGCAGAGGCCTGTGGAGGGGGTGGAACCCAGGCAGGCCGGCAGAGCATTCCCAGAAATACGGAGCCCCCCCAGGCCCTGGTTTCCCCAGGAGCAGCTCGGGCTGCAGGCCCAGGAAGGGAGGGCCGGGCTGGGGGAGAAAGCAGTGACCCTCTGCCTCTTGGAAGGTGACCAGCAGCCGGCGACTGGTGCACAGGTCTACACCAACGACAGACAAACACCAAGCCACCGACAGAGAGTAGAGTGGGGACAGCAAAGACAACAGACAAGGCCAGCGGAAACCATACAGTCAATGTAGTCCGAATATTATTCAGACCTTACTAGGTCTTTCACTTAGTAGCTTTACTTTGTCCAGTGAATGAAACTTTTTCCTGTATTACTTGCCAAGCCAGCAGACTGCTAGTCTGTTCTAGAGAATTGAATGTTTGCAATGGTATTTCTTCTCTGTAAAATAACTTTTTCCTTTATGAAGTCTACAGCTATTCTTTATGCTATTCCTTTCTATTTCCTTTATACAATTTTTTTTTTTTTATCAGCTCTTATCAGCTCCTCCAGCTCACTTTAACACTACTACTCAACCCTTGAGCCTCGAACATGGTTCTGTCTGCAGCACAGGCCCCTCATCTCATGCCAATCAGGCCAAAACAGTTGACCAATGGTGCTGAATGAAGATGCTATGAAATCTGTTATGATCAGAATCACACTACAATGGCACATCCAAGGCAGTGACATTCTACAGTTCTTTATTCTAAATAAAAGCAGCTGGTCAATTGATTTTGAATTCTGGCATTCCGCTACATTTCAACGATTTTAGATTGGAGATAGGTGATCACTAGGAACCCCATTTCTACAACCAGAAAACTGATTTTTGCCCAGAATCTAAACTTCTCTCTCTACACTGCTTTGGCTCTCTCTCTCTGCCAGAGTCTGACATACTGTACAGCCAAATCCATAGGCTGCTGCTGGTTGCCATGGCAATAATATAGTTGAAAAAAGCTCCAGTGAATCCAGACGAACATTGCACAATACTGTATGACCCAATAGACATGCAACAACATTAGTGCATCGTTTAGCCAATGGCCACAAGGCGATGGAGATGACAGCAAGCAACAAACAGCGTTTTCAGACAGCGTTCACATTGCCATGCTGAACAGAGACAGATGGGTGTAGCACTAAGGCTATTAAGCTTAACAGTCTCTGTGTGTCTGAGCCTTGATTTGGAAAATGGGGTGGCATACATCCACTTCTTTGTTGTAGCTATTGATGAGCTGAGTCCCTGACAACCTGCAGTGTCCCAAAATTTACCACTGGGGGGCAGTGCCCCATTAAAAAAGATGCCAAAGGCTGCAATTACATTTTTTATTTCATCTTGATTAAGTAATCTTTTTATTTCAAGGCCTATAAAGATTCTAACCTATTGAGTAAAAGTTATCCTTATTAAAAGATTAATTCACATGATCTATATGTTTAGTAAAAAGCAAAACGTGAAGTTCCCCATTCAACTTCTTCTCACTTTCCTCCTCCTCTCTTCTCAATAAAGCCATACAGAAGAGCACCCCATTTTAAATCGTCTGAGGTGTTTGTTGTGCCCACCATCGTTTGAGACAGCATACTCTAGAATACAGGCTGGGTGTCATTTTTTGGCAGATAAATGTACTAAAATGTGAATACAATTGACATTTCAACTTTCTCAAATTGAACCACAAAGATGGAAATCAGTAAATGTTGTATTGAGTGGGAATATACACTGTTTTAAATTAAAAACTGTCAATACCATAGGAAACCTATTGAACTCATAGAAATATGCATAATAGAATAGACATTCAACTTGGCATTTGATAGTGGGTGGACCGGCCGCCATCTTTCTGTAGTAATTGGAAGCTAATGTTTCAATGGTGTACCAGCTAAATTGCAGTGGTCTGAAGGGATAAGTCCATTCTATGAACTCTACTATGATTGAAATGAAGCCCACCCTGTATTCAAAAGTATGCAGTGTCTCAACCAATGACGGGCACAACAAACACCTCAGATGATGTAAAATAGGGTCTAAGGTCTTCACGGGTCAACCTGAACCGAATACCCGAGACCTGAGTAGGTCCAGGTCCAAAATACTAACGTTTCCCTCGGGTCCGGGTTGGGTCCTGTTTCATTGTCATCGGGTCTATATAACTACAGGTGATAGACCAGAGTGGACCTGACCACGGCTCTGCATAGCCTATAGCACAGGGATTGGCAACTTTTGTAGGCCCGTGGTTCAATTTCCACAACAACAACAAAAAACGTGAAAGTGTTATTTATATTTTATATTTGAGATTCTTTAAAGTAGCCACCCTTTGCCTTGATGACAGCATTGCACACTTTTGGCATTCTCTCAACCAGCTTCATGAGGTAGTCACCTGGACTGCATTTCAATTAACAGGTGTGTCTTGTTAAAAGTACATTTGTGGAATTTCTTTCCTTCTTAATGCGTTTGAGCCAAACAGTTGTGTTGTGACAAGGTAGGGGTGGTATACAGAAGATAGCCCTATTTGGTAAAAGACCAAGCCCATATTATAACAAGAACAGCTCAAATAAGCAAAGAGAAACGACAGTTCATCATTACGTTAAGACATGAAGGTCAGTCAATACGGAAAATGTCAAGAACTTTGAAAGTTTCTTCAAGTGCAGTCGCAAAATCCATCAAGCGCTATGATGAAACTGGCTCTCATGAGGACCGCCACAGGAAATGAAGACCCAGAGTTACCTCTGCTGCAGAGGATAAGTTCATTAGAGTTAACTGCACCTCAGATTGCAGCCCAAATAAATGCACACACATCTCAACATCAACTGTTCAAAGGAGACTGTGTGAATCAGGCCTTCATGGTCGAATTGCTGCAAAGAAACCACTACTAAAGGACACCAATAGGAAGAAGAGACTTGCTTGGGCCAAGAAACACGAGCAATGGACATTAGACCGGTGGAAATCTGTCCTTTGGTCTGATGAGTCCAAATTTGAGATTTTGGGTTCCAATCGCCGTCTTTGTGAGACGCAGAGTAGGTGAACGGATGATCTCCGCATGTGTGGTTCCCACCGGGAAGCATTGAGGAGGAGGTGTGATGGTGCTTTGCTGGTGACACGGTCTGTGATTTTGTTAGAATTTTACAGCACACTTAACCAGCATCGCTACCACAGCATTCTGCAGCGATACGCCATCCCATCTGGTTTGCGCTTAGTGGGACTATAATTTGTTTTTCAACAGGACAATGACCCAAAACACACCTCCAGGCTGTGTAAGGGCTATTTGACCAAGAAGGAGAGTGACGGAGTGCTGCATCAGATGACCTGGCCTCCACAATCACCCGACCTCAACCCAATTGAGATGGTTTGGGATGAATTGGACCACAGAGTGAAGGAAAAGCAGCCAACAAGTGCTCAGCATATGTGGGAACTCCTTCAAGACTGTTGAAAAAGCATTCCAGGAGAAGCTGGTTGAGAGAATGCCAAGAGTGTGCAAAGCTGTCATCAAGGCAAAGGGTGGCTATTTGAAGAATCTCAAATATAACATATTTTTATTTGTTTAACACTTTTTTGGTTACTACATGATTCCATGTGTTATTTCATAGTTTTGATGTCTTCACTATTATTCTACAATGTAGAAAATAGTAAAAAATAAAGAAAAACCCTTGAATGTGTAGGTGTGTCCAAACCTTTGACTGGTACTGTGTGTATATATATATATATATTACTGTTGAGAGTCAGAATATTAGAATACACAAGGTGCAATTACAAAATTTGGTTGTGCATCAGCAGTCACTCAATTAGCCCATGTCAGCAAACATTCTTTAGATTAGCAAGTTAGTTGGATAGGCTATCTAAAAATGTAGTAATCATGGTCAAATTACCAACCGGGGGACACCCATTGATTTTGTTAGTCACTCAGATATCATATTAAAAACTGCAAACATTTCTCTCCACCCCATGGCAAAATGAGTAGAATTGCAGGAAATGAGATATAGAATTGCTAAATCTTCTCTCTGCCTCATGGTAAAATGTGTAGAATTACAGCAAATTTGCTTTAAAACTACAATATTTTCTCTACACCCCATGGAAATTGTAGAATTGCAGGAAATTAACTCTAACATTTTCTCTACGCTGTCAAGAGGCTAGGGCCGGCTCTGTGTGGGTATGGATGTGGGTAGCAGACCTGCGAGCCACTGTGGCCCCTCATGATGTTTGCTGATTTTTTGGGGGGTCCCCTCCACCATCAACGTTGCCCATCCCTGCTATAGCATATTTATTTTACACTAATAAAGGTGAATTTATTAACTTATAGAAGGCCTAGCCAACATATAAAGACCTATTAGTTAACCAGAAGAGCAACTTGGCTGACAAACAAACTTTTGTCACTTGGGTCCAATCGGGTCTAAATCCGAATCCGTTAGGGTACGGGTAGAGTCTAGGTCTGGTTGTTATTAGGTCCGTTCGGGTCTGATTGTTCTCAGGTCCGGGTCCAACTTTTTGGACCCAAGAAGACCTCTAGTCTAAGCTACAACATATGTTTACGCGTTTTTGAGATAATTTACATTAAAAGGTAAAAAGATTGCACAAATAGTTTAACAACCCTGTTTGTACACTTTCAAATGATATCAAACTCAACCGTTTATCTTTTTTCAGTGACGGAGACATGGATGTCTCATGGTAGGGTGGGTATGCAAAATGGGTCAACTATGAACACCTCGATCTCCGGAATGTTTCGGCATTCAGGTCCGAAAAGTCACTTTCTAACCACCTCTATCATGGGCAAACATGTTATGAAGGTTTCGTTCAAATCAAAAGGGGTGCAGTCAGAAAGTGATTTAATTAATACAGAACCACCCTATACATCATTTCAGCCAGGACAGCCAGATCAGCCAGCTTGTATGTATGGCACTTCTTCTGAAGACAGTGTCCCTACCGTTAGCTGATGGAGGCACAGAGAGCAGATGGATCCTTTGGCGTTAGCATTACTGCACAGGCATAGGCAGGAATGCCTATATATTTTATGTGTGCATGTGTTTGTGTATGCTTGTGTTTTTGCTCTAAAGACAGATGCAGCATGTTTTCCCCACAAGCAGCAGCAGAGCAGATTATGATCAATACAAAGCAATAAAGAGACATATGCTAGGGGGCAGGGTGGAGCGGAGCGGGGTGGGCGGCTGCTTGCCTTCCACTGCGCACTGGCGTCCCGTGTGGTAGGGGGTGCCGCCATGGTTCTGCAGCTCAGGGAAGGCACCGTGTGCTGGGGCGGTAGAGGGGAGTAATGGTGAGCCGTGGTGCGTTTTTACGTGCACCTTAAGGTAGGATGCAGTGGAGAAACCTGGAAACCAGGAGAAGAACACAGAACAAAAGGGCAGTGGCACTACACATCCAGCAGGGAGAGAATGGATGCCCCCTGTTGTTATGTACCCAAAGATGACTGTGGGACAACAACAACAAAAATTGTTCCCACATCCACCTTTCGTGAAACTGTTTTATATTTTCATGCAGACAAGCATAAGAGCTGGTACCAGGGATAATAATATGATTTTGTTGAACTGAGCTGAGCTTTTGGATGTTGTAACAACCCCTCAAAAATAAATATGAAGTGCATCTAACTTCAAAAGGCAAGGAAGAATGTGAACCTACAAAAGGAAGGGTAACCTCAAGCAAGAGTCAACAATGTGCAACCCCTGTTCTCTATTATCTAAGCTATTAGGCCTACCACAAGAATGACACCATGTCTAGCCAGGTAAATCAAGACAAAAGAAGCAAGTCAACCCAATACAGACAAACTGCACGGGGGGGGGGGGGGGGGCAGAAATAATCTACAGTAGTACACACAATCAGGTAAGACAAACAAGTCTTGAAACCTTAACATATGAAATCAAGCCTTTCTCAAATAAAACAATAGCACTATCTGCTAGGAGCAGCTGACACCACCATTTTGGACAAATCATTAACCATCAATTACTTTACTACATTAATGAGACCTGTGTTGCATTAACATACTGCCTGTACAAGAGAGTAAATTGGAATGGCAGCAAGAGAATGTTCAGAGAGGACAACAACAAACAAGAAGCAACCATGGTGGCTGCCAACCAATAACTGATGCACGAGCATTGTAAAGTGGGGTCCGAGATTATTGACACCCTTGATAAAGATGAGGAAGAATTAATTATTTATTTTATATAGTCAAATACTGAGCTATTTTGTATGCTCCAAAAAATTGGGAAATTATTTTATACTTATACAATTACATAGATAGAGATTTTGTTTAACAAGTAATACTTTTTTTTCTCAGAGAACCCAATACCTACTGTAAAATATGGTGGTGTATCTTTCATGTTAGGGGGATATTTTGCTTCCACTGGTCCTGGGGCCCTTGTTAAGGTCAACGGCATCATGAACTTTACCCAGTACCAGGACATTTTTGCCAAAAACCTGGTTGTCTGCCAGGAGGCTGAAACTTGGCCACAAGTGGATCTTCCAGCAAGACCATAACCCCAAGCACACATCAAAATATGCATTTTACAATGGTCATCACAGTCTATGGATGTGAAACCCATTGAAAACCTGTGGTTTGAATTGAAGAGGGCAGTCCATAAGTGCAGACTAAGGATATCAGGGATCTGGAAGAATTATGTATGGAGGAATGGTCTAAGATCCCTCCCAATATGTTCTACAACTCATAAAACATTTTAGAAAAATGCTCAGTGCCGTTATCCTTGCAAGGTGAGGTATTGAAAACAGGGGTGTCCATTTTTACCCCTACCTTTTTGAGAAAAAAACATTACTTGTTAAACAAAATCTCTTTCTCTGAGCAATTGTTTTAGTATAAAATAATATAATTTCCCAAATTTTTGGAGCATACAATATAGCTCAGTATTTGAATTATATATTTCATACAGTCATTTTTGTTTATCTTTACCAAGGGTGTAAATTATTTCAGACCCCACTGTATGTACTACCTTTATACTTAGTATCATTGTGATTCATGTGGGTCTGTTATATGTGTTTACGTCTCGTGTGCTCCTTGCTGCAAAACCAACTTGAAAAACAGTGGACAACCCATGCAGACACTACAACTATGAACTGCAGATAGCCCGTGATTGCAGGTCACAAGCTTTTATGTAGAAAGCAACCCAAATTCTTTGCACCAGCTGAGGTAGTTACTACAGTATTAGATTTGAATAGTAAAAATATTGGTAGATCATCCTTGTTGCTTGTGGCAAGATGGAAATACCATGCTGGAAGAGAGGCAGGCTAACAAGAAAACACATACAAATCTAAGAAACAAGAAGACACAGTCATAGAATGGAAGCCTGACAGGTATGAGGAGATGATGCTGCACACTAGGCCTGAGGTTACCTTTGTTGCATATGCTACAGTAGTTGTGAGGTCCTTCACTGTGTTTCTTGAGGTGGTCGGTCATGTACGCAGCCCGGAGGTACTTCCCACATACCTGGCACGGGATCTTGTCCTCGTGGCAAGCCAGGTGGGACCGCAGGCGATCTCTTGTAGCAAAGGAGGCATTACAAATCTGAAGAGGAGGAAAATACAGGTAAAGAACATGCCCTCATACATGTTACGTACAGAAACAGTATTCATTTACCATCAACCATATTCTAATCAACAAGAATGAGTATGTTAACATGCACACTAATAATTCCATATTTAACTGACTTTGGCAGTAGGCCGAGTATGGCAGTAGTCATGTAAACACTTTACTCTGCTTATCTTAAAGATGCACTACGCAAAAATCCCTCTGCCATTTCCTGGTTGCCAAAATTCAAATAGTTTGCTTAATTTTTGTTTATGTGACAAAACAAGCAAGTATAATGTAGAGTCATTCTAGTATCTAAACCACTGTGAAATATATTTTCCAAAACCAAAAATATAGTACTTTCAGCTGTTTGAAGCTGGTGTACAAACCCGAAAGTAAAACATGCAAAAACAAAATTTAAGAACGGGGAGCATAGAAATAGCACACATAGAACAAATATAGCGCTTCTTATAATCTATAACACATATTTCTATGTGAATCTGGTCAGGTTGTCCATAAAGTTACATATTGCAGCTTTAAAATCGGTGTAACGTCAAAATCAAAGTAAGCATATGCGGATTAAAAACACCTGGTTTTCTGACATGTAAACAGCTTAATCAGCATTCCAGCGGTGTACTTGATCTGTGCATGTGCCAGCACCGGTAGTCTCCCTCTTATGCATTAGTGAAGTGAGTTTTAAAAAACTGAAATCGTTTTCACATACACATTTTTCAAAAATAACATGGTACGTTGGTAGAACGTTTACTTTGATTGCCGATTTTCTGCATTTATTTAAGTCCCATCAGGTAGCCTGATTTCAGATGTGTCCATGTAAACAGGATTATTAGAGAAATCGTTCATCTTGCAAAGCATGTAAACGTTTTAAACAAACTATTATATTAGTTTGGGTTGTCATTGAGTAACCGTACTCAATCATTAAAACAAGCAGTGACAGATTTGAAGTGTATTGTTCATTCATTGTGACAAATATTGCATCCACATCAACTCTCCTAAGAGAATCCAGTTGTTACTATTGTCTCACCTGGCATTTATGGGGTCTCTCTGTTGTGTGAACCTGCTTGATGTGCCCATTCAGATGGTCTGGCCTGAATAAAACAAACATAGGCATGTTGAGACAGATGCAGACAGTACACAAATGATTCTGAGTAAGAAGACAATTTGTCTTTATTTTCCCTCAAACACAGAATGCTTAGAATAGAATAGGGAATTCCCCTGGAAGTAGTGCTGGTAATGTCGACCTACCATAATAAATTGTCCATAGCTCACCTTGAAAACCCCTTTCCACAGCTTTGACAGACGTAAGGTTTGCCCACAGATCCATCGTGTGACCGCACATGGTATGACATCCTGTCCTTGCGCTTGAACCGCAGGCCACAGACATGGCAAGCATATGGCTTTTCCCCGGAATGAGACAATTTGTGTCGGTTCAGGTGGTATACATCCCGGAACACCTTTCCACAAATGTCACAGCCAACGTGACGTCTCGTCCTCTCTCGTTTACGGCTGTTATCTACTGTTCCATGCAAGGGCATGCCATTCTCCAACAGACCGGGCTGACCAGAGTGCGTTATCAAGGTAGGGCCGCCTCCGATACTCGCGCCATGGCTGGAAGCTCCATGCTGCGCTTCGTGATTTCTCAACCGCACAGCCTCTGTAAATGCTTTGCCACATATTCCACAAGGAAATAGCTGCTCAATGTCTTCTTTAACGTCAGAGGTGTTGTGGTTGTAATGTATATGCTCTATGGCTGTCACCTTCTTTGGTCGCCCCCTGCCTCTCTTGGAACCCGGAGAGCCCTCTTCTTGGAACGGGTTGCCCGTCTTCTCTGATGGAGACACGGGCTGCAGGACTGGCATAGTGGACTGGGGGCTACCATCCGACACGACAGTGTCATTGGCATGACTTCCGTCCACATTATGTGTTTGCCCATTATTGCCATTCCCATTTGACATGTTGTCTACGGCTAATTTGAAACCCAATTCAGAGCCCCCCGTGGCACGGAACAAACTGACGTCTCCTCCTCGAGAGGGTGGTACAAGGATTTGTACATTGGACTGTTTGATTACTTCTTGGCATATCTCGATGACAGAACGCATTAACAGAAACTTAGCAGCTGTCATCAACTCGGGGAAACATTCCAATTGTACCACAATCCTAGAGGTGTAGACAAAGTCCAAAATGTCTTTAAAAACTTTGGGGCTTATCGTATGCATCTCAAGTTCTTTTGCCTCCCCGTCGCCCTCCGTTTGACAACCAAAAACGGACTCGAAGTACTCGCTGCACGCCGCCAGTACCGCCTTGTGGGCAGGGAAGCTCTCTTCGCCAACGCGCAAGATCACATCGCAAAACCTGCCTCCATCTTTCCTCTGAATGTTGAGGTTGTGTAGCATCTGCGCGCTATGATTGCTCACCTGATAGGTGTATGAAGAATTCCACGACTGCTCCGCTATTCTCTCCATGCCGAATTCATTCAACATCAATTTAGGTTAGCGACTAGGGGTGGAGAAACAAATAGTGTATACAGCTCAATAGTCGGGGTAAATTAAATAAAAACACACGACGACCACCCTTCCCTCTTTAGCATCTAAACGTTAGCAGCAGGGAAAAATGGCAGCCCCCCAGCTTCCTGTGAACTTTAACCTTTTCGTTTCAAAGTGGGGGGGTATCGTTCTATATTTTCACATCACTTTTAGACATACACTATGTAGAGTATCTGATCTAAAAGCTATTCTTCTAATAGACACTATAGCTATTTAGGATACATGAGGTGGGGTTGAAGTTGTGAAATACGTTCATAATATTCCTCTTCCTGGTTTCTCCCTTCACATTTTTTTAAATCCAAAAAGCCCCCTCCCCCAGCCGCTGCTGAGAAAAGGCTGACCGTCTAGCTTTCAGAACGAAAAGGGTGCGACCGTGCGCATGTTAGAATATAATACAGTACAAAAAAAAGTTGAAATATACAGACAGGACTCCAACCATAACTTTGATGTTGAATTATTTTATAACCCGTCCCATTCTGACTGTACACAATATTCTATAAAACATGTATATGTGTTGCTGCCATTCACACATTGCAGAGGCCTATGGAGAATTGTAATTTTAAAGGCGCTACCCGCATATGCAAATAGCCCGCTCATATTCTGACAGTAAGGCAAAGTAATTGTGAGAACCGAAACTCAATTTGAAATTCCATGTTCGTCAGTGTCACCCCAAAAGCAGAAAGGTAAACAAACCATGAGGGACATTCAATAAGATTGGGAGAAAAAACGAAAACGTGTCTGCTTTCCTTAAACTGTCCAGATCTCTATGAAATATGACAATTACAATGAGTGAGTTTTCCTTAATATAAAAAGCAGCATTTCTGTTGGAATGGTGTGGGCATACCCTAACATAATGGTGAGTGTGTACCAGTCATTATTCACCCAAGTACACTGCTGATTGGCCAGCTCAGCCAATATGACATGTTCTATGAGTAAATGGCAAGCATATTTTATTAAACAGTCTCAGATTCAAGTTTTTCCTCCAATTTATGCTTTGGCCACAAATACAAGTATATTGTAGGACGAGTCGACAGAATATGCATTTAAGTGAGATTTTCACTGGACAGTTACTATAACAAATCAGACAATCCCACAAATATTAAATGACATCAATGTAGGCACCAGTTTAGTGTCAGACACCCAGTCTTAGCAGCTCATTGTTCCAAATATGCAGTATTCACACACTCTTGCAATTTCCAATGCACACATTTTAAGGCTTCTGCAATCTTAGTTCAATAGATACAAATCGAGAACAAAGCAATTGTGATTAATTTTTTTATTGAACATTTTATTTATTCTGTGCTTTCATAACTTAATAGCACATTACCATAAACCGAATCTCTACCACCCACCCCCAAATGTGATAACGTGATTCAGAAGTGCTTCTGTTCCAGTGACTGGCGGAGGGGGGGATGCGGTAAAGAAAAAAGCTGTGGGCTCAAATCTTTCCTCAATTCCTTGCATCCTTCGCCTTCTCCTCAAAAAACATTGGAGAAAAAGGTCCGACGGGAGGGACCTTACACCTTCTCCTCCAATACTGTTGAAAAGGAGGCAAGCGAGCAGATGGGATGTAAGGAATCACAGAAAGATTGAGAGTCACAGAGAAAGGCACAACCAGCACTTGCTGTTCCCCCTGGGGCGTCCTGTAACACTCCAGCCACCTCTCCTCTCCAGACAGATGGCAGGCAGTGCCACCAACTGACCCAGCCGTAGGGAGGACATCGTTTGAGGGGGAACGCTCAGGGCAACTGCACAATCAAACATAGGTATTGAACTTGCAGTCGCCCCTTTCTCAGTGCAGTTCAAATCCATGTGGGGGGGAATAAAACTACCAGGACACAAAGAAGCGCAGCTACCCTCTCTTCGCGGCTCAATTATGTCTGACTGCGGCAGTTCTCACTTAAACAGCAAGATACAACCTTCAAGAAAAAAAATTCATTTATGTACAGGTAGAATCAGATCCATTCCTAGTCTGTACAATTTTGGGCCTAGAAATTATTTACTTCATCTTTACTGCAAAAAAAGGTACAAAAACAAAGACCCCAAAACAAAATATGTTGCAAAAAAAGAAAATATATAGAACTCGTAGTCTTTCCCTTTAAGTGTAGGTCTCTTCAATACTCTACCAGTGACTTCAAGGTTTAAGACAAAACATGGACACAGACTCTTCATTCTCCAGGATCTGTGCTTAGTCTTAGAAAATTAAAGTTCACATTTTTCATTAATGGGGAGGTGGAGAAGGGAGGGGGAAAATAAAGTATTGCTTTATCCAGCATTCTGGTTGTATGAAACTCTCCTCAGGGCCTAAACTCCAGTTCATCTACACTTATGACCTTAGCAGGCATGGAAGGAAGGGGCTGCTGCAGCACATCTGAGCCAAACCACTTGGACAGACCAGCTCCCCCCACACCAGTGAGGCTACCCCCATGTCGCTGGGAGTGGCTCGTCCGGTGAGGGCCGTGGTTCTGCGACTCGTGGCCTGGGACTGTTGGATGCACTGGGAGGAGAGAGAATAAAATTCATCAGTGAAGGCCATTAGGAACATTGGGAAACTAATGTTATTAAAAAAAGGGATCCATAGTGCCAAGATTGTGGTGCCCTCATGTATGCATAAACATAGCTAAAACACATGCAAAACAGGTGTCTATGTTGAACTTGTTAAATAATAACAATGACAGACTGAACAGAAAATGTCACTCACTTGGTCTCGGTTGTTGCTGTTGCATTAGCGCTAGCTGCATATGATTGCTGGCTCGGGGAGGTAAGAGGGGGTGTCCTGTCGCCCCTAGGGGGTAGAGGGGTTGTCCTAGCAGGGAAGGCGGTAAACTCTGACGCTGAGCGAGGTCAACATGCTGTGGAAATATGCCTAGGATGGAAAAGGAGATTTCAGTGAGCTCCTCAACAGTTCCCACACCTCAACCATATATTGCAGGTCAACTCATCCTGTAAACAAACTCCAACTATAGTTTTTCTACATGCACCTGGTAATACTATAGGCATGTGTCAACTCATCTTGGCACTTATAAAACCCTTTGCAGTGGCCTATAGTGATGGCTTAGAATAGCTAGGTACTGTAAACAGGTAGACCAGTACTAACCTGCCTGCATCAGAGCAGGGCCTCGCTGCTGTGGCTGGATGCCCTGCACCAGCATCCTCTGCACAAGGCTGGGGTGGAGCGGAGGGGGGCGCACCATGGGCACATGTCCGTGGGATAGCAGTGGTATCGGGTAGATGGGGCAGGGGAAGGGAGAGGCCGACCCAGGGGACACCAGGGTGGGGGTGTGGTGCCCGGCGGAGCCTGGCCTGGGGCGGTCCTCGTGGTCCTTGGCGTGCTGGCGAACCTGGGAGGCTTTCACCCCTCCCGACTGAGAACCACTATTACCCATCCCATCCAGGAAAGAGCTGGGAGAGCTCCTGTCTATAAGACAGGTGCACAAATGCTCCATTAGACAAGACAGCACCAACATTACACAAGTAAGGATCAGAGACATTGAGACGAGGGAATTCTTCCACCTGACTAGAGAACTAGTTCAATACCATGTGTTACTTATCGTTATTTAAAATGTGCCTTTGTCAATCAATCAATAACACCCCAAAATATAAGAGCCCCAATACACCAGTCTGAACCCTGGTTTTACCTGAGGTTGCCTTCAATGCATTTCCCAAACAATGTCATTACTGACAACCTCAATTGACAACAAAAAAAAAACCCACAGCAGTTGGTGAACGTACCCTCTTGAGAGTGGCCCTCCTTGCTGTCTGGACGACTACCTGGCTCATCTCGACTCTTCTCTTTCGTCTCGTACATCTTACGGATCACAGACGTGGGCACGAAAGATGGTGACAGCTGTACAACACACAAGCATCAGTAGTTACGTTACTTAGGAGGGCATAAAAAAAAAAGTTAACATGCAACTTAAACCAGACAGTTGATAAATTCTGAGCAGTTGGGAAACATCCACTTTAAAGGAAGAGTTATGGTCACAATAAATCATGTTTTTATGTCCTGTGCATAGAGGGAATAGAGTTGAACAGACAGTTCAATAAATAAGCACTTATTTCCTGAAACCACTATGGGTTTGAATTAGTGGAGGGATTGAACAGGGTCGCACAATGTTTTTCACCAGAAGATGTAATGAGTGTCTCTTATTGGACAAGTTCAGGTAGTCCCTCCCTGTTTTAGTCTGTTTTCTTCCGTTTGGTGCCTAATGAATACGACATAGACAACCTTTCGACGTACCATGCTGGTGACTGTGTTGCCAGGGGAGTGTCTGCCTGCAGGATAAGTGCCTGGACCAAGGGATCCGTTCATCCTGGGTTGCCAGATAACACACACACACACACACACACACGTCAATGTACATCCAGCAATAAATAAATGCATACATTTTCATGCTTTGGGTTGCCAAACTTAAAAATATAAAAAAACTTTTTAAAAAATGTATACTTAAAAACGTTGGAATTACAGGAGGGATGGGAACCCCTATAACAAATCAGGTGCCCCCCATAAAACATTTTACATTTTTGTCATTTAGCAGACGCTCTTATCCAGAGCGACTTACAGTTAGTGAATACATATTTTTTTAAATACTGGCCCCCCGTGGGAATCGAACCCACAACCCTGGCGTTGCAAACGCCATGCTCTATCAACTGAGCTACATCCCTGCCGGCCATTCCCTCCCCTACCCTGGACAACGCTGGGCCAACTGTGCGCCGCCCATGAGTCTCCCGGTCGCGGCCGGCTGTGACAGAGCCTGGATTCGAACCAGGATCTCTAGTGGCACAGTTAGCACTGTGATGCAGTGCCTTAGACCACTGCGTCACTCAGGAGACACAAAACAATGTCACCCTCATAATTGTGAAATATATTGGGCACCCCCAAGGGTCCCGTGTAGCTAGTTTGTAGAGCATGGCGCTTGCAACGCCAGGGTTGTGGGTTCGATTCCCACGGGGGACCAGTATGAAAAAAAAATATGCATGCACTCACTAACTGTAAGTTGCTTTGGATAAGAGCATCTGCTAAATGACTAAAATGTAATTGTATAATTGTAACCCTACTTCAAAGCGACAAAAAGTGAAAGCCACCTGTTGTGTTGGTAGGCCTTGTTCGGAGGACGTTTGTTGTAACCGGTCTGGAAGGCGTTGTGGGCATGGAGAGCAAGGTCCTGCTGGATAAGAGCCTCAAGTTCAGCCTGGTCCACAGCCATGGACAGCGCCCTCATCTGGAGGCAAAGAAAGCAGTGTCATCTACCACCAGCTCACTTACACCACGTGACAAACTCATTCCACAGAGGGCCGAGTGTCTGCGGGTTTTCGCTCCTCCGTTGTACTTGATTGATGAATTAAAGGTCTAATTAGTAAAGACCTCCCCTCACCTGGTTGTCTAGGTCTTAATTGAAAGGAAAAACCAAAAACCTGCAGACAGACCCTCCATGGAATGAGTGACACCCCATCCCAGGTTCCAGTTTGCATGCCATAATTGTTTGGTTACCAAGACATCGCAAGATCTAACAAAGGGTGTTGCACCATCACAAATTCTAGATTTGATGTGCTTTACGGTCCCAATATTGGGCAATTTGATAAACAGTATCTCTAACCTGTTGTTGCTGGTGTAGGGTGGGTCCATGTCCAGGGCTGAGGGATCTATGCATATCTGGGAACTGCTCTCCCATCATGGGCTGTGGACCAACAGGGTACCCTGAAACACAAGACCAATCAGACAAATCAGTCACTTGAAAAATATAGGAGTACAAAGACAGTTAAGAGCACAACGAAAGTATTTGAGGAAGATTGTTTATGATAATACATTCCTAAAAGTTCATGTATAAAACATTTTTAGAGTTTTCCATGCACAATCAAGTACAATGTACCCTCAAATAGAGTCACTTAGGTGAGACAAATATTCAGCTGTCCCTTTAAGGGGCAGGCCGTTACTGTGGTAACTGTGGGACTCATGTCTGAGATGAGCAGTGTTGCCAACTTAGCGACTGTCGCTATATTTGGTGAGTTTTCAGACCCCTCCAGTGACTTAATGGTAAAATATTCTCGCTGAAAAATAGTTGGTAACACTGGAGATTAGATTCTGTGACTTCTCTTTCCTAGCAGTTGAGCAAGGTCAAACATTGAAAAACAATCTAGCGTGTGAACAAAACGATGTAAACAGCCAAGAAACACTAAAGTCACACTAATAGACTTTCAGGTAAATTCAAACTTAATGCCTGTGCGCTTCTTAAAATGAATCTTTCAGAAGTGCACATTGCTGCACAAGGTGGGATATGGAACTCTACATTTTATGTTTTTGTCAGTGTATGTAAAGTGTTGGTCCCATGTTTCATGAGCTGAAATCACTATTAGTGAGGATTTCCCCTTTGCAAAAATAATCCATCCACCTGACAGGTATGGCATAAAGAAACTGATTAAACAGTAAGATCATTACGCAGGTGCACCTTGTGCTGGAGAAAATAAAAAGTCCACTTTAAAAAATGTGCAGTTTTGTCACAGAAGTCTGAAGTTTTCAGGGAGCATGCAATTGGCATGCTGACTGCAGGAATGTCCACCAGAGCAGTTGCCAGATAATTTAATCTACCATAAACTGCCTACAACGTCGTTTTAGAGAATTTGGCAGTATGTCCAAATGGCCTCTCAAACACGTGTAACTACGCCAGCACAGGACCTCCACATCCGGCTTTTTCACCTGCGGGATCATCGGGGGGGGGGAGTGTATTTCTGTCTAATAAAGCCCTTGTGGGGAAAATGTCATTCTTCAGTGGCTGCACCCCTGCCCAGTCATGTGAAATCCATATATTAGGGCCTAATGAATTTATTTCAGACTGATTTTCTTATATGAACTGTAACTCAGTAAAATCTTAGTAATTGTTGCATGTTGAGTTTATATTTTCGTTCAGTATAGTTCTGTGTGATTAGCTACGCGCTATGAAATAAAGCAGCAGAAATAGTTTGAAAATAGCTAAGGCAGTAATTTCTTTGCTATAAATCACAACCTCCACATGCTCATACTTGACTTTCAGTTCGCACATTTATTTTTAAGCACAAATTCGAAAATGGTCGCACTGTAGAGCCCTGTTTTGTTTCCATAGCTACAGTGTGCCCTAAATGAGCACCACATTGATGTAATGTTTACCAGCGGGTGGCCGCATGCGTCCATGGAAGTAGTCAGGCAAAGGAGCCCTCTGTAGGAAGAGTGGAGGCGAGGGCCCCCTGTGCTGCAGCAGGCTGTGTTGAAGACCAGGCCCAGGGGGTGGAGGGATGTCAGTGCTGCCTAGAACGCTGTGGAGGGTAGGGGAGCCGCTACGGGGAGGGCCCTGGGCACCCAGAAGCTCCTGTAACAATTACACACACCAACTGAGCCACACAACATAACGCCAGCACTATTCAACAACAGCCCCCTATTCCTTAACAAGCACCACAACCAGAATGCCATTCTTTAACGCTACAGCCTATCAAACTCAACAGCTTCAATAAATACTTAAGAGTTCCACACACCCTGACAACACGGGCTAGCCCCAAACCACACACCTGGAATATGTTCTTCTGCAGTGGGGCAGGCACTGTGGCTTCAGGCAGGGGCACTATAGCAGGGTCTGTGGGCCGATTGAGCTGTAACAGGGGTGGAAGAAGGTGCAATCAGACAGCAGTCTTGGTTGTGGACACGCTTTCAAAACCGATCCCTCTGGGCATTTTCAGTTGCATAAATGTTATGCATCAGACCAATTAACATTGTTTGATATCGCATTGGTACAACGTTGTCAAAAGTCTTAAATACAAGTTACTTAGATGTCATCCAATAGAAAATGAGATTATTATATAAGACATTAAAAACCTATTTTTGACGTGACTCAATTCTAACGTTGTAGCATATTGGTCATGACAGATGAACAACCAAAATGTAACAATTGATGGTCAGAGATGAAAAGCCCATTGGGATGGAGAAGAGCATGGCTGAATGTAGATATAACTCCATGCCCAGAAACCAAAGTGACAGACCCTAACAAATTCACCAGGGCACAAAACCCCACGAATGTCACAGGCCATAAGGGTAACCCAGTCTAATTTGATATAAAGGATAACGTTAAGGTTTAATGTAAATCTTCTCTATGCAATCATTTGATTGACGTGTTAGTTCATAGGGGTTCATGTGAATCCAGAACAACCTTTGGAAGGAGGAACTCAAACTTAACTATACAAATTTATGCCCATCATTTTCCAGACCTGACAACTATTGGTCTAGGAGTTCAGTTATGGTTAGGATGTTAGCGTGCATGCATAATTTGGTTTTGAGAACCTACATGTAGCGCTTACATGTGATGTAAAGGCCAAACTTACAGCAGCACACACACGGGTCCGTTTACCTGAAGCAGCATGCAGCTCAAAGCCGTTAGGGTTTACACATCCAGCGTTACCTGAGAGGCAGCATGCCGACAGGACAGTCGGTGCTTTTTAAACATCCGTGAGCCACACACTTACGTTGCTGTTCACTTGGTTGGCTTTGGGGTGGGTGGGCAGAGTTCCACTTGCCTTCATGCTGCTGACCAGCTTGTTGAAGGCTGACATGTCAGGGTCTCTGGCCTGTGACCTAGGGGGCCCTGCACTGGGGCCTACACCGCCTGTTAGAGACTGCTCCAAGTGCTCAGCCATGAAGGGCGTGCCACTGCTGGTGCTGCCTCTGATGATTCCTCCCTGATGCAGATTCTGGTGCTGATGGGGTTTCCGATGAGCCTGGTGCTGGTGGTTCTGCTCAGAGCCCACCTTTAGCCCCTTCAGGCCTCCCTCCACCTCCTCCAGAGAGAGCACTACACCAGAGTTAGCTAGGGGACAAGACGAGGGCTTTACAGGTGCTGGAAACATTGTACACGTCTTACTGCAAATTCACCATATGACATGGGCTTTGTTCATTAGGCACCAAACAGAAGAAAGCAGACTGAAACATGGTGGAACTACCTGGACCTGTTTAATAAGAAACAATAATTACTGTTTTCCATTAAAAGGTTTTCGTTTGCGTGCTCCATTGAAACGACCCCAATGGAAATGAAATACTGGTCACATGAACAATTGCTACTCACTGCTCTGCTGTAGTCGTTGCTTATTGACATTGAGGTTGGAGAGGAGAGGCTTCAAGTCTATCTTGGCCTTGTGTAACAGCTCCAGAATGTCCACCTTGTCCCGGTGCTCCACTGACTGGATGGGGGTGAAGTAGGGGACAGGGCCCATCTGGCTAGGGGACGTGCAGCGGGGGTCCTGCCCTGAAAGAGGGTAAGTAACAGTTTCCGAAATCCTCATTAGATAAAGGTGCTCAGTCATCAAAACAGAAGGCATCATGTAGTCCTTAGAGGGCTTTGTATGTAATTTCAGAAATTGTGGCTATAAAAAAAAGTTATGAACAGTCATATCAAAACAAACGTTTTGTGGCTTTACGTTTATAATTACGAAAAATTTGTTTATTTCAGGGTGGCCATGTTTTTCTAATACTTTTGAACAGAAGGCATCTTAACTAAAAGGAGGCCATAGAGGGTTTGTGTTTGTGCGGATGAGTTCCAGATGTTGCGCAGCAATCTCTGTACCAATATGCATGTCCCTTACTTGAAATCCATGTTGGGATACACTTTTTTTTTTTTAAACATACGATAACGTGTATTTCAGCAGTCCCGTCAGGATTCCGTGAGTGCAATTTCTTGTAAAATCAACAATTACGCCAATCACTGCACTTTTTCTGCATAAAAGTCAAATTGTCACAGTATTCTCATTTAAAAAACAGACCCATCATGGCAGTACCAAAGAGGGCATTCAATGTCAACCAATCACTGCACATTTACCGCATAATATGGTTAAATCAAGCCACACGGCAAACTCTTCCCTCGTCAGTGCATTTTCCAGACAAATTGGACAAAAACACATTATTTGATCCCCTGCTGATATTTTACATTTGCCCACTGACAAAGAAATGATCAGTCTATAATTTTAATGGTAGGTTTATTTGAACAGTGAGAGACAGAATAACAACAAAATCCAGAAAAACGCATGTCAAAAATGTTATAAATTGATTAGCATTTTAAAATGAGGGAAATAAGTATTTGATCCCCTCTCAATCAGAAAGATTTCTGGCTCCCAGGTGTCTTTTATACAGGTAACAAGCTGAGATTAGGAGCACACTCTTAAAGGGAGTGCTCCTAATCTCAGTTTGTTACCTGAATAAAAAGACCTGTCCACAGAAGCAATCAATCAGATTCCAAACTCTCCACCATGGCCAAGACCAAAGAGCTCGCCAAGGATGTCAGGGACAAGATTGTAGACCTACACAAGGCTGGAATGGGCTACAAGGTCCCCCTGCTCAAGAAAGCACATATACAGGGCCGTCTGAAGTTTGCCAATTAACATCTGAATGATTCAGAGGAGAAATGAGTGAAAGTGTTGTGGTCAGATGAGACCAAAATGGAGCTCTTTGGCATCAACTCGCCGTGTTTGGAGGAGGAGGAATGCTGCCTATGACCCCAAGAACACCATCCCCACCGTCAACCATGGAGGTGGAAACATTATGCTTTGGGGGTGTTTTTCTGCTAAGGGAACAGGACAACTTCACCACATCAAAGGGACGATGGACGGGGCCATGTACCATCAAATCTTGGGTGAGAACCTCCTTCCCTCAGCCAGGGCATTGAAAATGGGTCGTGGATGGGTGTTCCAGCATGACAATGACCCAAAACACACGGCCAAGGCAACAAAGGAGTGGCTCAAGAAGACACACATTAAGGTCCTGGAGTGGCCTAGCCAGTCTCCAGACCTTAATCCCATAGAAAATATGTGGAGAGAGCTGAAGGTTCGAGTTGCCAAACGTCAGCCTCGAAACCTTAATGACTTGGAGAAGATCTGCAAAGAGGAGTGGGACAAAATCCCTCCTGAGATGTGTGCAAACCTGGTGGCCAACTACAAGAAATGTCTGACCTCTGTGATTGCCAACAAGGGTTTTGCCACAAGGTACTAAGTCATGTTTTGCAGAGGGGTCAAATACTTATTTCCCTCATTAAAATGTAAATCAATTTATAACATTTTTGACATGCGTTTTTCTGGATTTTTGTTGTTATTCTGTCTCACTGTTCAAATAAACCTATCATTAAAATTATAGACTGATCATGTCTTTGTCAGTGGGCAAACGTACAAAATCAGCAGGGGATCAGATACTTTTTTCCCCTCACTGTATTGCCATGCAAAACAGTAGAATTGCTGCAATAAAATCAAGCATTTTTGCCTGCAGATATCACAAAACATCCCTGCAAAGTCCTGGAGGGACTGTTTGATCCTTGAGGGCAACACATTAGTATTAATCAAAACACTTATTTCCGAAGCAGCCCTCTTACCAGCCAGTCTCTCCAGCTCCTCGTGGGGGGTGGAGCGCAGGCTGGAGGAGCGGCTGCCTGACGGACTCAGGTTACTGGAGAACCACCGGCTGAAACGGCTGGCCGAAACAGGGCCCTCCCCCAGAACATCCTCTATCATCTGCAACACAGAGCCAGAGGCCAGTCAGAGGCAAGCTGCTGGCCCAGAGTGGCAGACTGCTAAAGGGTAGGTGTGAGCAAAGGTGGCACTTACGTTTACGGCGCTGTCCATCTGCACACCTTTGGGCTTTTTTTGGGATGCATTTTGTCCGTGCTTTTTGACGGTATTGTACCATTCATTCATTGAATCTGTACTTTATTTCCCTATCCCATAGCTGATTTCCTTATTTTTATAGATTCCTTCGCTAATCATTTGCAAGGGATCTTAATAAGTGCTGAATAAACTGGAACGGATGGGCATAAATTTGCATTGACTGAAACCTAACAAAACCACCCTACTGGAGGTGAAACCTGTTCCCTTACGACAACCTTTAACTGGAAAATGACAATACAGCAAGAAAACCTTAGAAAGAACAATGTCCTGGCAAGGGTGACAATACCGCCGCTACCACCACCACCACCCAAACAGGAGAAAGACAGTACCAAGTGATAAAACCTTGGAACAACTATCCTCTAGTGTAGGTTATAGGGATAGTTCACACAAATTACATTGTTTCCTCACCCTGTAAGCATTTTGTGGACACGGTATGACAGCAGTCCATGCTTAGATTTGGTTTCCCTGGCACCGTTTTAGCATTTGTGGCACAAATCCCATTCAGGTCATGGGATAAATAGTAGCATTTTTGTGCATGACGTTCAAAAAAAATATACTTTGTTGCGCTTCACAATCAATTTTAGATACGGTCAGATGATTTGGACATTACGCACAAAGAATGCTAATGTAGGTCCCATGACTTGATGGGATTTGTGCAACAAATGCTAAAACATGGAAACTAAAGCATGATTGCAGTCATACCTGGTCCATAGACTGCTTACAGGGTAAGGAAACAAGTGTAATTTGGGTTAACTATCCCTTTAACCTACACTTTAAATTTAAAACTAGGACCATGTCTAGCCAACTACAACCCAATGTGTGGAGCATTTAGAGTCGACTAGCAACACATTATTGTGGACATTAGCCTATAGTGCACAACTTATAGCACCCAAACACACCTTAAACATGCAGTGCTCCCCAGGACTTACAGAGGCCAGTCCTGGCATGGTCTTCTCCAGATTGAAGAACTCATTGAAGTCAAAGTCTCCAGAAGTCTGCTCTGGGAGGACCGCTGGGTGTGGGACCTCCTGGTCTGCTGTAGAGTGAGACTCTTTTTCCACCTGCTCTGGCTCCTCCACAAGCCCACCATTACATTCCACTGCAATAAACAGAGTGCAAATAGACATTCAGGGTAGCTTGTTTCCGTAAACAATCCAATGGCATACAGTAGTTACACACAGCAAATACTCCACTGAACATTTGGTGTCTGGAGAAAAATAAAATAAACATTAAAACAAATCAATCACATTTAGGACATACCTGTACATTATAAAAGAACACTATGCTCATTACCCACAAACATTGACCTTCACTTCATTGTGGTCATAATTAGAAAATAAATACACCACTATTCATAAAGGGGCCTATTCAGACTTGAGATAAATGTACCGGAGAATATCTAAGTTCTTTTGTATGCTTTTTAGCCAGTAGTTCTGAAAGTAGCACCCACGAGTGAAAATGGCGCTGCACAGCTTCCAGTAAAGTCGCTTTAAAACTATGGATTTCGTGGCTAATTGAGGTAAGACCGTAATTCAGCTAATAAATTATGAATGACCTACACATTCACACATCCAGCCCAAAGTGTGAGGTAAAAAAAAAAAAAAAAACACTAGTCAAAGTACCGGCGCATGTCTTTAACAGACTTCAGTCAAATGTTTTTTTTTTTTTTTTTACTTAAGTCCAAGTTTTATAGACAAGTCCATGTTATATCAAGCCTGAACCGGCCCCAAGAGAAGAGAACATCGCAGTACTCTGCATTGCATCCATAACACTGCAAAGCCAATGGGACACTTTTGGGGGACCATCTCAACCCCCATGATAAAGTATGAAGAACCCAGCATAACATGCCTTCTCTCACAGAGTCAGTCCTCTTCCTGGACCGTTTAGGTCTGCGCTTGTCCTCCTCCAGGATCTTGTCGTCAAAGCCAATGAGCTCTATAGTCTCTGATTGGCTGGTTGGGCCCCCTGAGAACCACTCCGGCTCCTCCTCTGTGTCATTCCTTCTCCTCTCACTGAACACACGCTTGTCCCCAAAGTCTCGCTGCAGGGAAGAAAAAAAATAATTGAGTCACTGGTATACATTGAATCTAACATGGTGCTAAATACCATGGGATATAGAAACGTCCCTTTTACAGGACCCTGTCTTTCAAAGATAATTTGTAAAAATCCTAATAACTTCACAGATCTTCATTGTAAAGGGTTTAAACACTGTTTCCCATGCTTGTTCAATGAACCATAAACAATTAATGAGCATGCACCTGTGGAACAGTCGTTAAGACACTAACAGCTTTCAGACGGTAGGTAATTAAGGTCACAGTTATGAAAAAACTTAGGACACTAAAGAGGCCTTTCTACTGACTCTGAAAAACACCAAAAGAAAGATTCCCAGGGTCCCTGTTCATCTGCGTGAACGTGCCTTAGGCATGCTGCAAGGAGGCATGAGGACTGCAGATGTGGCCAGGGCAATAAATTGCAATGTCTGTACTGTGAGACGCCTAAGACAGCGCTACAGGGAGACAGGACGGACAGCTGATCGTCCTCGCAGTGGCAGACCACGTGTAACAACACTTGCACAGGATCGGTACATCACACCTGAGGGACAGGTACAGGATGGCAACAACAACTGCCCGAGTTACACCAGGAACGCACAATCACTTCATCAGTGCTCAGACTGTCCACAAGAGGCTGAGGGCTTGTAGGCCTGTTGTAAGGCAGGTCCTCACCAGACATCACCGGCAACAACGTTGCCTATGGGCACAAACCCACCATCGCTGGACCAAACAGGACTGGCAAAAATTGCTCTTCACTGACGAGTCGTGGTTTTGTTTCACCAGGGGTGATGGTCGGATTCTTGTTTATCGAAGGAATGAGCGTTACACAGAGGCCTGTACTCTGGAGCGGGATCGATCTGGAGGGTCCGTCATGGTCTGGGGCGGTGTGTCACAGCATCATCAGACTGAGATTGTTGTCATTGCAGGCAATCAACGCTGTGCGTTACAGGGAAGACACCCTCCTCCCTCATGTGGTACCCTTCCTGCAGGCTCATCCTGACATGACCCTCCAGCATGACAATGCCAACAGCCATACTGCTCGTTCTGTGCGTGATTTCCTGCAAGACAGGAATGTCAGTGTTCTGCCATGGCCAGCGCAGAGCCTGGATCTCAATCCCATTGAGCACGTCTGGGACCTGTTGGATCGGAGGTTGAGGGCTAGGGCCATTCCCCCCAGAAATGTCTGGGAACTTGCAGGTGCCTTGGTGGAAGAGTGGGGTAACATATCACAGCAAGAACTGGCAAATCTGGTACGGTCCATGAGGAGGAGATGCACTGCAGTACTTAATGCAGCTGGTGGCACACCAGATACTGACTGTTACTTTTGATTTTGACCCCCCCCTTGTTCAGGGACACATTATTCCATTTCTGTTAGTCACATGTCTGTGGAACTTGTTCACTTTAACCTCTGTTACACATTTTAAGTTTGCTGAAAATAAACAGTTGACAGTGAGAGGACGTTTCTTTTCTTGCTGAGTTTATTTAAAAAAGGTGCAATATGCCATTTCCTTTTTGCTTAAATTCCAAATTGTTCGCCTAATTTACGTTTGTGACAAAACAAGAAACGTATAGTGTTGAGAACCATTGCACCATCTAAACCGCTGTGAAATATCAATAAACAAAAAAATATTGTATTTTCAGCTGGTGTGCAAAAACGAAAGTAAAATGCACAGAAAATAAACTTCAGAACAGGAAACAGAAAGTGCACAGAAAAAGATCTACCGCTTTCTTCCCCCCACCTTTAAAAAAAAAAAAAAGGGAGTCTTAGACTTGCTTTCAATGAGAATGACAAATCTATAACTAAACATTTCTGTGAATTTGGTCAGGTTACATATTGCAGCTTTAAAGGAAAGAATGGATTGTACACAGCTCCTGATTGTCATTTAGATTGATTACCCCTTGAGGCACAATAAATAGCTATTTTGTGGGTCGGTACATACAGAGAATAGCCCTAAAGGGATACATAGTTTCAACTGAATGCAGATCAGGAAGCAGCAGACATACTAACCCTGAACCTCTTATCCTTGAAGTCCCGTTCCTTCTCCATGCGGGGTTCCCTCTCAAAGCCTCGCGCCGCCATGATGCGGCCGCTGCCGATGCGCCGCGGCCCACCCAGCCGGAGACTCTCGTTCTCCTTATTCTCCAGAGGGCTGACGGGGCGGCGGGTGGGTGCAGGCAAAGCATTGCCTACGCACCCCCCTCCAAAGCTACGACGTTGGGGGCTGAGCACCACATCCAGGTCATCCTCCTTTAGTCGCTCGCGGGGATCTGACGACAGCATCACAAGGCACAAACATAGTTGGCATTCAACATTTACTATAATGCTTCATTTTACAAAGCAGAGTAAGTGTAAGCAATGTGGCGCTTCTAAGGGCAGCCGAATGAATTTGAGTTCAAAACCCCTCAACACTTATTGAATATGTAATAGACGATTTGAAATGTATGCCACTGGCATTTGAATATCAGCTACGAAAACAATATACTACATTATTTATTTACCTGCAATTCTACGTTTTAGAGGGACCCTATCATCCACAAAGTCCTTCTTATATCCATCCACAGGAGAGCTGCACTCTGAGGTGGGGTACAACGAGGCATGCCACTTCTCGGGGTCCCAAACACCATCACTGTGGACCGAAAATCAGACCAAACCAGAGGGACCAACTCAACAGTTAGCATAGAACCACCATGATTGGCTAGGACTATAAGCTTTGTAGTAAAGTGTGACAATGCAAAACACTCACCTGTCATATTTTTCAGAAAGACAGTCTGGCCTTTCATAAGAGATTGGGAAATCTTTTATCTCCAAAAGCTCCTCCTGTAAGAAGAACAAATTATGGAACCTAAATCCAGGAAGCAATCCACAAACTTGCGCATCTATTGACTTATACTAGCCATGTCTCCAAATTACCTTGGTGTATCTGTAAGGGGATGGTCCTGTTGATTCCTTGACCACCTGGTCTTTCACCACCACTGTGTCACCATTCTCCTGCCCCTCTACACAAGCATCCTTTTCCATGACTCTTTTAGGGGGCTAAACCAATGTATAGCTTCTAAGACTCTAGTAGTTGACCTGCTGAAAAACGACATACTGTTATGACATAACCCTCACAGGACTACCTACCAAAAGTAATTACAATTCATAAACCTAAAAGTTAATTCTATATTGGTCAGGAAGACACTACTGATAAGGTATGTGCCAAGACTGATATTCAAACAATTTTGGCATACTTTTAAATGTAGTTTGTGTAGTAATATCGACAAAATAGTAAAATGCCACAAGCCAAGATCAAGCCTCTTTTACTAGCCAACTAACATTACAGTCGAAAAAACTATACATTTCCTAACACATTAAGCACCGTGGTATATGAACGAGATTAGCGCGAGCGCTTCGACGTGCCCTGGTGATAAAATCCGATTTAACCCATTTTCCAAAGGAAGCTGGCCTGGCAACATGTCATGCATACCTGAGCGGCACAGGCAAACTAACGACTAGCAATTAAGTAGCCAATTAACTAGCTAAATTGGCTACCGTTAGCATGCTAGGAAACTGGCCACCATTAGTTAGCTAATTGAAAGTTGCCAAAATGCCAATCTACTGGACGTAGCTAAATTAGTTAGCATACTTGCGTAGTTAACTAGCTATTTGGCAAAAACTGAGTTGGCAGATGTAGCTAATGCATATGTTCATGCCAATTTACACGACCGGCGTCAAATATTCGATGAACGGCTGACAATTATCTAGCCAAATTACACGACCGTCGTGTTTGGTTTACTGGTAACTAGTTAACTAACATAGTTAGCGAACATTAGCTAGTTAGCTGCCAACACTTTAGTTTAGTTAGTTAGCCTGAACGCCGACTTTTGGGCTAATCTGATAACTAACGTTAGCTAGTGTTCGACAATTCAATTGTTAAACGCCGAGTGCATATGTAACGTTAACCAAGCAAACAAACACGCCAACATATGACTCTGGATAAATTGCAGATAAATATACATGTAAAAACGTTGGTAAAAGGTAACCATTAACTTACGTTGTTTAGAAACAGTTTGAAGCCGACTCAGATGCTAGCTACGTTTGCTAGCTAAACTAGCTCTATGGCTAGTTAGCTAGCTGGAGATATAGCCTTCCAATAAGTGCGATACGTTTTTCTAACAGCTAGGGTCGTAATTTTGGCAAACAGCTAACGCCCGTGATATTTCTACGAACAGAAATCCAAACGTATACTGGCGTCTTGCTGGGATTGTGTTCGAATGTCGAAATAGATTTCTCTTCTGTCTCTTTTCTCAGTCGTAGCAGCGATTTTTCTCTGATCACTGCTTCTGAATGAGGGTCCTTCGTAAGATTATATAGTGCCCATCACTAGTGCCTTACTCAAACATGTGAAAATATTACAAAAAATTAATTTAAAACATTACTGTCTTTGACATAGTCTATTTTGACTATGAAATTAATATATATGTATTCACATGAAATACAAACGACTGCTTGTATTTTACGAGTGAGCAATTTTATATCAGGCATTATGTATGGCCAGCTAATTGTTGACGTTCCAAAGCGGATCGATGAAAGACCAAACTGATCAATCATTTTCATACTTTCAATGTGCTTTTTTAAACAAACTAGCCCTATCCTTAATTAATAATTTGACGTATAGGCCAACCAAATGGCACTCAACACATCCACCTTTTTTTTTGTGGTAAATTATACCATACCCTGTCATTTTAGGGTAATATTCGCTGTGCTTTACGTCACCCTCATCAGTTCAGTACTTGTACAGAGGGTTGCTACAGTAACGTTTGCAAGACCGCACGCGGTCACTGTGAACAGTGGTAATTTAACCGTCATTGGTACTACCGTAAAGATCCGCATGTTTATTTATTTCACTGGGTATGACAGAAGCACCAAACATTTTGTTAAAAATAAATTATATTGATCCCACAAAGCTAGCCAACGTAACAACGTTTTTGGTGATGTGATACTGATGATTTTGGGCACAGATGGTTTGTTTACATAGCAGTCAGGATAATTAACGTCGCAGGTTAGGTGAATGAACGTGGCAGGTTAGGAGAACTAACGCAGCAGGTTAGGTGAATTAATTTAGCAGGTTAGGAGAATGAGGTTAAGGTTAGGAAAAGGTTTAGCGTTAGCGTTAGCGTTAGCGTTAGCTAATGCTACGGTTGTCAACAGCTGTTTTCCCTGACGCGACCACTACATAGAGCTGTAGGCCTACTCCATCTAACCACAACCGTAGAAATGTAAACAAATAATCTGTGGCGACAAATCACAGAGAGGAAAAGGCTAAACGAGAGGGTTTACTCAACCCAAAATATGTCAACGAAAATAAAACCACGAGAGTGTCGAATTTGTTCAACAAAAACATAATGTCTTATTTTCTACGTGATGTTTATTTGATCGAATAGAAGTTTCGTAATGCTTAAATTGTTACGAGTATGCTGATATAAGTAGGACACGTGACATCCCCGCAATTTTGAAAAAAACAACAACTTTATATTCGAGTTGTCTAGAGATGGCTATGCATGATATTCATGTAATGTGGCTGTAGAATATAATCTCTCGTCATTGAATACAGGCGGTTGCCGTTAACAACCCTCATCGAATATTCAGAACAAATTACAATAAAGAGATGTATCCACCAATCCAGATCAATTATTATTTCCTTGATTCCTCACATCCTCATCGCCCCCTCTAAAAACACAATGGAGAGGAAGGTCCATTCACTACCTTGTTGTGTCTGTGAATGACAATTTGCAATGAATGTCCATTCGCAGCTTTGTATGATTTGATGCATGTTTTTATTCTGTCATAGGCATGTGCTCGCCTGTAGTCGGCGGGAGGGAGTCCAAGGCTTCACTGCACTACATTCATAGGCTGCAAAGAAAGGCACTTCATGCCTGGATAAGCTACGTTCACCTCCGCCAAGCTAAGAGGAAACCACAAGGTGCCATCTTCTGTTAATCATGTGTACTAGTGTTTCTCTTATCACAATCACTGGATGGCATTCATGGTCCAGGATAACACTGTAGCCTACATGTTTTTGTATTCTATGTTATGCGTCTTGTATGTCCATTCGTCATCACACATGAAGTTCCCTCCCAGGAAATAAAAGTGATTTGAATTTAATTGTTTCAAAGTTAGTACCACATCTGCTATGTTATGTGTTTTCTCCGTAGTTTACAGACAGGTATTGGATACTCTGGCAGCAACGTCTGGAGGAAGCTGAAGATGGGGGACTTCAGACACAGATTACACTCGTCCACTACAGGTAGGCAGGCTTCTTTTGTAAAATTTCAGCAACGCTATCCATACACATGTTTTTGACTTCCCAGACAACTAGTGTGTTCCGTGTTAGTAGAAGAGTAATTCTGAAAATAGTTTGTCTCTTGACAGCACTTCACTGCAGAGCAACTGTTTGAATCACTGGAGAGAGCAGCTTGTTGAGCACTGATGCATGCAGGTACACACACGCCTACAGGTAACTGCCAAAATAAAGGAAACACCAACATAAAGTGTCTTAATAGGGCATTGGGCCACCACGAGCCAGAACAGCTTCAATGCACCTTCAGTTGGCATAGATTCTACAAGTGTCTGGAACTCTATTGGAGGGATGCGACAACATTCTTCCACACAAAATTTCATATTTTGTTGATGGTGGTGGAAAATGCTGTCTCAGGTGTTCAATTGGGTTGAGATCTGGTGACTTAGATGTCCATGGAATACGGTTTACATCATTTTCATGCTCATCAAAGCATTGAGTGACCACACGTGCCCTATGGAGGCATAGCCATTATAAACAAAATAATGGCCTGCCCAGCATTTTTAGACGTGACCCTAAGCATGATGGGATGTTAATTGCTTAATTATCTCAGGAACCACACCTGTGTGGAAGCACCTGCTTTCAATACACTTTGTGTCTCTCAATTACTGACGTGTTTCCTTTATTTTGGCAGTTACATGTACATTACTGTGTGTGGTTGTAGGGTCTGGAGCGTCATGCTGAGGCCTGGTTTGCTAACCACATCTTGCCTGGGTTGAGTTTACCTGCCAGAAGAAACAGCACAGGGAGAGGAGAGAGACAGCACAACTCCATAATCCCATCCTGTTTCTGACCTAGTGCTGATCTAGGATCAGATCCACCCAGTCCATGTGATCTTATTCATTATGATCTGAAAAGCAAAGCTGATCCTAGATCAGCACAACTACTATTAGACACTTTTTGAAAAAGGGCCCTGGGCTACATTTATGAAATACATATAGCTAGCCTTGTGATGATGATGATGTTGTTAGTGTGTGGCACACTCTAACCGTCTGTAGGCAGCGTCAGTACACTTGGGCCTTTTACACCTGGTGGGGACATTCAGAGGAGAGAAAGGAGCAGAAGCTGGCTGAGAGGATGGTAAAACAGCTGTCACAACACACATACACACCACTCAGAGATATATACACACTGTCATGGTACATACATACACCCAGACACAGCCCACCTGTCCTGCCCTTTAGGCCTTGCTGCATGAAGAGAGGTCGTGTTTGAGTAGAGCCTGGGACCACTGGCAGTGGAGGGCGAGGCAGGAAAGGGAGAAACGGAGCGCCTCTGACACACTGTACCGCCATACTCTACTCCACAACACACTGAGCCAGTGGAAGGACAACGTCACCATGATCCGGGACAGGTACTGTACGACTGACCGTCTTGAGATTATAATACACTTTAATGACCTGTTACTCAATCAATCAATCAATCAAATGTATTTATAAAGCCATTTTTACATCAGCAGATGTCACAAAGTGCTATACAGAAACCCAGCCTAAAACCCCAAACAGCAAGCAATGCAGATGTAGAAGCACGGTGGTTAGGACAAACTCCCTAGAAAGGCAGGAACCTAGGAAGAAACCTAGAGAGGAACCAGGCTCTGGGGGGTGGCCAGTCCTCTTCTGGCTGTGCCGGGTGGAGATTAAAATAGTACATGGCCATTAAGGTCAGATTGTTCTTCAAGATGTTCAAACGTTCATAGATGACCAGCAGGGTCAAATAATAATCAGTGGTTGTAGAGGGTGCAACAGGTCAGTACCTAAGGAGTAAATGTCAGTTGGCTTTTCATAGCCGAGCGTTGAGGTCGAGACAGCAGGTGCGGTAGAGAGAGAGTCGAAAACAGCAGGTCCAAGACAAGGTAGCACGTCCGGTGAACAGGTCAAGGTTCCCTAGCCGCAGGCAGAACAGTTGAAACTGGAGCAGCAGCACGAACTGGTGGACTGGGGATAGCCAGGAGTCATCAGGCCAGGTAGTCCTGAGGCTTGGTCCTAGGGCTCATGTCCTCCGGGAGGGGAGGGAGAATTAGAGGGAGCATACTTAAATTCACATAGGACACCAGGTAAGACAGGAGAATTACACCAGATATAACAGACTGACCCTAGCCCATGGCACATAGACTATTGCAGCATAGATACTGAGACTGGTGGGTCGGGGGACCCTGTGGCCCTGTTCGACGATACCCCTGGACAGGGCCAACCAGGCAGGATATAACCCCACCCACTTTGCCAAAGCACAGCCCCCACACTGCTAAGGGATGTCAACAGACCACCAACTTACTACCCTGAGACGAGGCTGAGTATAGCCCACGCAGATCTCCTCCACCGCACGAGCCCGAGGGGGCGCAAAACCAGACAGGAAGATCACGTATGTGACTCAACCCACTGAAGTGACGCACCCCACCTAGGGACGGCATGGAAGAGTACTAGTAAGCCAGTGACTCAGCCCCCATAATAGGGTCAGAGGCAGATAATCCCAGTGGAGAGAGGGGAACCGGCCAGGCAGAGACAACAAGGGCGGTTCGTCGCTCTAGTGCCTTGCCGTTCACCTTCGCACCCCTGGGCCAGACTACACAGTCATAGGACCTACTGAAGAGATGAGTCTTCAGTAAAGACTTAAAGGTCGAGACCGAGTCTGCGTCTCTCACATGGATAGGCAGACCATTCCATAAAAAGTGAGCTCTATAGGAGAAAGCCCTGCCTCCAGCTGTTTGCTTAGAAATTCTAGGGACAATAAGGAGGCCTGCATCTTGGGGCCGTAGTGTACGTGTAGGTATGTACGGCAGGACCAAATTGAAGAGATAGGTAGTTGCAAGCCCATGTAATGCTTTGTAGGTTAGCAGTAAAATCTTGAAATCAGCCCTAGCCTTAACAGGAAGCTAGTGTAGAGAGGCTAGCACTGGAGTAATATGATCAAATTTTTTGGTTCTAGTAAGTCAGGATTCTGTCAGCCGTGTTTAGCACTAACTGAAGTTTATTTAGTGCTTTATCTGGGTAGCCGGAGAGTAGAGCATTGCAGTAGTCTAATCTATAAGTGACAAAAGCATGGATCAGCTTTTCTGCATAATTTTTGGACAAACGGTTTCTGATTTTTGCAATGTTACTAAGATGGAAAAAAGCTGTCCTTGAAATATTCTTGATATGTTCGTCAAAAGAGAGATCAGGGTCCAGAGTAACGCCAAGGTCCTTCACAGTTTTATTTGAGACGACTGTACAACCATCAAGATTAATTGTCAGATCTAACAGCAGATCTCTTTGATTCTTGGGACCTAGAACTAGCATCTCTGTTTTGTCCGAGTTTAAAAGTAAAACAAATTGCCGCCATCCACTTCCTTATATCTGAAACACAGGCTTCCAGGGTAGGCAATTTTGGTGCTTCACCATGTTTCATCGAAATTTACAGCTGTTTGTCATCTGCATAGCAGTGAAAGTTGACATTGTGTTTCCGAATGACATCACCAAGAGGTATAATATATAGTGAAAACAATAGTGGTCCTAAAACGGAACCTTGAAGAACGCCGAAACTTACAATTGATTTGTCAGCGGACAAACCATCCAGAGGCAAGAACTTGTCCGTGTAGACCAATTACGGCTTCCAATCTGTCCAAAAGATTGTGGCGATCGATTGTGTCAAAAGCAGCACTAAGGTCTAGGAGCACAAGGACAGATGCAGAGCCTTGGTCTGACGCTATTAAAAGGTAATTTACCACCTTCACGAGTGCAGTCTCAGTGCTATGATGGCGTCTAAAACCAGACTGAAGCGTTTCGTATACATTATTTGTCTTCAGGAAGGCAGTGAGTTGCTGCGCAATAGCTTTTTCAAAATGTTTTGAGAGGAATGGGAGATTCGATATAGGCTGATAGTTTTTAACATTTTCCGGGTAAAGGTTTGGCTTTTTCAAGAGAGGCTTTATTACTGCCACTTTTAGTAAGTTTGGTACAAATCCGGTGGATAGGGAGCCATTTATTATGTTCAACATAGGAGGGCCAAGCACAGGAAGTAGCTCTTTCAGTAGTTTAGTTGGAATAAGGTCCAGTATGCAGCTTGAAGGTTTAGAGGCCATGACTATTTTCATGAATGTGTCAAGAGATATAGGATTAAAAAACTTGAGTGTCTCGATTGATCCTAGGTCCTGGCAGTTCTGTGCAGACTCAGGACAACTGAGCTTTGGAGAAGTACGCAGATTCAAAGAGGAGTCTGTAATTTGCTTTCTAATGATCATGATCTTTTCATCGAAGTAGTTCATGAATTCATCACTGCTGAAGTGAAAGCTATCCTCTTGTGACAAATGTTTTTAGGGGTGCGACTGCATCTAGGGTATTACGCAAGGTTAAATTTAGTTCCGCAGTTAGGTGGTTAACCAAATGTTGTACTCCGATGTCCTTGGGTAGGTGGAGGGAGTCTGGAAGGGCATCTAGGAATCTTTGGGTTGTCCGAGAATTTATAGCAAGGCTTTTGATCATCCTTGTTTGGGGTCTGAGCAGATTATTTGTTGCGATTGCAAACGTAATAAAATGGTGGTCCGATAGTCCAGGATTATGAGGAAAAACATTTAGCGCCACAATTTTTATTCCATGGGACAAAACTATATCCAGGGTATGACTGTTGCAATGAGTACATCCGGAGACATGTTGGACAAAACCAACTGAGTCGATGATGGCTCCGAAAGCATTTTGGAGTGGGTCTGTGGACTTTTCCATATGAATATTAAAGTCACCAAAAGTTAGAATATTATCTGCCATGACTACAAGGTCCGATGGGAATTCCAGGAACTCAGTGAGGAACGCTGTATATGGTCCAGGAGGCCTGTAAACAGTAGCTATAAAAAGTGATTGAGTAGGCTGCATAGTTTATGACTAGAAGCTCAAATTTGCTGTCATAAATGTTAGCAACACCTCCGCCTTTGCGGGATGCGCGGGGGATATGGTCACTAGTATAACCAGGAAGAGAGGCCTCATTTAATTAATCAGGCTTGAGCCATGTTTCAGCCAGGCCAATCACATCAAGATTATGATCAGTGATTAGTTAATTGACTATGACTGCCTTGGAAGTGAGTGATCTAACATTAAGGAGCCCAATCTCTTTCAATAATGACAGGAATGGAGGAGGTCTTTATTCCAGTGAGATTGCTAAGGCAAACACCGCCATGTTTAGTTTTGCTCAACCTAGATCGAGGCACAGACACGGTCTCAATTGGGATAGCTAAACTGACTGTGCTAGTGGCGGACTCCACAAAGCTGACAGGCTGGCTAACAGCCTGCTGCCTGGCCTGCACCCTGTCTCATTGTGGAGCTATAGGAGTTAGAGCCCTGTCTATGTTGATAGATAAGATGAGAGCACCCCTCCAGCTAGGATGGAGTCCGTCACTCCTCAGCAGGCCAGGCTTTGTCCTGTTTGTGGGTGAGTCCCAGAAAGAGGGCCAATTATCTACAAATTCTATATTTTGGGAGGGGCAGAAAACAGTTTTTAACCAGCGATTGAGTTGTGTGACTCTGCTGTAGAGCTCATCACTCCCCCTAGCTGGGAGGGGGCCAGAGACAATTGCTCGATGTCGACACATCTTTCTAGCTGATTTACACGCTGAAGCTATGCAGCGCTTGGTGACCTCTGACTGTTTCATCCTAACATCGTTGGTGCCGACGTGGATAACAATATCCCTATACTCTCTACACTCTGCAGTTTGAGCCTTAGCCAGCACCATCTTCAGATTAGCCTTTAAGTCTGTAGCCCTGCCCCCTGGTAAACAGTGTATGATCGCTAGATGATTATTTTTAAGTCTAATATTGCGTGTAATGGCGTCACCAATGTCTTGGGTTTTCAATTTGTCAGAGCTAATGGTGGGAGGCTTCGGCGGTTCAGACCCCGTAACGGGTGGAGGAGAGACCTGAGGCTCGGCCTCTGACTCCGACTCGTTGCTTAATGGGGAGAAAGTTTCTGTCGGTTGAGCATGCCAGAGTAATCCTACATTCTTTGTTTCTGTATGATGTCAGTATGTCCAGCACAGAAGAGCGAAGAACAGCAGGCTGGATCAGATTGACTCATACATGAAGACAGACTTCTCAAACACACCTTACAGGCCTGGAAGGCACAACAGAGCTCACATCATATACATCAGGGATGGGCAACTGGAAGATTGTATTACATTTTTTTAGGAACTCTGGGTCTGAACTTACTTTTGACAGTTAGAATAGTAGAATACACAAGGTGCAGTTTCTAATTTGGTTTTGCATCGACAGTTTCTCTTGTTATGTCACTCAATTAGCCCATGTCAGCTATAATGTATTAGATTGATAAGTTAGTCTAGCGGCCTGCTATCTAAACTTGTAGTTGTCATGGTTGAATTACCAACCAGGGGGCCCCCATTTGATTTTGTGAGTCACTCTCACTCAGATATCATATTAAAAACTGCAAACATTTCTCTCCACCTCATGTCAAAATCTGTAGCATTGCAGGAAATTAACTCTAAAACTTCAACAACAACAAAATCGCTCCGCTGTCAAGAGGGGGGGGGGGCCCAAAAAGGCTAGGGCCGGCTCTGACTGCATGTGTGGGTATGGATGTGTGTATGCAGACCTGCTAGCCACCCCTCAAAGTTGCCAATCCCTGTTATACATCATACTACATCAAAAGTGTTAGTTAACATTTCTATTGTTGTTCATTATTTCATTTGGTCATCATGTGTCTTCTGACCTGATTGATGCTTCTCGCAGAATAGGCTCCACCCTGCTTAGTTTGTTTGTGTCCTATGGGACGTGCTGTAATCTCTCTGCCTATGATCCCCTGTAGGAGCATCTCCTCCAGACACAGCAGGTCAATGAGCATGTAGAGGAGCGCTACAGCCTGCATCAGCATGACTTCATGTCTCAACCCAAATGGATCCACAGTCTCGATCTCTTTATCCACCATATTTTACTTGTAATTGATTTTGTAATCTTTCTAACTGACACTTGTATTACGTCTTCCCAGGAGGATTCTGCGTGTGTGGAAGGAGACTGCAGCCCTGTTGGCAGCAGCCAGGAGCAGAGAGCAGAGAAACACTACCAGCACTGTGTTCAGGCTAAGGTATTAGAGCTGATCTAAGACCTATCTACTACTATCTACTAGTTTAAGGCTATTATTTAAAGTATTATAGAAGCTCAATGACTTAGCTACCAATTCATTTCTACTGCTTCATATGTTATCAGTACTGTTACCACGACTGATTCTGGCTGCAACTACTGCTCAGTCAGTGTGAAATACTGACCCACAAATGTCATTTATTTTCCTATAGGTGCTGTTGGCTTGGAGGAAGCCATATCTTGTGCAGTGTCAAACCGTCACCAGCAGAGAGAGGCAGTGAGCAGGGCTCAGTCACATTAATAAAGGTAAAGAGATACTAAGATGGAGACAAATTGTTCAATATTCGATGCTATTTTCTGTTAGATCCTTCTCCTGGCACATTGAATGAAGCCTCCATTGAAATGTGAAGCCTAATGCCATCATTTTTGAATGTCTCAGTGTGGCAGCAGGTGACTTTCAGGAGATGGAGGGATCGAAGCAGAGAGGTTGTAGAGGAGAGTACAGGCATGGAGAAAGCCAAAAGGCACCACCACCACTCTCTTCTCTGCAGTATGTTCAGATTGTGGACTATGTACCAGCAGCAGAGCTATAAGGTAGATGGGTACTGCATGTTCAACTCTGTTGTGTGGTATTTGATACATTCTGATCATATGTTAGTCTGTGTTAATATTGTGTTTTTCATGGGGTCCTTATTTAGGTGATGCAAGAAAGGGGACACTCAATGCTGAGACAAAATACATGCCAGCTCTTTTTTGCACGCTAGAAAATTGTGGTGAGTTTATTGCTGTTTTTAACATGAATTCCTGTTTTAACATGCTTATTTCAAATATTAAAGGTCAACTTGCCAAGACTTGTGTGAGAAATTTGTGTTCAAGTCACTTTAAAATACAATGATTTAATTGAAAAATAGTCTTTTTGGATGGTTCTTGTCTCAAAGAAAGGCCAGATAATCTAATTATCTCCTCTTTCATTGGTCCGTCTGTGAGCCTCTGAGTGTCGGGGTGAACTCCTGGCTGTTATGTAACTGAGTGTGTTTTTCTTCCCTGGTGTGCACAGCTGCAGCACAGAAGGAGAGAGGCTGAACAGATAGATCTGGCCCTCTGGCACTGGTCCCTCAGTCTGCAGGCCAAGGTAACACCTGGACACATACTTCACTGGCAGCTGGCCTTCAGCCTAACTAAACCACATGAGATATTATCCCTCTCTCTCTGTTTGTCTGTAGTGGAGGAATTCTCTCTCCTGCATGATTACCACTGCTTACCCTGTTGATGTATATAGCCTGGGTGCAGATCTGTTTGTGCGCTCTTGCCAATTAATATAGGAGTTAGCAAGACATCACAAATGGCTCTGTGACCAGGCTAATGGGTGTAAAGTCAGAGACATATTTTCCTCGTTGATGATATCCAGGCCACAGCTGGAATAAAGGATATGAAAGGCACTCTATAGACATAATGAATGAGACGTCCCCTGGTGAATAGAGTGGAAACCAATAGAAGAGTGTAGACTCATCAGACATAATGAATGAGACGTCTGATCCCCTGGTGTGTTCTGTTCCAGGTGCTGGAGGCTGTCGGTCGCGGAGCAGCACCGGAAGCAGGAGAGGCTGGCCCAGGCTGCCCAGTTCTATAGAGACCAGCTCCTAATGGAAGGGGTGGCCCAAGCCACTCACATGGGCAGCTTCTGCACCAACATAGCACTGCACAGCCAGGAGCAGGTGTGTGTGAGCAGATTCTGTGTTTGATTATCTTATAGTCTGCCTTGTCTGTGTGGAAGTGTATTAAGCCTGTCTTTTCTGTGCTCAGCCCTGGCGCAGAGGGCCTCACCCACAGCCGTACACAGACTCAGTGGCGCAGGGAGCAGGAGACCGCACCCTCAACCACTTGTAAGTGTGGGCACATGTTACTATGCCAACATCAGACCCTACACCTTATGGGGAGGGTTTTCCGGATACATGGAAAATCTCAATTGAAATCACTTTTTAGTCCAGGACCAGGCTTAATGTGTGTCTGGGAAACTGGCCCTATGTCTCCAATCCTTGGAAGTCTCACAGTAACTCTCTCTAACTGTGTGCAGGGTGGCGGTGCGTGCTTCCAGATAGCAACCACGACGGCCTAGAGATCTGCTGGACTCCCCGGTCAAAGAGCTGCTACCACCTGCAGCTCCTCTACATCTAAGACCCAGTCTTCTACCACCTCCACCCCAGGTCCCAGTAACAGCGAGCCTCCACCCTGCTGCAGCCTCCCTCCCCATCACTCCCGTACTGGCACAGCCAGCGCCCCAGCTTCGTCTCCCAACGGCCTCACATTATGGATCACTAGACCAGGACTGCCCCCCTTCTCATTCATGACCACCCACACTCAAACTAAGGTAGCGATTACTACAGTGAGGGGAAAAAAAGTATTTGATCCCCTGCTGATTTTGTACGTTTGCCCACTGACAAAGAAATGATCAGTCTATAATTTTAATGGTAGGTTTATTTGAACAGTGAGAGACAGAATAACAACAAAAAAATCCAGAAAAAACGCATGTCAAAAATGTTATGAATTGATTTGCATTTTAATGAGGGAAATCAGGATTTGACCCTCTCTCAATCAGAAAGATTTCTGGTAATGAGCTGAGATTAGGAGCACACTCTTAAAGGGAGTGCTCCTAATCTCAGCTTGTTACCTGTATAAAAGACACCTGTCCACAGAAGCAATCAATCAATCAGATTCCAAACTCTCCACCATGGCCAAGACCAAAGAGCTCTCCAAGGATGTCAGGGACAAGATTGTAGACCTCACAAGGCTGGAATGGGCTACAAGACCATTGCCAAGCAGCTTGGTGAGAAGGTGACAACAGTTGGTACGATTATTCGCAAATGGAAGACACACAAAATAACTGTCAATCTCCCTCGGCCTGGGGCTCCATGCAAGGTCTCACCTCGTGGAGTTGCAATGATCATGAGAACGGTGAGGAATCAGCCCAGAACTACACGGGAGGATCTTGTCAATGATCTCAAGGCAGCTGCGACCATAGTCACCAAGAAAACAATTGGTAACACACTACGCCGTGAAGGACTGAAATCCTGCAGCGCCCGCAAGGTCCCCCTGCTCAAGAAAGCACATATACAGGCCCGTCTGAAGTTTGCCAATGAACATCTGAATGATTCAGAGGAGAACTGGGTGAAAGTGTTGTGGTCAGATGAGACCAAAATCGAGCTCTTGGGCATCAACTCAACTCGCCGTGTTTGGAGGAGGAGGAATGCTGCCTATGACCCCAAGAACACCATCCCCACCGTCAAACATGGAGGTGGAAACATTATGCTTTGGGGGTGTTTTTCTGCTAAGGGGACAGGACAACTTCACCGCATCAATGGGACGATGGACGGGGCCATGTACCGTCAAATCTTGGGTGAGAACCTCCTTCCCTCAGCCAGGGCATTGAAAATGGGTCGTGGATGGGTATTCCAGCATCACAATGACCCAAAACACACGGCCAAGGCAACAAAGGAGTGGCTCAAGAAGAAGCACATTAAAGTCCTGGAGTGGCCTAGCCAGTCTCCAGACCTTAATCCCATAGAAAATCTGTGGAGGGAGCTGAAGGTTCGAGTTGCCAAACGTCAGCCTCAACCTTAATGACTTGGAGAAGATCTGCAAAGAGGAGTGGGACAGAATCCCTCCTGAGATGTGTGCAAACTTGGTGGCCAACTACAAGAAACGTCTGACCTCTGTGATTGCCAACAAGGGTTTTGCCACCAAGTACTAAGTAATGTTTTGCAGAGGGGTCGAATACTTATTTCCCTCATTAAAATGCAAATCAATTTATAACATTTTTGGCATGTGTTTTTCTGGATTTTGTTGTTGTTATTCTGTCTCTCACTGTTCAAATAAACCTACCATTAAAATTATAGACTGATCATGTCTTTGTCAGTGGGCAAACGTACAAAATCAGCAGGGGATCAAATACTTTTTTCCCTCACTGTATATTCCAAAAACACATGTACTGTGTGTGTTTTGAATGAGATTTCTTTATGCAATTTTCTATGTGAGGCAGCCTAGTGGCTCATGGGTAAGAGACTCCTCACTACTGCCCCCCAATGAGTTCACCATCCTCCATCAACAGCCAGAGTCTGATGTAGAAGATGTGTTAACTGAGGAGGAGGATGGTGTGGATCCCACCTTAGCCTGGACCAGAGAGCTGCTCAATATCCGCCTGGACATGCAGTGCTTCCAACAGGACCGCAAGCAACTCCAGTAAGGATTCACAGCTCTGTGATTTTAAAATTTCTGATAGATCTTGTTTATACATTCTGGTGGATTTGTGTGTGTGTGTGTGTCGTGGCTAAGACTTGAAGAGGTGTTGAGGAGCTGGCTGCAGACGAGTGGAAGTGAGGGAGAGACTGAGGAGAGGAACACTATCAGCCAAGAGCTGGATGAGGTAAGACTTGAAGGGAAGATGCTGCGGTCATTGGTATGTGTAAGGGCCACAATGCCTTTAAGGCAGAGGAAGTAAGGATTTATAAACAAAAACAATTGTGGTGTTTATGAAAAATATATTTTAAAAATACTGGCTGTTCAACAGTCCATAACGAAAACAAGAACCAATCATTTAAGTAATACTTTTTTCATTGGTTTCCTATCCACTTATAAATTATTAACTAAACTGATGGCTTTGATTTAGGATGCATTCCTCTGGAGGTGTCATTTCATGTGAGCCATAAATCTTCAGCTATGAAAATGGGAGCAGTCAGAGTTTATAACAAGTCAAGCATATAATAACAATGCCATATCATGCAATGATTTTCCCCATTATTTTGTGGTCATTCCAGATTCATGTCCAGCTTTTTGTATTGTTATTTAGAGATGGAGGAGCATATTGGCAGGCTGTCAGGTGAACTGGCAGAGCAGAAGCCTGATCTCCACAGCAGCACAGCCACAGGACAGGGACTGGGACAGGCCATTCTCAGCAGACCTCCAGAGCATGGGGCTACTGATCATTACTCAGTCCACACTAGATGACAGACAGGACCATGGAGTCCCAGTGGTGTAAGAGAAGGAGGGGCACCTTAGCCCTATATTGAGGAGCACAAGGACTTCTGAGGAGACAATACACCTGTCCATGTTTTTGACATGTTGTCATTCTCCACTGGTTGTTTTTATAGTATAAAACATAATTATTCAAAATAGAGGAAGATTTACGGAAATTGCAGCTTTTGAATTTAAAACCCTAATCTTGGTGATAATCGGTTGGACTGAGAAAGAATGGAATGGCAAGGCAGCTGTGTTTGATTTATGTTTGATTCACTTGACTGTATGCTGTAATGGGCTTTTCTTATATATGTATAATATTTTGGTGTTTGTACATTATTGAATAAAATATTGGCTACATGCTTAATTATTTTGGTAATTTCTGCATTAAACTTTGCAGTGCTGGACTGTATTTTCACGAAACTATTACATTTATTTAGGTAACACTCGATTTTTCTTATTACATAATCATGCATTCAATGTATTCACCACGATAAGCCAAACAAAAACTGGAGGTGTGAGATACTGGCAACACTTCTACAGACCTCAAACGCGTAAAAGTGCTTGGATGCGGGTCGTCCGCGTGACGTTCCATGGAAATATTTTCCAGATGCGCGCAGAGCAGTGACGCAGAATCGCCTGTTTTTGCCTAGTTAGAAAGTTCTACGCTTGCACAATAGTTTGATTTCTTTCGGCCTCGGTCGCCTGTAGTAGTGAGAAATCATGTTGAATTATGAAGACGGATTTCAGGACGAATTGGAAGGGGTCCGCCAACCTCTCTGCGTAAAGTAAACTGCGTTTGTTTTGTTCAGCTCTTCAGTCCTTTCAGAGGCCAGAATGAGGGCAATTCATGCCATTCTAATAATTTTCATCTGTCTTCACTATGGTTGGGGTAAGTGTTTTTTGTCATGCAATCTGTTAATCTAGTCTAGTATAATTTGGGGTGGTGGTACTCAAATCCAATTGTTAATCGTTTGGTGAGCCTTGCTGGATAATGTTGCCTTATTCAAATATATTCTTGTTTTTGTGATTTCACGTAATTTCAGGGATTGTTCTGAAAATGTTGTGGTCCTATACAACATTTTAATTAATCTTATACAGTATTGTAACAATGTATTCTCCCTCTACAACAGTTTTTATTTCTGTATTTTCCTTTGCAGATGAATTGATGCTATTACTTAGTAATATTAGAACCTATCAGTAAACCCAGTTTTAATTCCCTTTGTTTTAGGTAAGAAGATGCGCTGGTGCACGGTGTCTGAGCAGGAGCAGAAGAAGTGTGCCGAGCTGGCCAAGGCCCTGGTGGCAGTGTTGCCTCCTGCTGCTGTGGCAGCATTCGCAAGGCTCTCCTGTGTCCGGGCCTACAGCACCACCGACTGCATCAACAAGATCAGGGTCAGAAAATATCTGCTCTCTCCAGATACCAGAAAGACTAACTATTTGCCTAACCTCTCATGTTGTTTATGCTGATACTCTCATGTCAGACAGGGCAGGTTTACCATACAGATGCTCCTTCATAGCCAACTGTATCTGATGCCTTTCCTCCAGGCTAACCGTGCTGACATGGTAACACTGGATGCAGGGGAAGTCTACACCGCAGTGAAGCAGTTTGGCCTCACTGCCATCGCCAAGGAGATCTACAGTGACGGTTGGTTAATGACACTTACGATTTGGATCCTTTTAGTCCAGAACTAGGCATAATCTGTGTACGGGAAACATTTTTGTTTATGACACTCTTTTGCGTGACTGTCCGTTTATTGTATTTCCATCACCTGTTCGCCCAGGAGGCTGTATTCTGTCGGTGGCGGTGGTGAGGAACCGCACCCTGGACGTGCGCTCCCTGCAGGGCCAGAGGAGCTGTCATACTGGGGCTCGCTGGACGGCAGGCTGGAGTCTACCCCTGGGCTTCCTGCTGTCCCGCAACTACCTGACCTGGGCAGAGGAGCAGCCACTCAGTCAGGGTAAGAACATAGACATATCCCTAAAATTGTGAATCATCATTTTGTTACGTGTAATCTTGGTTACCCAGAAGGAAAATTATCTCGCGAAAGTTTGTCATTTTCTGTTTACTTCTGAGGGGAATTCCGTTAACAATTGTGATTACCTTTGTGAGAATCTGTCCATGAGAGATTGTTACATGTAACTCTGCGTTTCCAAAACTCGGTCCTGGGGACCCCAAGGGGCACACTTTTTGTTTTTTGCCCTAGCACTACACAGCTGATTCAAATAATCAAAGCTTAGTGATTAGTTGATTATTTAAAACAGCTGTGTAGTGCTAGGGCAAAAACCAAAACGTCTGCCTCTTGGGGTCCCCAGGACCGAGTTTGGGAAACGCTGGTGTTACTGGTGGGATTAGAACCCGGGACTCCCGCTCACCAATCCAACTTCTTAACCATTAGACTAGAAGGACATGCTCAAGGTCAGAGGCCGACAATAGAGCTTCCAAGTCTCAGGCAGGCCTACATCATCACGAGAGCGTGATTCCAAATCACCTCCGCTACAAAGGAAAGGTCTCTAACCCCACTCTTTTCTTTGGCAGCGGTCAGTGCCTTCTTCAATGGCAGTTGTGTTCCTGGGGCGGCTGCCATAGCACCCGTCCTGTGTGCCCTGTGTCAGGGTCAGAAGTCCTACATCGCCCAGCGCAACTTCCACTGTGAGACGGCACATGGCGAACCCTTCTACAACAGCCAGGGAGCGCTCAGGTCAGATGGGAGGGTCATATCAGGACAGACACAATGATAATAATGATATGGTCATTCAACATTTTTACATTTACATTTTAGTCATTTAGCAGACGCTCTTATCTTACAGTTAGTGAATACATATTTTTTTTCATACTGGCCCCCCGTGGGAATCGAACCCACAACCCTGGCGTTGCAAACGCCATGCTCTATCAACTGAGCTACATCCCTGCCGGCCATTCCCTCCCCTACCCTGGACGACGCTGGGCCAATTGTGCGCCGCCCATGAGTCTCCCACAATCCTTCTCTTTGTCTATCAGGTGTCTCAAGACTGGGGCAGGGGATGTTGCATTTGTGGACCATACAGCCCTGGAGGGTATTGAAGGTACACACATTTTGTTATATTCTGGAACAATACACAACTACCATTCAAGTACTTCAGAGTTCTCAAGACTAGTCAAACAGCTGTTGAAACATCCCCTCCTCTCTGTTGCTATCCCTGTTTTCTCTCTTCCAGAGAGTGAGCGGGAGGAGTACCAGCTATTGTGCACTGATGGTACCCATGCGCCACTCAGCCACTATGGGAGCTGCAACCTGGGAAGAGGACCAGGACAGGGCATGGTCACTCGACTCAATGCTCGTAAGATCGCACGCAAGTTCCTGGTGGCAGCACAGGTAGTGCACCATTCTGTCTTCAACCACTTCCAGCATCAGTGTGAAACAGGGTTGGGTTTGCAAGGGAAAGCGTGTCCACTGTATTTAACATCTGTGTATATCCCATTTGTGTTCATCCATGTGCATGTGTCATCCATAGTATGTCCATTGTCTGTATTTTCGTTGCTGAGAGACTGTCTGATGGATTTCCTGTCAGATGGCGTTTGGCCGGCGGGGTAGAGAGAGGCAGCGTTTCCAGCTCTTTGACTCTGCTCCGTTCGGTGCCGCTGACCTGCTCTTCAAGGATGTCACAGAAAAGCTGTCCATTCTAGAGGACAACAAGGACATCAGTCAGGTGCTGGGGCTGGACTATGTGGCTCTCCTCAAAGGCCTTGGACATGAAGGTGCCTACCTACCCACATGGGCAGTGGGGGTGTATGTAGGCTGCTCATTGGGAAAACGAATTTGCTGCTACATTATGCATCATAACGATATGTGTATCCATTGTGTATCTATAGGAAGCTCATTGGAGGACAGTGTTGTGCGTTGGTGTTGCATTAGCAATGCAGAACAGAAGAAATGTGAGCAGTGGGCTCTCAGCATTAAGTCAGACCCATTGGTGTGTGTTAGAGCCATCTCCGTGAGCGACTGTGTCGAGAAGATTAAGGTAAGCGGACAATCATAACCCTATCCATAACCTAGTGTCATTCTATGGAGCCCTACATCTTGATCTCCAATTACTGTGTTGGCAGAGAGATGAGGTGGATGCTGTCTCACTGGACGCCACACACGCATTCATCGCTGGGAAATGTGGCCTTGTCCCCGTGGTAACAGAGTATTATGGTATGGCTGATAATAATGTAATGGTTACAGAACTAGACTAGTTATCTATCATGGACACTCACTGCAATCAGTGTCTGTCAACTCTTTCTCATGATCTTTCTCTCTCCGCTTCTCTCAGGGAAGACCTGTGTACCGGCTGAGGGAGGAGCTGAAAAAGAAGCCCATTTAGAGAGTGATGGTGCGCTGAACAGAAGGGAAGTCCATTCATCTGTAAATGTACATGATTTTATCTATTCTAAGCCATTCCTTGTGTCCCATCAGTGTTGCCGTCCGTCGTTGGTGTGGCGGTCGTGAAGCGTTCCACCAGGAGTGTGTTCTTTGGGAACTTTGGGGGCAGGCGCTCCTGCCACGGCTACATGTACAGCCCTGCAGGCTGGCTGCTGCCCTTTAGACACACCCTCAGCCTGGAACACAACAACACCTCTCCCTGCGACCCAAACCAAGGTACTGTTCCTGCCTGGGAGTTGCATCTCCCTTTCCTGCCTGTATGATCAAATGTCTGTCTGTCTATCTATCGATCTATCTATTAGTGCATTCTGAAATTATTCAGACCCCTTGACTTTTTCCACATTTTGTTACGTTACAGCCTTATTCTAAAATGGATTAGATTTAATGTTTTTCCTCATCAATCTACACACAATACCCCATAATGACAAAGCGAAAACATGTTTTTATAACTTTTGCACAAAAATTTAAAAAATATACGTTATTTACATAAGTATTCAGACCCTTTACTATGAGACACAAAATTGCGCTCCATTGCATCCTGTTTCCATTGATCATCCTTGAGATGTTTCTACAACTTGATTGGAGTCCACCTGTGGTAAATTCAATTGATTGGACATGATTTGGAAAGGCACACACCTGTCTATATAAGGTCCCACAGTTGACAGTGCATGTCAGAGCAAAAACTAAGCCATGAGGTCAAAGGAATTGTCCGTAGAGCTCCGAGACAGGATTGGGTCGAGGCACAGATCTGGGGAAGGGTACCAGAAAAATGTCTGCAGCATTGAAGGTCCCCAAGAACACAGTGGCCTCCATCATTCTTAAATGGAAGTGGAAGTTTGGAACCACCAAGACTCTTCCTAGAACTGGCTGCCCAGCCAAACTGAGCATTCGTGGGAGAAGGACCACGTCAGGGAGGTGACCAAGAACCCGATGGTCACTCTGATAGAGCTCCAGAGTTCCTCTGTGGAGATGGGAGAACCTTCCAGAAGGACAACCATCTCTGCAGAACCCCACCAATCAGGCCTTTATCGTAGAGTGGCCAGACGGAAGCCACCCCTCAGTAAAAAGGCACATGACAGCTCACTTAGAGTTTGCCAAAAGGCACCTAAAGAACTCTCAGACAATGAGAAACAAGATTCTGTGGTCTGATGAAACCAAGATTGAACTCTTTGGCCTGAATGCCAAGCGTCACGTCTGGAGGAAACCTGGCACCATCCCTACAGTGAAGCATGGTGGTGGTAGCATCATGCTGTGGGGATGTTTTTCAGCAGCAGGGACTGGGAGACTAGTCAGGATCGAGGGAAAGATGAACGGGGCAAAGTACAGAGAGATCCTTGATGAAAACCTGCGCCAGAGCGCTCAGGACCTCAGACTGGGGGTGAAGGTTCAACTTCTAACAGGACAACAACCCTAAGCACACAGCCAAGACAACACAGGAGTGGCATCGGGACAAGTCTCTGAATGTCCTTGAGTGGCCCAGCCAGAGCTCTGGAGAGACCTGAAAATAGCTGTGCTGCGACACTCCCCATCCAACCTGACAGAGCTTGAGAGGATCTGCGGAGAACAATGTGAGAAACTCCCCAAATACAGCTGTGCCAAGCTTGTAGCGTCATACCCAAGAAGACTCAAGGCTGTAATCGCTGCCAGAGGTGCTTCAACAAAGTAACTGAGTAAAGGGTCTGAAGACTTATGTAAATGTCATATTTCAGTTTTTTGTTTTTTATACATTTGCAAAAATGTCTAAAAACCTGTTTTTGCTTTGTCGATATTGGGTACTGTGTGTAGATTTAATCCATTTTAGAAAAAGGCTGTAACGTAACAAAATGTGGCAAAAGTCAAGAAATCTATAAATACACACACACACACACACACACACTGAACAAAAATATAAACGCAACATGTAAAGTGTTGGTTTCATGAGCTGAAATTTTCCATACGCACAACAAAAAAAAAAAAATCTCAAATTTTGTGCACACATTTGTTTACATCCCTGTTAATGAGATGTACTCCTTTGCCAAGATAATCCATCCACCTGACAGGTGTGGCATATCAAAAAGCTGATTAAACAGCATGATCATTACACAGGTGCAACTTGTGCTGGGGACAATAAAAGGCAACTCTAAAATGTGCTGTTTTGTCACACAACACAATGCCACAGATGTTTCAAGTTTTGAGGGAGTGTGCAACTGGCATGCTGACTGCAGGAATGTCCACCAGAGCTGTTGCCAGATAATGTAATGTTAATTTCTCTACCATAAGCCGCCTCCAACAATGTTTTAGAGAATTTGGCAGTACGTCCAACCGGCCTCACAACAACAGACCACGTATAACCACACCAGCCCAGGACCTCCACATCCGGCTTCTTCACCTGCGGGATCATCTGAGACCAGCCACCCGGACAGCTGATGAAATTGAGGAGTATCTCTGTCTGTAATAAAGTCATTTTGTGGGGAAAAACTCATTCTGATTGGCTAGGCCTGTCTCCCAAGTGGGTGGGCCTATGTCCTCCTAGGCCCACCCATGGCTGAGTCCCTGCCTAATCGTGAAATCCACACATTAGGGCCTAATGAATTTATTTCAATTGACTGATTTCCTCATATGAACTGTAACTCAGTTAAATCTTTGAAATTGTTGCATTTATATGTGTGTGTGTGTGTGTGTGTGTGTGTGTGTGTGTGGATAACTAGCTCTGGTATACTGCAATTCACCCTTTTAGCCTCATGTGTAGACTACAACATGAAATGACCCAAAATTCTTACAGCACAATAGCCTGATATTTGGTGAGGATGTGTATTCTGCTCTCCTAGTGTACAACGAGGTGTTCTGGAAGGGCTGTCTCCCTGGTTCTCAGGGAAACCTCTGTAAAGTGTGTATGGGGGGCACCGGGGAGGCTGCCACCAAACGCTGTGCAGACAACCACAATGAGCGTTACTACGGCAACATGGGGGCTTTGAGGTGAGTAGTTGCTCTCTTGTTTCATGTTTGTATTAATTGTTTATGGATAAATATGCAATCATTCAATCTTACATCAACAGTTGTCACAAAGTGCTTTACAGAAAACTGGCAATATGTGAAAGATTTGTTGTGATTTTTATGACGTTGCCCTATGGTTATTTGTGCAGGTGCCTGGTGGGAGATGCCAGTGGGAAGAGCTTTGGAGATGTTGCCTTCCTTGAGCAGCACAATCTAGAGAGCAACATCCTCAGTGAGAACCTCATACAACTCTTATACATAGTTAGGCTACTTACAGCCACCATACTCACACACACCATGAAGTAATGGTAAATGTTCACAGTCACAAACAGGTTGTGCCATAATGCACTTGTTTTTCCTCATTTGGTTTTGTGATCCTTTTGATATTACATTTTGTTTTTGTGTTGTGCTCCAGGTCTGAGCCCCAGTGGCTGGGCGGATGGGTGGCTGTCCTGGGACTTTGAGCTTTTGTGTGGGGATGGCCGGCGGGAACCTTTATCTGAATGGGAGAACTGTAACCTAGGTGCCATCCCACCCAACATCATCATGACAAGACCTGTGCTCACTGCCCGCGTCTATGACTTCCTCATGAAGTCACAGGTGAGACTGAGGAGTCAAACGAACAGGCATCTAAACCAACCTAATTATTCTGCCGATATTGTATTAATTTCATAAGATTTTTTTTTCTTCTAACAAGCCATTCCAAATGTTCCCATCCCTTGAAGGAGACTCTGGCATCCAACCCAGACACAGAATTCAGGCTGTTTCAGTCCCAGCAGTATGGAGAGAGTGATCTGCTGTTTAAAGATTCCACTCAGTGCCTCATCCACACCAGTCACCTGGACTATCGCACCATACTTGGAGAGGAGTTCTACAGATTAGCAGAGACGGTCTTCAACTGCACACACTCAGGTGGAAATTGATACTTTATCATGTGCATTTCTATACTGAAACTGTGTACTGTTGCAATGTTATTGACTAGAAAGTAGCCAATGTATGTATCCATTTTCTCTCTGACAGACATCTTGGAATTTTGCAACCAGGACGTGTGCAGCATATTTTGAGCAACAGAGGAGAAGAGAAACCACGTTTCACATTGACCTATTGTGGAGGCCCTAACCAATGGCTTGCCAAAATGTAATATTGTTTCTTACTACTTGTAATTCCTCAAAGTCCACACCCACCTGAATGTTGAATATTTTTTATTTCAAATACATTTCAATGAAAGCTTCTTATTTTTTTTCAGCACCATGCCTTTTTTCAAACTTTTGATACTTAGCCACGTATAACCACACCAGCCCAGGACCTCCACATCCCTGTGTAACTACACATGACCAAAAGCTGGGTCTGCGGCCAAATCTCAAAATATTAAAACAAATGTATATTTTTACATGATCTTTTAGGAATATTACTAGTGACAACAAATTAAATGGATTTTGGACAAGGGATCTGTGGAAAAAGTTGAGGTTACAATACAATGTAATATTAATCCACAATTTGTTCTTAGCCCTTCAATGCACAACATGGGCCTGGGAGGCTCACAGAGATTGGTATCCACAGTACTCCATCAATGATCAATCTGTTCAACACAATTCTTCTATTCCCCCAAAATTGTTTTGAACATAATGCACTAATTTTATGTTTAAAAATGCAAAATGTGTAGAATTGCAAGACATTAGCTTAAAAACGGTATGTTATTTCCCAAGTCTGGACATTCACTGTATAAGTCAACATAAAACTGCTTGTATTCAACAACAAAAAATTATGCAGTCTAAAGTAGGAGTTGTGTTCTGATGAGGGCGACCCTGATGAATTTGCTGACACAAAAGGGGTCCCCGACGCAAAAAAAGTTTGGGAACCCCCTGGTATAGCACACACACTGAGCTATGAACGTTAGTACATTGGTTCAATCCACCAGACTACAAGTCCCAGCGTGAATAGCGGCTGTTGCCTTTCTTTGTGTTACACTGGTATTTCCTGTCGCTCTTTTGTAAGAGTTGGCTGCCTGCTACATTATCGGCTGTTTATTAAATCGTTTACCTTGTGCCATTATAAGGTACGTTACGCTGAATTGTATTACTACTTACAATGTCTAACTCATGCCTTTTGTGGTTATACGTTTCTTATCGCATTTCCTCAACGTAACCTTGTCACTGATGACAGGAGTTCAATGATGAGCCAGATATTGTAAACATACACAAATCAGCCTTGACCAAAAGTCGAACACTGTAAAAAAACTAACTGAGCAATTATTGAGTCAGATAAAGCTAGACACATATAATCATTGCTTGGTGACCCTAATAATATTGTGTTTTTAATGAGAGATGTGACAAGCTTGCGAGGAGGCATCATGGAATATAATGTGTTCTTGAATTTACATAGGGAGAATCTCAATTGCGATCTCTCCTCGCGTCCTCTCACCTCCTCAAACCCCATTGGATGAGAAAGCCAGAGGTCCCGCCTCTCTGCCCTTCTCTTCCAATGGGTTTTAAGACGGAATTGAGATTCTCCCATCAACCAGATGAGATTTTGGCTGCAGTCCAAACTCAAAGTAGCCAGTCATCGGCCCTAAACCTTCAGCCCTTTAATGACATTTTACATCGTCACATCCGAGTGTACCTTAAATGTCCCCTGCTCAAGCAAGGGCGACTCGGCTAGTGATGATCAGAGAGGCAACGTCCTTGGTGGAAATCTTGAAGTTGAGCTTAAAAACAACCAACCTAAAGCTATTCATATACCTAGCTACAGTTACCCATAGCTGGCTAGCATGTTTTATAGTTTGGTCATTTATTCCAATATATTTCAGAATTCCCCAAAATATGTTTATGAAGTTAAATCAAATCAACCCCAATAGTTATGAAGTTATTCACTCGCTCCCTCAACGTTTTGAATTGGACCTCCACTTAAGATGGCAATCAAACTGCATCCGGTTTCGACGGGGATTCCCCCAAGGGAAAGTGACTAACGCGAGGGCTGAGGGGTAAAAATAATGTGTTTGGACTGCAGCCTTTGAGTGACATTTCCACCAATGGAGTTTATTACTCAGTGAAACACTTGATCCCAACAGGTTCCTTTTTTGAAAGGTGTATCAGAAAACAACAACAACAAAATGCAACATATGAGTCATTCCATGTCGTTTCAGCAAGCCATGACACCCGCCATCTCAGATTGTTCCATCAATAGTTTCTGTAGTTAGAAACTGGTAATATTGGCATTAAAAATTAATTTAAAATGAAAAGCTGAAATGTCTTGAGTCAAGTATTCAACCCCTTTGTTATGGCAAGCCTAAATAAGTTCAGGAGTAAACATGTGCTTAACAATTCACATACATTGCATGGACTCACACTGTGTGCAATAAATCAAGTTACATTTTATTTATCACATGCGACGAATATAACAGGTGTAGACCTTACCCTGAAATGCTTACTTACAAGCCCTTAACCAACAATGCAGTTTTAAGAAAAATAATAGTTAAGAAAAAATATTTACTAAATAAACTAAAGTAAAAAATAAAAGAGCAACAATAAATTAACAATAATGAGGCTATATACATGGGGTACCTGTACCGAGTCAATGTGAGGGGGTACAGGTTAGTCGAGGTAATATATACATGTACAGTGGGGAAAAAAGTATTTAGTCAGCCACCAATTGTGCAAGTTCTCCCACTTAAAAAGATGAGAGAGGCCTGTAATTTTCATCCATTTTCATTCATCATTTGTCTGTCAACTATGACAGACAAAATGAGATTTTTTTTCTCCAGAAAATCACATTGTAGGATTTTTAATGAATTTATTTGCAAATGATGGTGGAAAATAATTGTTTGGTCAATAACAAAAGTTATTGGCAATGACACAGGTCAAACGTTTTCTGTAAGTCTTCACAAGTTTTTCACACACTGTTGCTGGTATTTTGGCCCATTCCTCCATGCAGATCTCCTCTAGAGCAGTGATGTTTTGGGGCTGTCGCTGGGCAACACAGACTTTCAACTCCCTCCAAAGATTTTCTATGGGGTTGAGATCTGGAGACTGGCTAGGCCACTCCAGGACCTTGAAATGCTTCTTACGAAGCCACTCCTTCGTTGCCCGGGCGGTGTGTTTGGGATCATTGTCATGCTGAAAGACCCAGCCACATTTCATCTTCAATGCCCTTGCTGATGGAAGGAGGTTTTCACTCAAAATCTCACGATACATGGCCCCATTCATTCTTTCCTTTACACGGATCAGTCGTCCTGGTCCCTTTGCAGAAAAACAGCCCCAAAGCATGATGTTTCCACCCCCATGCTTCACAGTAGGTATGGTGTTCTTTGGATGCAACTCAGCATTCTTTGTCCTCCAAACACGACGAGTTGAGTTTTTACCAAAAAGTTCTATTTTGGTTTCATCTGACCATATGACATTCTCCCAATCCTCTTCTGGATCATCCAAATGCACTCTAGCAAACTTCAGACGGGCCTGGACATGTACTGGCTTAAGCAGGGGGACACGTCTGGCACTGCAAGATTTGAGTCCCTGGCGGCGTAGTGTGTTACTGATGGTAGGCTTTGTTACTTTGGTCCCAGCTCTCTGCAGGTCATTCACTAGGTCCCCCCGTGTGGTTCTGGGATTTTTGCTCACCGTTCTTGTGATCATTTTGACCCCACGGGGTGAGATCTTGCGTGGAGCCCCAGATCGAGGGAGATTATCAGTGGTCTTGTATGTCTTCCATTTCCTAATAATTGCTCCCACAGTTGATTTCTTCAAACCAAGCTGCTTACCTATTGCAGATTCAGTCTTCCCAGCCTGGTGCAGGTCTACAATTTTGTTTCTGGTGTCCTTTGACAGCTCTTTGGTCTTGGCCATAGTGGAGTTTGGAGTGTGACTGTTTGAGGTTGTGGACAGGTGTCTTTTATACTGATAACAAGTTCAAACAGGTGCCATTAATACAGGTAACGAGTGGAGGACAGAGGAGCCTCTTAAAGAAGAAGTTACAGGTCTGTGAGAGCCAGAAATCTTGCTTGTTTGTAGGTGACCAAATACTTATTTTCCACCAGAATTTGCAAATAAATTCATAAAAAATCCTACAATGTGATTTTCTGGAAAAAAAATTCTCAATTTGTCTGTCATAGTTGACGTGTACCTATGATGAAAATTACAGGCCTCTCTCATCTTTTTAAGTGGGAGAACTTGCACAATTGGTGGCTGACTAAATACTTTTTTCCCCCCACTGTAGGTAAGGGTAAAGTGGCTATGCATAGATAATGCACAGCGAGTAGCAGCAGCGTAAGAAAATGGAGGGGTCAATGCAAATAATCCGGGTAGCCATTTCATTAGCTGTTCAGCAGTCTTATGGCTTGCGGGTAGAAGCTGTTAAGAAGCCTTTTGGACCTAGACTTGGTGCTCTGGTACCGCTTGCTGTGTGGTAGCAGAGAGAACAGTCTATGACTAGGGTGGCTGGAGTCTTTGGCAATTTTAAGGGCCTTCCTCTGACACGGCCTGGTATAGAGGTTCTGGATGGCAGGAAGCTTGGCCCCAGTGATGTACTGTGCCGTACACACTACCCTCTGTAGCGCCTTGCGGTCGGAGGCCAAGCAGTTGCCATACCAGGCGGTGATGCAACCAGTCAGGATGCTCTCGATGGTGCAGCTGTATAACTTTTTGAGGATCTGAGAACCCATGCCAAATCTTTTCAGTCTCCTGAGGGGTAAAATATGTTGTCGTGCCCTCTGTACGGCTGTCTTGGACCATGATAGTTTGTTGGTAATGTGGACACCAAGGAACTTGAAGCTCTCAACCTGCTCCACTACAGCCCCGTCAACGAGAATGGGGGCGTGCTCGGCCCTCCTTTTCCTGTAGTCTACGATCATCTCCTTTTGTCTTGATCATGTTGAGGGAGAGGTTGTTGTCCTGGCACCACACTTTCAAGTCTATGGCCTCCTCCCTATAGGCTGTCTCATCGTTGTCGGTGATCAGGCCTACCACTGTTGTGTCGTCGGGAAACTTAATGATGGTGTTGGAGTCATGCTTGGCCATGCAGTCATGGGTGAACAGGGAGTACAGGAGGGGACTAAGCACGCACCCCTGAGGGGCCCCCTTGTTGAGGATCAGCGTGGCAGATGTGTTGTTGCCTGCCCTTACCACCTGGGGGCGGCCCGTCAGGAAGTCCAGGATCCAGTTGCAGAGGGAGGTATTTAGTCCCAGGGTCCTTAGCTTAGTGATGAGCTTTGTGGGCACTATGGTGTTGAACGTTGAGCTGTAGTCAATGAACAGCATTCTCACGTAGGTGTTCCTTTTGTCCAGGTGGGAAAGGGCGGTGCTGAGTGCAATAGAGATTGCATCATCTGTGGATCTGTTGGGGCAGTGTGCAAATTGGAGTGGGTCTAGGGTTTCTGGGATGGTGGTGTTGATGTGAGCCATGACCAGCCTTTCAAAGCACTTCATGGCTACAGACGTGAGTGCTACGGGTCGATAGTCATTTAGGCAGGTTTCATTGGTGTTCTTGGGCACAGGGACTATGGTGGTCTGCTTGAAATATGTAGGTATTACAAACAGGTCAACGCATGTTCGGAGTTCACGTCCTGGTAATCCGTCTGGCCCTGCGGCCTTGTGAATGTTGACCTGTTTAAAGGTCTTGTTCACATTGGCTACGGCGAGCGTGATCACACAGTCGTCCGGAACAGCTGGCGCTCTCATGCATGCTTCAGTGTTGCTTGCCTCGAAGCGTGCATAGAAGTGATTTAGCTAGTGTTTAGTTTCGAAGGCTTACAAAAGGAGTTCCCCAGGGCTCAATTTTAGGTCCAATCATTTTTACACTGTATATAAATTATATAGGGAAGACTGTTGACTCTGCAAATCTCCATCTGTATGCTGATGACACAATTACTCGAGCGCATCTAATATTGAGAAGGCTTTTCAGGACTTACAGTTGGCTTTTGATGTTATTCAAAGACAGCTTTTTGAATTGAAATTTGTGCTTAATGCAAGGAAAGCAAAATGTATGGTTTTCTCTTCCCTGAAAGTAAACAGATGGAGTCACTTGCAGATTTTAACTATAAAAGGCCAGCAAATTGATATGGTCACCTCCTATAAGTATCTTGGGAAATGGTTAGATGAAAAGCTGAATTTTAAACAGCACATTGATAACTTGACCAAGAAACTGAAGTTGAAATGGGGTTTCTATTTTACAAACAAATCTTGCTTTTCAATGTTAGTCAGAAAGGATCTTGTTCAAAGCACTTTTTTTATCAATGCTGGATTATGGTGGTATTGTCTATATGCAGCCCTCAGCAAGTACCTTAAAAACTCTGGACACAGTGTCTCATTGTGCTTTAAGATTTATTACAAATGCTAGATCACTCACCCAACACTGTGATTTGTATGCTATGGTGCAATGGACCTCTCTCTCCACCAGGAGGCTAAAGCACTGGTACACTTTTGTGTACAAAGCATTGATAGGACAACTCCCTTTTGTATCTCTGTTCCTTACTGACCAGATCAGTCACTCAAAACAGTCTTCGTTCACAGTCACTGCTGTCCTTGTCTGTTCCTAAGGCCAATTGAGATGGGGAAACAATATTTTTCCCATAATGCCCCTTCATCCTGGAACATGCTTCAAAATATATTAAAGTTAGGAGAGTTAGTGTCCTTGCCTGTTTTTAAGACTCTGATCGATAACACTGTTTGTGATAGCTGCAGTTGTTTCTAATCTTCAATTGTATCTGTAACTTGTGACACTTTGTCTTTTGTGTGTATTTTGTATTTTTCTGTAATATTTTATGTACACGCTGCTATTTCCCTGTTTTGCCTTCTTGCCAGGTCGCCCTCGCAAAATAGGTTTTTAACCCCAATGGGTCTTACCTGGTTAAATTAAGGTTAAATATAAAAATGTAAAAACAGCCTACTGTCACACACAGATTCACAGACTAGCGGCAAATAAACTTGAACAAAGCAGAATCAGGAAATGAATGGCCACTCTCCATTGCTATTCAATGAAGATCCCGCCTTCGTTCCGCTTTGATCAACCTTTTTTGCCTTGGTGTGTGAATCTGGTCCAGTGATAGGCTACATTGTTTTTATAGAGGAGCTGGTACACAATTCCCCAAAAATGTGAAGTGCTGGTATGGCGTTCCGGACAGCTCCGGCCCAAGTCATTCACTGTGGGTATGCTTGTAATTGTTAACGACTGGGGAGTTTTTCAGGATAAAAAAGAAACTGAATGGAGCTAAGCACAGGCAAAATCCTAGAGGGAAACCTGGTTCAGTCTGCTTTCCACCAGACATTGGGAGATGAATTCACCTTTCAGCAGGACAATAACCTAAACCACAAGGTCAAATCAACACTGGAGTGTAATGTAGTAATGTTTCAGGAATGCTAATCACATCTGTTACTATCTACAGAAACTATTTCAGAACAATCTGAGATGGTGGGTGTCGAAATCCTCTTTCTTGTGCTATTTGAGTTGGAACGACCTATATGTATCAAGCATCAATCTTACACTGTACTCTGTATGCAGATGCGGTTGCCATGGAGATCCCTGGCACTATGTTGCACAGCCCCTGTGAGGCGGGCATCATCATCAGTTCCCGAGGGCATCCAGAGCTTTGTGCCCGCCAGCAGCACCATCGATGCCCACGCCCTGGAGCAGCTACAGGCCTTCTTGTCCCGCGCCACGCGCCTCTTCGTCATCACTGGGGCGGGGCTCTCTACAGAGTCTGGCATCCCAGACTACCGCTCAGAGGGGGTGGGTCTCTACGCCCGCACAGACAGGCGACCTATGCAATATGCAGAGTTTATACGCAGCGCTAAGTCTCGTCAGCGCTATTGGGCTAGGAACTATGTGGGCTGGCCACAGTTCTCTTCTCATCAGCCGAACTCTGCACACCTGGCTCTGCAGCAGTGGGAGGAACAGGGGAAGGTACACTGGCTGGTAACTCAGAATGTGGACGCGCTTCATTCCAAGGCAGGCCACCAAGGACTGACTGAACTGCACGGCTGCGCACACAGGTAGGAAGGCAGAAATGTACTGTCTGTCACACACACACAATACATACTGACTTCTTCTTCAAGGACATTGGCTCAGAGCAACAATCTTTTTACCTTTGTGTGTGTCCCTCTCAGGGTGTTGTGTCTGGGCTGTGGTGCCGTGTCTCCAAGGGAGGACCTCCAGAAGCGGTTCAAAGCACTGAACCCTGGCTGGGGCGTACAGGCAGGCGGTGTGGCTCCCGATGGGGATGTCTTCATTGAGGACGAGCAGGTCCTCCACTTCAGAGTGCCTTCGTGTAAGGATTGTGGGGGCATATTGAAGCCAGAGGTGACATTCTTTGGGGACACAGTGATCCGAAGGACGGTGCAGTTTGTACATGAGAGACTAGCTGAGTCCGATGCGGTTCTTGTCGCTGGATCTTCTTTGCAGGTGGGCATGAGAATGGTCAGGTGTTATAATTATTCAGGACCTACCATACATTTTTACCTCTAAAAGTGATAGTGTTGCTGTGTTGTTGACATAATCAACTGTTTTTCGCAGGTGTTATTCATACTTATAAAACATGTCCCTGTGACAGAGTGAACCGTAACACAAAGGAAACAACTCTACAGCCTTACAATATGTCAAAGTTTCACATCCATTTGTCTTTTTCCAGGTGTATTCTGGGTACAGATTCCTACTGGCAGCAGCTGACCAGAAGATCCCAGTAGCCATCTTGAACATTGGGTCTACCAGGGCCGACCACCTGGCAGAGTTCAGAGTCAGTGCTCGTTGTGGGGAGGTACTGTCTGTCATTCAGCCTCACTGACTACAAAGACAGACGGAAGGCCTCACTAGGACTTCAGTCACTGATCCACAGACACCGTGTTGTATTGTTTTGAGAACTATTCAATGGGCTCTACTATTCTACCTTTTGGTCAACCTGGCAGCAATGCAATCAGCTTCAGGTGATGGACACTACTACTAACCCAGAGTCATGTGTTATGGGCTTGTACATGTACAGTGCCTTTAGAAAGTATTCAAATCCTTCAACTTCTTCCACATTTTGTTGTGTTACAGCCTGAATTTAAAATGGATTACATTTTGATTTTGTGTCACTGGCCTACACACAATACCCCATAATGTGGAATTATGCTTTTAGAAATGTGTACAAATTAATACAAAATGAAAGACCAGGGAAGTTCTCCAATGCCTCACAAAGGGCACCTATTGATAGATGGGTAAAAATAAAAAGCAGACGTTGAATATCCCTTTGAGCATGGTGAAGTTATTAATTACACTTTGGATGGTGTATCAATACACCCAGTCACTACAAAGATACAGGTGTCCATCCTAACTCAGTTGCCAGAGAGGAAGGAAACCGCTCAGGGATTTCACAATGAGGCCAATGGTGACTTTAAAACAGTTACAGAGTTTAATGACTGTGATAGGAGAAAACTGAGGTTGGATAAACAACATTGTAATTACTCCACAATACTAACCTAATTGATAGTGAAAAGAAGGAAGCCTGTACAGAATATATGCATCCTGTTTGCAATAACACAAAGTAAAACTGTAAGAAATGTGGCAAAGGAATGTACTTTATGTCCTGAATACAAAGCGTTATGCTTGGGGCAAATCCAACGCTTGTCATCAGCAAGGACTAGGGAGTTTTTTAGGGAAAGAAACGGAATAGAGCTAAATAGAGTAAAACCTGGTTTAGTCTGCTTTCCAACAGACAATTAGAGAAAAATTCACCTTTCTGCAGGACAATAACCTAGAATACAAGGCCAAATATACAATGGAGTTGCTTACCTAGACGGCATTGAATGTTCTAGTTACAGTTCTGAGTGGCCTAGTTACAGTTTTGACTTAATCTATTGCAAGACAAGAAAATGGCTGTCTAGCAATGATCAACAACCAACTCGACAGAATTAAAAAAATTATAATATGCAAATATTGTACAATCCAGGTGTGCAAAGCTCTTAGAGACGTACCCAGAAAGAGTCACAGCTGTAGACCTAATCACTGCCAAAGGTGAGTCTAATATGTATTGACTCAGGGGTGTGAATACAGTACTTATGTACTGAACAAAAATCAAAATGCAACATGTAAAATGTTGGTCCCATGTTTCATGAGCTGAAATAAAAGATCCCAGAAATGTTCCATATGCACAAAAAGCTTATTTCTCTCAAAAGTTGTGCACAAATTTGTTTACATCCCTGTTAGTGAGCATTTCTCCTTTGCCAAGATAATCCATCCACCTGACAGGTGTGGCATATCAAGAAGCTGATTAAACAGCATGATCATTACATAGGTGCACCTTGTGCTGGGGACAATAAAAGGCCACTCTAAAATGTGCAGTTTTGTCACACAACACAATGCCACAGATGTATCAAGTTTTCAGGGAGCGTGCAATTGGCATGCTGACTGCAGGAATGTCCACCAGAGCTGTTGCCAGAGAATTTAATGTTAATTTATCTACCATATGCCACCTCCAACGTCAATTTAGAGAATTTGGCAGTACGTCCAACCGGCCTCACAATCGCAGTCCACGTGTAACCACGCCAGGACCTCCACATCCGGCTTCTTCACCTGCGGGATCGTCTGAGACCAGCCTCCCGGACAGCTGATGAAACTGTGGGTTTGCACAACCGAAGAGTTTCTGCACAAATTGTCAGAAACCGTCTCAGGGAAGCTCATCTGCGTGCTCGTCATCCTCACCAGGGTCTTGACCTGACTGCAGTTCGGCGTTGTAACCAACTTAAGTGGGCAAATGTTCACCTTCGATGGCCACTGGCACGCTGGAGAAGTGTGCTTTTCATGGATGAATGACGGTTTCAACTGTACCGGGCAGATGGCAGACAGCGTGTATGGCATTGTGTGGGCGAGCGGTTTGCTGTTGTCAGCGTTGTGAACAGAGTGCCCCATGGTGGCGGTGGGGTTATGGTATGGGTAGGTATAAACTACAGACAACGAACACAATTGCATTTTATCGATGGCAAATTGAACGCACAGAGATACTGTGACGAGATCCTGAGGCCCATTGTCGTGCCATTCATCCGCCAGCATCACCTCATGTTTCAGCATGAGAATGCACGGCCCCACGTCGCAAGCATCTGTACACAATTCCTGGAAGCTGAAAATGTCCCAGTTCTTCCATGGCCTGCATACTCACCAGACATGTCACCCATTCAATCAATCAATCAATCAAATGTATTTATAAAGTCCTTGTTACATCAGCAGATGTCACAAAGTGCTATACAGATATCCAGCCTAAACCCCCAAACAGCAAGCAATGCAGATGTAGAAGCACGGTGGCTAGGAAAAACTCCCTAGAAAGTAACCTATGAAGAAACCTAGAGAGGAACCATGCGCTGAGGGGTTGCCAGTCCTCTTTTGGCTGTGCCGGGTGGATATTATAAGAGTACATGGCCACTAAGGCCAGATTGTTCTTCAAGATTTTCAAACGTTCATAGATTACCAGCAAGGTTGTAGAGGGTGCAACAGTTCAGTACCTCAGGAGTAAATGTCAGACCACCAACTTACTACTCTGAGACAAGGCTGAGTATAGCCCACGAAGATCTCCTCCACCGCATGACCCGAGGGGGCGCAAAACCGACAGGAAGATCACGTCTGACTCAACCCACTCAAGTGACGCACCCCTCCTAGGGACGGCATGGAAGAGTACTAGTGAGCCAGTGACTCAGCCGTGTTTATTTAGTGCTTTGTTTAGTGCTTTATCCAGGTAGCTGGAGAGTAGAGCATTGCAGTAGTCTAATATATAAGTGACAAAAGCATGGATCAGCTTTTCTGCATCATTTTTGGACAAAATGTTTCTGATTTTTGCAATGTTACGAAGATGGAAAAAAGCTGTCCTTTAAATATTCTTGATATGTTCGTCAAAAGAGAGATCAGGGTCCAGAGTAAAGCCAAGGTCCTTCACAGTTTTATTTGAGATGACTGTACAACAATCAAGATTAATTGTCAGATCCAACAGCAGATCTCTTTGTTTCTTGGGACCTAGAAATAGCATCTCTGTTTTGTCCAAGTTTAAAAGTAAAAAATGTGCCGCCATCCACTTCCTTATGTCTGAAACACAGGCTTCCAGGGTAGGACATTTTAGGGCTTCACCATGTTTCATTGAAATGTACAGCTGTGTGTCGTCCGCATAGCAGTGAAAGTTGACATTGTGTTTCCAAATGACATCACCAAAACGTACAATTGATCTGTCAGCGGACAAACCATCCACAGAGACAAACTGATATCTTTCCGACAGATAAGATCTAAACCAGGCAAGAACTTGTCCATGTAGACCAATTAGGGTTTCCAATCTCTCCAAAAGAATGTGTCTAGGAGCACGAGGACAGATGCAGAGCCTTGGTCTGATGCCATTAAAAGGTAATTTACCACTTTCACAAGTGCAGTCTCAGTGCTATGATGGGGTCTAAAACCAGACTGAAGCGTTTCGTATACATTATTTGTCTTCAGGAAGGCAATGCGTTGCTGCGCAATAGCTTTTTCAAAATGTTTTGAGAGGAATGGGAGATTCGATATAGGCCGATAGTTTTTAACATTTTCCGGGTAAAGGTTTTGCTTTTTCAAGAGAGGCTTTATTACTGCCACTTTTAGTACGTTTGGTACACATCCGGTGGATAGGGAGCCATTTATTATGTTCAACATAGGAGGGCCAAGCACAGGAAGTAGCTCTTTCAGTAGTTTAGTTGGAATAAGGTCCAGTATGCAGCTTGAAGGTTTAGAGGCCATGACTATTTTCATGAATGTGTCAAGAGATATAGGATTAAAAAACTTGAGTGTCTCGATTGATCCTAGGTCCTGGCAGTTCTGTGCAGACTCAGGACAACTGAGCTTTGGAGAAATACTCAGATTCAAAGAGGAGTCCGTAATTTGCTTTCTAATGATCATGATCTTTTCATCGAAGTAGTTCATGAATTCATCACTGCTGAAGTGAAAGCTATCCTCTCTTGGGGAATGCTGCTTTTTATTTAGTTTTGCGAAATGTTGGATTGTTCTAATTCTCCTCAATTAGGTTGGAAAAATAGGATGATCGAGCAGCAGTGAGGGCTCTTCGATATTGCATGGTACTGTCTTTCGAAGCTAGTTGGAAGACTTCCAGTTTGGTGGAGCACCATTTCCGTTCCAATTTTCTGGAAGCTTGCTTCAGGGCTCGGGTATTGTCTGTATACCAGAGAGCAAATTTCTTGTGACAAATGTTTTTTGTTTTTAGGGGTGCGACTGCATCTAGGGAATTAAGCAAGGTTACATTTAGATCCTCAGTTAGGTGGTTAACCGATTTTTGGGTAGGTGGAGGGAGTCTGGAAGGGCATCTAGGAATCTTTGGGTTGTCCGAGAATTTATAGCACGGCTTTTGATGATCCTTGGTTGGGGTCTGAGCAGATTATTTGTTGCGATTGCAAACGTAATAAGATGGTGGTCCGATATTCCAGGATTATGAGGAAAAACATTTAGATCCACAATATTCATTCCATGGGACAAAACTAGATCCAGGGTATGACTGTGACAATGAGTAGGTCCAGAGGCATGTTGGACAAAACCCACTGACTCCGAAAGCCTTTTGGAGTGGGCCTGTGGACTTTTCTATGTGTATATTAAAGTCACCAAAAATTAGAATATTATCTGCCATGACTACAAGGTCCGATGGGAACTCAGTGAGGAACACTGTATATGGCCCAGGAGGCCTGTAAACAGTAGCTATAAAACGTGATTTAGTAGGCTACATAGATTTCATGACTAAAAGCTCAAAAGACGAAAACACAGTCTTTTTGGGGGGGTAAATTGAAGTTTGCTGTTGTAAATGTAAAAAAACACCTCCACCTTTGCGGGATGCGCGGGGGATATGGTCACTAGTGTAACGAGGAGGAGAGGCCTCATTTAACACAGTAAATTCATCAGGCTTGAGCCATGTTTCAGTCAGGCCAATCATATCAAGATTATGATCAGTGATTAGTTAATTGACTATGACTGCCTTGGAAGTGAGTGATCTAACATTAAGTAGCCCAATCTCTTTCAATAATGACAGGAATGGAGGAGGTCT